GTGTGTGTACTGTGCTCTCGTGGGTATTTATTGTGTAAATCGAGGACACACATGCAACCTCATCGACGAATTGATGACATGTATACCAAATCGAAGACGACCTCGACTTATAGAAAACGTGTACAAAACCAATGAGAGCTGTTGTGAACAAGTACAGAGGGAAAAAGAAGAGGAACAACAGAACATCCTCGATTTAGACCATAAACAATCCTGTGTGTGTGTGTGTGAGTTTGTCTTACATTCACTATGTGGACTTGTGAACAAAAGATGTCCACATAATACAGGTTGTGTTGACGTTATGTGGACTAAGCCGTGTCCACATAACGTTTTGCCCTCTCTGGAAAACAGGTTTAGAGGCATTTTGGGGTTAGGTTTATCCGTGGCAAAATAAAGAGAAACACTCAAGGGAATCATAGAAAAAAATTGGGGTTGAGAGAGTTTTCACAGTTTAAGTAAAGTTATTTTTTTACTGAGTTTTCTTAACTACACGAAAACAAAGGAATTAGGGACATTTAATTGTAGGGGTCCACAATTGCCGGTGTTTACAAATCTGGGTGCGAGTTATTTTGTTTCTGCATTCAATAGGGGACAGATCCCAGAATAGATCCCACAATCATCATCATGTCGACTCTCGTCGGACTGCAACAAAAGCACGCCACACATCGCGGTCTCTAATTGCCGCCCTGATCTCGGCTGCGGAGGCTAGCCCAGTATCACGACGCAGCTGGTCCACGTAGGTTAGCGTCTGCCCACCTCGAGAGGCTACTCCATGAGTGGGTTCCCATAAGATGAGGTGGCTTCATTATGAAAACTAGCGCGCATCTGCTCCCCGAATTTTCTACACGAAGCTTTAACACGGTCAAGCCTCTCAAAATTGAGGCACTTTTGCTCTAACGAACACTGCATCTTTTGAACGGAGCATCGTATTAATTCGGGGTGAACGGAATATGAAAGAATACATTTTAGGCTTCATGATTATGTATGTTTCGTAAACATTTTTTCTTCAAAGTTTTGCACTCCGCCAGATTTGTCTATGGAGAAACATAGAAAAATAGCCCAAACGGACAGTTATTTAATGACCCGACGTCTTTATCTTGACATAGCGCGAGAACCCAAGGTCGTCACACTTTGGGGTGAACGGTTTTGTGAAGTAGAAGAGTCCCTTTTTCTTCCATGTAAAATTCAATGTGATTGGTCCTAAATCCAGGGATCATTTTTCTCTCAAAGTTTTCTTCCAATAAGCACCTTTCTTACAAAAATGACCCTTGAAAAGCCTTGCATAGCCGAGCTACACGTGTTCAGCTTGGGACCGTTCCACTTGGATAATGGGAACGAATCTGTCAATAAACAGTAACCAATAAATGACATGAGATCGATGGGAGCTTTAAAAGTCCTGAAGTACATAGTAGAAAGTATAAATAAAAAAAATGGAGTCCTTAAATATATAAATTATTATACAAGGTTCTTTTTTTCTGACGAAACACCATTTTCGTTTGATTTAACCACTGATAAACATCGAGAGTCTTTGTTCTCCCCTATTACTGTAATGGAGCAATCCAAACCCCCCAGCCGGTTTACCAGTGTTGAATGTGGTGCATGTACATTTACATGCATTGCAGGTCAACTGCATACATGAACGTACAGTCTATATACATGTACACATGTACGTGCATACAGAGCTTTTGCGCGTTTGGGGCCAAAAGTTTTCATTATGGCAGCTATCTCTGGATGTCGAACGCAGTGACCAGCCAATCGCAGACGCCTAAGTCTGATAGTTGAAGAGATCCTTGGCACGCAGGTTGCCATAGAGCACCTCATTCCTGAATTTGTCTCTCCAACTCAAGTCTAGAGCCATCCTCATAGCATGCAAGTGTAGCAGCCATCGAGTCGAGCCTCTTGCTTTGTAGTAAGGGTCCATGCCTCAGAGCCGTAGAGTAGGATGAACTCCACGGATGCGCGGAATAGAGCTCGTTTAAAAAGTTTGTCCCGCATCGTAGACCTCCAGATCTTCTTGATGAGGTTTGGCAAGCCTTCCAAGCCTGTTCTTTCCTTACTCGGATGTCCTTGTCTGTTGAGCTGATGTGAGAGCCCAGGTATATGAACTCTAGCACCTCACAAGCGTAGTGCCGTCCTTGGTGTTGATTTTCACATCCCCAGTGTCGATGTTAAAGCGCATGACTTCCGTCTTCTTGGCATTGATCTGCAGGCCAATCTTGTTGCACTCTCTTTCCACGCTGAGAGCAGAGCTTGTGCCTTTTGCACCGAATCCGAGACTAGGGCGATGTCATCCGCAAAGTCGAAGTCGGTCACTACAACAGCACACCCGTCTGCATCGATCCCACGACGCAATGTGAGCTAGTAATACTGGGAGATTTCAACTCACTGATACCAGGCGCTGATACATCATCCTATACCACCGCAGTCTTAGGATAACACCAAAGACAAGGTTAATTGCCAGTTTGGTGGACAGGAGTTATAGTGCCAATAGCTACCTCTCTGTCCTAGCCAAAATTCCCTCAACCGTCATAGAGCCTGGAATGGGCACCAGCCATCTGGAACCAAGGCCCAGATCGACCACATAATTATTGCCAACAGGAAATTGATAACGTACCACTCAGGAAGAAACAGTCTACACAATTCAAGTCGTTAGAACTAGGAAGCAGCAAGATGGTCACACATGGGCTACCTTCCAGCAGACACAGAGTCCAAGCACCAGGATCTGCTAATCATGACAACTCAATTTCTGCGGTACTCAGCTCCGCGTTCCATCCAGGATGCCGTTGACGCAGCTACCAAAACAGTCCTGGGGATTAGGACATCAGGATATATAAAATAAGACCTCGCGTAACGGTGCAATTTGGATTACTCGGATGCCGGAGACAAGCATATTTTCTCTCAATCGCTTGGTAGTGAACAAGCATACCACTGGAGGGAGAGCTAGCAGCCAGGTGGACAGCTCCTTCTCTGAGGACAAGGCAAAGCTTTCGACAACCACCTTGCTGACTAAGCTACAAAGTTTGGTCAACTGAACACCACTTGGAAGATTATCCGCGACCTGGCTGTCAAGAATAGCAAACCTTCAATCAACGGGTCCATCCCAGGTTCCTCCGATAAGTCACTCGAAGAGTGGAGCAATTATTTTGTGTCCCTTCTCAACAGCGGCCCTATCACCTTCTCCTCGACTTTCCTGGGAAGGGCGATATTTTCCTCATGACTAATTTTGTCTCCTTAAATTGATGTCAACAAGGAAGGTCCTGCAGTTGACCCTATCCCAAGTGCTTTCGACCTACGCGCGCATCTAATCCAGTATCACAACAGGTCCATGGAGGACCTTGGAGGGTTTCAAAGACGAGCAGCTCCCCTGGTATGTGGTTACATTTGTGGAAGCTGTTTGCAGTCCTCAAGCGCACCATGCCCGAAGCCCGGTCAGTGCATGCAGTTATAGGGTCACGTTTAACTGGTGTCATCCTCTGGCTCAAGGTTCAATCATCATGATACCTTTCTTGGCAACTGTGTTCTGCAAGCTAGGTCATGCAAGTTTTGGCCGGCTTGTTACGCTTTATCCTGGTGGACTATCCGCGAACTCAGGCATCTTGCATGCATGCCGGCTGCATGGTCCCATCTTGTGACACAGCGCATAATTTTCAGCTCGATGCAGGAAAGAGCCGGGCTCGATCGTGCACACACAACACATGTAGGGCGCTGGAGTACGTGCGACCTCGCTCAGTGATCCCGCGGCCACTGCCACTGGAAATTTAGAAGAGCATCAAACTATATATATATATATTTAGCTGTTATAATTATTATCATGCGTATCTTCCAAGTTCGATATGTGAGAATTAGGATTATTGGTCTGGCTTGGTGATGTCGCGGGCCTTCTGGAAACTCAGCTTTTAAACAGTAACAATTATGTATATAGGTTCTTGTACTGAAGATTGTAATGTAGTGAGCTTGTCACTATAGCACATGGATAATACAAAGTTGTTGCGTCGATGCTTGCTTGGTTTATTGTTGTACATCACCTGAGGTTCTGTGCTTATCAAGGGCTACATTGTTCTAGGGTGTATACCTATAAGTTTGGGCCTTATTCATTATTCATTTAGTAACTTGGGGCCGTCATGCATTCCAATGTATGAGCCGATGTCTGGGTCTGGGTGTGTGCAACCTCGTCCCCAGTGCTTACTTTATTTCCAACCGCGTTTCCAATAGTAAACCCTGGATAGGAAACTTTCTTCCTGTATCCTGATTGGATACCGCAATTGGCTAGTAATGGATTTTTATCGTGTACTTGGTGCTATATATATTCAAAACGTGCAGTACGTGTTTTCGCGATCATTCGTCCACGCCTTCTCGAAAATACTAATTTCCTTTCCAATTTGCTCATATTAATATGAAATATACTGCATGTTGTCTTGATAAGATCGTAACAGTTTGATTTCAAAAATCGTGTTTTCGTAACTCACGCCGTGCTCGCGCTGCTACGAATTGACTCTGTTTTTACCCCCAGACACCGCATACAAAAACAAACGCTAATGTGTAACGCATATCCAGGCACCAGACTGTTCCTCATTTGCATACGTGTGCAAAAATCTTGCACATGCAAATGATCCAATACCAGGGTGAGAGAGCAGGTAGTGGTGGGCGCGTACTGCTCGACACCCTGGGGACGAGGTTGGGGTGTGTGGTTTCAGAGCACGTGGTACCTACATACATGTAGCTATCATGCAAGGATACTACAAAGATTGGCATGTTCGGAGCTGTTTGCCTCACTATTCTTATGACATGCGCGCTGCGCGTATACGATCACTTCAACCATATGGCCCCGCCCAAAACTGATTTCTCATCATATTTTTTAGTTGTTTGAATGCCAAGATAAAATGCCAACATGAATATTTCTTGTGATGATTAATGTTAGAAATCATTCTGTCAACAATTATAGCAAGAGAAAGCGCTATAAATGTTTACAGTGTGCCCAGTGTGCCCACACAGGGCTGATAAGCTGACGTGCACATACATGCCGACAATCGGCGTATTTTCAGGCTGTCTCTAACTCTTGGTGGCGCTGTTGTTGCGCTTTTTTGGGCTTAATTCAGTGAATTATTTTCGCGACATGTTCCTGGCTCCGGTGTAGTTAAGAATAAGACCACCACTCCTATAGTATTATTCTGCAGTGGTTGTGTGCATGTAAGGTGAGGATATGTATCGATGCATGTATACAGTAGGCCTACAGTTGATCAGATAATGGGTTATTGCGGTGGTTCCACGCAGATATTAACGCGCCTATCATCGATGTGTAGGCCTACTGCAGTGGCTATCGTTACGGCAGCCGTAACGCGATTTTCAACCATCATAATACAGCATTGCAAAACAAAACATTAAATCTTTGTAGGCATACCCTAGTCCGAGTAACTTGGACCCAACTTATCGCCTTTTTTAACATTTGGACATGGTCTGGCGATGTCCAAATGTTAAAAAAGGCGATAAGTTGGGTCCAAGTTACTCGGACTAGGCCTACCCGTCCAACCAGAATGCTTCGGTAGGCGGCCCACATGTTGCTCGATTATTTATTTATATCATAAAAATAATTTCGGATGATTCAGTGAATGATGGAATAGTTCCTAAGTACAATTTTTCTCTAGGCCCTACTTCGCCTGCTAATTAGTAAGTAACTACATCATGTAAACATGGGTTTCGATCGGTGGGTGACGGGGGCGGAAAAATTCTGCCAACCGGACTCCACTTACCTGCCGCCAAACATCCAAATTTTCACCTCACCTTGTGATTTCAACCAAGAGGAATCCAGGAAAGAGTGGACATGCGAAAAAAAATTGGTAAAAATGTGTTTTTGGAGCACATTTTGCATGCACATGTAGTGCAGATCTGAGTTGAAGCAGCCGGTCAAAACTGATTGAAGTGTCTGAAACAGCGGTACGTTGTACGCATGACATCGATAACCATGACGTCGCATGAGACATCGCATGAGCCGGCCAATGATAGTGCAATACGTCATTATGAATATTTATTTTCTCATGAATATTTAGTTTATTTCAATGAATACTTCAAATACGTCCAAAGATTGATCATTGCAACAGCGATCGTGCGCGGCCTAGCGGTTAAGAGACTCGTGTATCAAGCAAGCGTTCGAGGTTCGAATCTCGAAGAAGTGAGCAACTGATTGATAAATAGAAATTAAGGAAAGGAGGGGGTAATAGTAGAGGAGGGAAAGTGGAGGGAATAACCATAAAAGAGGTAACTTTTGGCGCTAGAAAATTTATTGAAAAAAGTGGTGTCCGGTTGGCAGAATTTTTCCACGGGGGCCCACATTTTAAAGTGGGGGGGGGGGGGATATCGTTTGTCCCCCCCCCCACTTTTTTTGTCCCCGAATAAAAAATGTAGTCTCAATAATATCTCAGAATAGCTGATTCAATAACTCCAAACTCGAAAATGATGTTAAAAAGATGATATTTTGCTTTAAAAATGGTTTTAGTGGTCAGAAATTGCCTCAGATCGCACCACAGAGCATCTTAGTGCGAGTAACTTGGACCCAACTTATCGCCTTTTTAACATTCGGACCTCGTCTGGCGATGTCCGAATGTTAAAAAGGTGATAAGTTGGGTCCAAGTTACTCGCACTAAGTAAGAAGAGCGTCTAGAATCCAAAATTGTTCGGGGCCCACATGCTGTTTAGGCTTCGTGCTAGCTCGCAATGGTGCTGATCAAGGTATGCCCCCCCCCCAAAAAAGTTTTGACAAGCGATTGACGCCCTTGCATGTATGTGATCTACATCTACATTGTATTTTTAATTGCGACCACCAAATATGGACAACGTGTCAAGTAAACAGGACAGAGAATTTTTTTGTTCATGCAAATGCGAAAGTGAAGCCAATCCGACGTCATGAAATACATGTATTTGTGGTGAAATTTGCTGAACTGTGTTCAACTTTTTGTAAAGTCATGAGGCTAAACCTGCTTTACATTTACTTTGGCGCAAGCTTTAGTAGGAGACATCACAGAGGTGTTTTTGTTTGAATGTTTGTTTTGTATTGGTTTTTGGTTTTAATTCAATAACAATATAAATGCTTAAACCAAGTATTTTAGCTGTCAAATGGTTTAAAGGTGTCCGAATGGTTTAAAGTCGTGTGCGATGGTATGAGGTTTTCAACCCGTATGGGGAACACAGTGCTTGTGTCCTTGGGCAAGACAATTCACCACAATAATACCTCTCTCCATCCAGGAATCTTTTTGTAAATGGACACATTGTTCTGATCTGGAACTGTTTTCATGGTACATGTAACTGTTTTCATGGCCTGATGAACAGGGGTAATAATTGTGAAGCGCTTTTAAACTTTGGTATAAAGGACTATAAAATTTACAAGTACATAATAATAATAATAATAATAATAACAGGTTTTTATTTAGCGCTTTTAACTAAAGATCAAAGCGCTTAACGTTATTATTACCCCAGATCACTGGGCCAACTAAACATTCCAACTACCATCTCAGCTCCCTGGGGAGTATACAGCTCGATGCTGCCTGTTAGGCGCAAGGAAGCTAATTCAATCACAATAACCATCCTTGCCCTCACAGGTACCCTGGGTGGAGAGAAGCAATGAGTGACAAAGTGCCTTGCGTGCCTTGGGCACATGCATCATGTCCCCAGGCTGGACTCGAACCCACAACCCGCAGCTTTACCCGCAGACCACGAATCCAGTGCCCTTAACCACGAGGCCACAGTCTTACTGAACACTATTAATCTCTTTCTTGTATAAAACAGAGGAATTTTAGCTGTCCGGAGAGCTCCTCGTGTACCTAGCCACTGATCATGGCCCGCAACCAAAGGCCACGTCAGCGAGGCATCTTCGGCCTCCTCAAGCCATCCGAGCCCATGCTGTTCTCATTCCTGCCTAACGGAGCCCAGGAGTGGCCCTCGGATGATGACGACAAAGACTCTGATTATGATCCTAATGGTTTAATTGACTCGGACGATGATGATAATGATAGACAGGCATTGCCATCGTCCTCCAAACGGTAAGTTTGTATTGTTGAAACTTGAAGCTTGAAGCTTTGTCAAGTAAACTAAAACATGAAATTTGTTTGATTGAACCTGTGACGTCCAGAATATCGTTCTGTTGCTCTTCCAACTGAGCTATCCAACCCTATGTGGGCAGTTGCCCAATATGTCTTTTCTTGGAGTGCTACAATGTATGACAAACCATCTCACTTTAATAGCCACGGCCAATAAGCCATTTGCAAGTTACCTATGCCCTGCCCTTGGGATTTACATTAGAAAAACATCTGATACACTGACTTGCTCAGAATGCTCGGCACATTATAAATTTGAATTCTCCAGACCAAAGACACTGTTGCTAATCACATGATTCGGGGCAAGCTCTTGCATAGTTACGTAAGAGACGCTCAGCACCAATACATTGTTCACAATGGGTGAGAATGGCACAAAGACACCAGACCATGCCGGAGCTGGGGGTTGCTAGCATAAGGCTTGCCCCGAAACATGTGATATAGTAACAGTCTCTTTGGTCGGGAGAATGCAAAGGTAAAACGTGCAAAGCATTGGATTAAGTCAGCGTTCCAGATTTTATTCAAATTTTAACTTGCAAATGGCTTATTAAACTCAGTTTGTCAATGCCTTTTGAAATAGGTTTCAGCATGTTTCTGTCTAAGAAATTTTAATAAGGTTAAGTGCCAAAGTCCACTTAAGCACTGCAACAGTGTGTGTGATACGTGAATGCATCATTATAGTCATGACTATGTGGCCGACTCTATGGCCAAATATATGTACAGCAATTGCTCCTTCAAATCGATACAATTGATGTAAAATAAAGGCTGTACAGTATCGAATGTTGCCATGATTTTAAATATATGTAATATATTTAATCAATCATATTTTCTGGGGTTTTTTCATATTTTGTTAACACTTTTTTATTTTCTCACTATAGATCTCCAAAAAACAAAAGGAAAACCAGTTCATCGAAAAGAAAGGAAAAGACCTCAACAAAGCGGAGAGAAAAAGTAAGCTCAGGGAAAAAGCAAAACACAAAAAGGACAAAGAGACAAAAAGTGATGGCTGCAAAATCTTCCCCAAAATCTGAAAGGAAAAACAAGAGAAGAAAAAAGGGAGATCAACAAGCAAAGGCCGCGAGCTGTCGTACAGAAACAGAAGCATCACACAGAGGAAATGCTGCTGAAACCTCCAGGTCACAAGGTCATTCGGGGTCAGTTTCTGAAGGTCATCAGCTCTGGGGTCAAAGGTTACCTATGGTTGCACTCCTGAACGTTTTTCAGTTTGTTGTGCGGATGGAAGGAGCTATTCCATTTTTGTGCAGGTAAGGCCAGTGGTGGGGGTGGGGGGGACAAGAGGTTGTCTCGGGGGACAAGAGGTTGTCAATTTGGATTTTTTGGGTCAATTTGGCCTGAATAAGCTCCCTAAGTTTCCCATAAAAAAATATAGTGCGCTATATACCAAGTGACATACCACGTGACTATAACATTACTGCACATATCGTGCCTCCATTGACAAAATTTTCATAAACAACTTCACGAATTGTTACAAACAATATTTGTGAAGTATTTCATTTATTTTGTTTGTTTTTTTATTTTATTAAAATTTGTTAATTTATGGGAAACTTACAGGGTTCATTTTTGGTAAATTTTTTGGGGACCGACCGACGGACACCAAAGTGACTTTTAGAAGCTCCTGCCAGAGCTTAAAAATCTGGATTTTAATGCAAGTATCCCACCACTACTTTTTACATTTCTTTCTTAGAGAGAACATTTAATAGACATGTATGGCAGTGGTGCTAATGTCATTTTCTGCTTCTTGAAGCAACAGTTGACATTTCCATGACATAATTAATCATTGATTGCTACTGATGTGTTGATGAATTGCTTCGCACTTCAGAGCGTGTCGAGTGTGCAGACTGTGGAGAGAGGGGGCCGTTCACTCGTCGCTATGGCAACAGGTGGACCTTGCCAACGGCCGCATCAAATGCACAGACGCCACCCTGGAGTGGCTGGCAGAAAACCGATTGTCACGTCTGACGTCCGTAAACCTTGGAGGCTGGGCCAAGCTGACCGATGCTGGAATCAAGGTAAAAGATTAAGAGATACTACCAAAAAAAATTGAAACATAAATTTATAGGCCACGTCCTAATTACTTTGCTGCTGCCGGCACTAGCACATGTCTAAGGGAAGTGGCTATTTTTGTGAATGTGTAAAGACACAGTAACAGGAATTATTATTTATATCAGGCTTCCAGCCGTAAAAATCAATCAGCGTATTGTATGCTTTTGTAAACCGTACCCAGATGACAGCAATATTGTCAGTAAAAGTACCCGGATTGCGGGCAATATTACTTTTGATAATGCCCAGCGCTCCCTCTTCCAGGCATTTTGGCTGGTTCCCGCACGATCAAGAGCATAGAAACTCCCAGTTGTCAACCAGTCAATAGAGCGTAGCGCACGGTACCTTCGAACACGGACGCCTACACAGCGAGCAGTGCGCAGCGCAGGCCACGTATATGCGCACTGATAACAATGGCAGCTTCAAATAGTTTAAGAAAATAGGAGAAATGAAGACTGTCTTGAATTGTATTTCTTGCGAATCAAGTCGGCCTGATATAAATAATAATATTGGATGACTTTTTTTTGGGGGGGGGTATATTCCTGCAATATGCTCGTTCAATATATTCTTGTATCCACCTCAAGGCCATCCAATATTATATGATTATAATATTTGCAATTATCAGTTATTGAATTAGTTTTGAAACCTACCACAGGCCCTTGTGACTCACTGCTCCAAGCATCTGAGGTGTATCTATCTGAATGGCTGTATCAAGCTAACTGCCGCATCCGTCTGCTCATTGGTTGATGGCTGCCCAACGCTCCACACTATTGACTTATCTCATACTAATGTAAGTATAAACTGACCGCATCGTTTCAGTTAAAGCTATAGTCCGTCATTTGCAGCTATCCAAGATGTAACTGACGTAATTATTGCTGAAAAGCATACTTGGTTTAAAGATTATAATGGGACTAAAGTCTCTGTGAAATTATTCTTTCTGGCAAACTGTCGTTATGAAGAAAACAATGAAAGATCCAATGATGCGTCTAAAGACACATCGTTGGAAATTTCCGTCAGTAGTTCATTTTTAATTTGGCGAAGCGCGCGCAACCGTTGACACGACGCACACGAGGGCGCGGTTGTTTTAATTCGTCGGTTCAGTGCCTGACATCGCGTACCGGTAGCTGCAATCGGCTGGATGAGAACGTGTCTCGGATGCTGAATTCGGGAACAATTCAAAACATGACTCAGCAACTTTTGATTTGAAATCAAGATCCTAGAATATTGTTTTCTAGGAATACACAGCATTCACTGAGCTGAAACTTCATCGGGTGAGTTGTTAAGCACGCTTCTTTAGATTTTCAGCACATTTGTTGCTTCAAACGAACATAATGCACACATTACAAATGATGGACTCTAACTTTAACCCTAACTCCCCAGCCTAATTTACTAGGAACCGTACCCATTCTGGCAAATTCCAACACCCACATGGGAAATTGTACACACACACTGTTGGAGTTTCTGGTGGTATGCCACCCTAGTGTAAAAGACCATCTGTTTAGGGGTACTGTACCTATCCCAACAGATTTAAACAAAACCTGCTGTTGAGCTTTGATGGGTTGAGTTCGGTTAGGGTTAAAGGCACGTAGGAACATTGTTCAGGTTTGTTACAGTGTATTGTGTATTGTGTATTTTTTTCCTCCACAGACAGATGTTGTCAGCATTACAAGCATGACACACATTCTTCAGACGCTAAATAGTCGCTTGAGGCTTTTGAACCTTGCAGGCAACAAGCTGAAGGGAGCCCCAGGCATCCTAAAGACCCTCAAGGTACAGGAACATGATTTAGATAAAATTCACAGAGTGTGCCCAAAAAATGCAACATTCAGAAAACAAATAATTAAAACTATTTAATGTTTTTTCTTCAATGAAATTATTACATTAAAGCATGACTGTTTCTCAATCCACTCCTCTTTACCCCATTCCATTTGGGTCCCTAGATCCAGAAACACAATCAATTAAGTGAAAGGGTGTAGATTTTACTTGGGCCACTCTCACCTGTTGTTACCAACTTCAATGCCTATGGTTATGACTTTAATGTAATATATAATTTCATTGAAAAAAAAAAAAAAACATTAAACAGTTTTAATTATTTGTTTTCTGAAGGTTGCCCTTTTTTTGGCACACTTTGAAGTTCATAACCCCAAAAATGTACTATTAAGTTAGGACAGAATGCAGAATTAAACAAGGGGTAACTCGAGGTTTTACCCTGAGGTAACCCACAAAACCTTGTCAAACCTTGAGGTAAACCTCAAGTTACCCCCTGTTTGATTTTGCATTCTACCCCTATTGGACTCGCCAACATGTAGCAATTAAGTTCAGGTAAGGACCTATGTTGCCACTTCCCCATGTCGGCAATGTCTTTTGCGAAAGATCGACCGTTGGAGTCACTCAGAGTACACGCTGGTCAGCGTCGATGCGTCGATTACGTACTCTACACGGCCAGGCATTTGCATAGTGAAGGAACGCGCACGCAGCCCATACATCGACGCTGCACAACGCTGGCTTGTTGCTAAGATCCTATGTTTGTTGGTTTGTACACAATACTCCAATGTATTAAGTTCCCCTGTCTGAAACCAAAATTCTAATAAGGCCGACCTGGAGTCGCTCCTAATCTATTTGGTTCGGCGCGACTCTGGAACGCCTGTCTGAACCGGGGGGTAATTTGTTCAAGGGCGCTAGTCATCAGAAGCCATAAACCCCATATGCCATGTAGCCAGGGATTATGCCTATAATAACGATGCTAGCAACATTAGCAATGCTGCAAACCTGGGGAATAGCAAGCAGGGATCACTCAGGATGAATTCAGCCTTTTATTGCAAGTTTTCAAAGACGACCACAAACGGAAACTGACTAGGTGCATTACAGTGCTTTTTTTTGTGTAGTTGAACAAAGAAATTGACTGGAGCGGGGTTTGAAACTGCAGTGTCCGGTTTGCTCTGCCAACTGAGCTATCCAGACCTATGTTGGTGGTTCCCCCAATTTGAATTATACAAATTATGGAGCTAAAAACATGTATAATATGTAAGCTGTAATAATTAAATAGAACATGGTTTATATCAGGAAGAAGTGCAGCATTACTTATCTGTCAATGTTGGCTGATTTTGACTACCTTCCTTCGCTTCCCATCAGTAGGCAGCCGAATCAGCCACCACCAGCAGTAATTTGGCACCACTTGTCCTGAAACCAAAATGTAGTTGAATACTTACTTTTGGAGTCTACATTTTACATAAAATTGGGGTACCTGATGATATTCCTTTTGAATAGACGCACTGCAGTAACCTGAGAGCCTTGGACATCTCCAACTGCAAGTTCACCTCCGATTTTGTGATGTTACACATTGAGGAGTTACAGAGAGGCTGTCCGATGCTGGAGGTCCTGCGGCTCGCTGGATGCATGGTCAGGGCCAGCCAAGTCTCCAACAAAGTCCAGGTAAATTATGCTCATTACTTTTTTTACTTCATTGCTGTAGTCGAGCCAATCACAAGACCTCCAACCTCAAGTCATGCAGTTCATCACTGTATGCGCGCTTATCATTGTCAAGCCGAGTCTATCACAAGTCCATCACAAATCCATTACAGGATCATCAAAACTCAATCACAAGTCCTTCACTGTCATTCACATGTCCAGCACATGTCCATCACAAATCCATCACAAGACCATCACAAGTCCACCACAAGTTCATTACAAGTCCCTCACAAGTCCATCACAAGTCCATCACAAGTCCATCACAAGTCCATCACAAGTCCATCACAAGTCCATCACAAGTCCATCACAAGTCCATCACAAGACCTCCAACCTCAAGTCATGCAGTTCATCACTGTATGCGCGCTTACCACTGTCGAACCAAGTCTATCACAAGTCCATCACAAATCCGTTATAGGATCATCAAAACTCAATCAAAAGTCATTCACTGTCATTCACAAAACCATCACATGTCCATCACATGTCCATCACATGTCCATCACATGTCCATCACAAGTCCATTACAAGTCCATCACAAGCCCATCACAAGTCCATCACAAGTCCATCACAGGTCCATCATAACCCCAACGTAAACCCATCATAAACCCATCATAAGCCCATCACAGGTCCATCACAGGTCCATCACAAGCCCACCACCCATCACAGGTCCATCACAAGGCCATCACAAGTCCATCGCAGGTCCATCATAAGTCCATCACAAGTCCATCACAAATCCATCACAAGTCCGTTACAATCCTCCAGTCTCAAGTCATGCAGTTCATTAATGTATGCACACGTATCACCATGTGCAACTTATCACGTTTATCACTGTATGTGCGCAGTGTGAACTGGCCAAATGAAACCTGAAAATTCTCATTTGTTTATATTTAACCCATGCAAAATCACACATACTTAACTTGTTCCATAATTGTGGGGACTACACATGTGATGAACAATAAAGTTATTATGTGGATCAAAGACTCTGTGGGGACAGCAGAAAGTCCCTATAGTAAATAGTAGCAATAAAGTCTGTCACAAGCCAATATGGCCCATCAGGCCGGCATTTATCTCCAGTTTCCTTGGCATGAAACAACTGAGAATACTTCTATCCAAGGTTCGACCTTAGTGGTAGCCCACTAGCCAAATGCGAGTCAAAACAGGGCAGGCTAGTCAAAACTTTTCTCTAGTAGCCCGTCTGGTGAGTCAAAATTATTGCAATAAGGTATGAAACTTTGCTGCATAATTTCTGCTTCTTTTTTTTAAAGAGGTCTGAGGAAAAAAAATCTGATACTGACGCGCATTCAGCCTTTTTCATGCCGAATATTGCGCCGAAATCGCTAGCGTATAAATTAATATAGAAAGGAAAAAAAAAAAAAAATCGTTTTTATTGCGGACTAGTGAAAAGATTCTGGTTCACTAGTCCGGCTGGCTAGTGAAGAAAAAAGTGAAGGGCGAAGCCTGCTTCTATTCCCCCTGGATGGGATGCCAGTTCATCACAGGTTACCCCCCAGCTAATACCGGAACCCATTTATACTCCTGGGGGGAGAGAGGCAAGTGGGGGTGAAGCGGCTTGCCCAAGGACACAATATACGACTAGCAGCTGGATTCAGACCTCTGACCCTCTGATCATGAGTCACAAACCCTGACCATTGGGCCACACTCCCCTAAGGAAAGCCCCTATAATTTCCTTAAGATAAAAGAAAACTGCTCAACAACGCGATGCCTGCTAGGGTCCTTGACCGTACAGTATAGACAGGTCCTAACACTCTTCTTAAATTGTGTATTTGATCCCGGCAGGCAGAGTCGACGGGTTTCCCTGAGCTTCAGGAGCTCAGTCTAGCAGTCAATACTGACGTCGTTAACGGCGGCATAGCCATAGATGACAACATGCTGCTCAGACTGCTGGTGAAATCACACCAGCTCAAGCTGCTGGATCTCAGGGGATGCACCCACATCAGTGCAGTCGGTATCCAGGTGGGTTGGCTTCTATAACGATCTTGTTGATTGCTGGAGGGTAACACAATCCCAGTTTTGCAACCGTAAGGAGCTATAAGGTTCTTTAAGGCCAGTGACCCTATAGACCTGGTATGAAAAGGGTCCCCCGGTACCTCGGCCGGTCTATCCGCTCCGTTCACAATTACCCCCTCACCTGCAAAGAAAGTACAGTTGGGGGTGCCCGACCGACGCCATCTTGCCTAACTGCAATTTTGCCGCGACGCACGGCCACCACTAGCACTGCATGTACATAGTACAACTGAATCCCCTGGTGTACGTGCGTCACAGACAAGGAACGGTGCGCGTCAACCAGCAAAATGCCCCGCCCATGGGACATCGTTGCTAAGTAAAAGGGCACCCTCTTTCATTGGTGCACGGAGCCCATAGCTCGTCCGGTCTTTATACGGTTGCAAAACTGCGACTGTGTCATTGTGTTACCCTTCGTTCACTGACCCGTGTGATGTGGCCTACATCCAGGTACCGGAAAGTCAGCCTTACCATTGTACAGGGTGAGTAAAAAAAAAACGCCCGAAAACTTGCACTGATGTCACAAATTCGCGTTTGCGTTCGCTTTCGCGCCGAGTGTGAACCGGCCTTAACGATATTTGACCTCACAGATTTTGTTTTTAATTATGAAATTGAACCAAGAACTTGACTTGAACCTGGAACTGGGTTTGAACCTGCAATCTTTTGAACACAGTACCAGTGCTCTACCCACTGAGCTACATGTATCCAATTTGTAGAGCACCAGCACGGTATTCCGGAGAGCGCAGGTTCGAACCCTGCTCCAGTCAATTTCTTTGTACAACTTTATAATTATTATAAATGCACCCAGTCAGTTTCTCTTTGTGGTTTATGAGATTTTGGTGTTTTTGTTTTTTTCCTTTAGCGACTTCCTGTGTACGACCTTCAGCACTTGTTCATCTCACAGTGTTCAGTGTCTCGATATGAGGGCATTGAAGCCATTATACACAAGGTAAACAAAGCCCTGGAATATTATCCATACAAAAGAATGACCGACACCCATTTTGAAAAAAATTAGTAACGGTTACAAATTTACGGTTGAGTTTATGGTTGTACCATGTGACAAATCTCTTTGTGAGCTTTGAGGTTCTGAAAAGAACCGGGGATATCCGACATTTTGGACTGAGTAAACTCTATCCGTTGTCAGGACACTGAGGGATTCGTCGTTATTCATCCGTACGCAGTAAACGATCGCCGGGATATCCTCGCTATGCAGTGCATTAAAATTACAGCGCGAACTGCAAACTCATGCGGCCACTATTTTATGCAAATCATTTGGATCCAGACGAATGCCTTGGTCCAATTGTCCATGCATGTTTTGGGGGTGATGCTCATTATTCTAATAGCCTAAAGCTGACCTTAAAAGTCATTTTCTTATTGGTCGATCGTTGCGTGGAAACTTGCATAGCAGTGAAAGTTCATATGGCGATAACGTGTGACATGTAGTGTACATAAATACATACACACACGTTGTGTGTCTCACATTGCACCCAACACCAATGCGCAAAAAACGTGGTTTCTGACACGTCCGCAAAGGCGAGTAGCTGCAAATAATTTGATGACGCCGGGATTTACCAAGGTGTGATGCAGGGTGACCGTTTTAGCTGATTTTCGGCTAACTTTGACAGAATTTGTGTAAAAAAAAACGAGTTTGACATAAAATTTGACAGAATGGATTTTTTTTGACAGATATCTACAAAAATGGAATTGACACACCACATATGGGACACTCCACATATTAGCCCCACCTTCACTAATCTGTATTCGCATATGAGGTCGTGCGCGCTAGAAATCTAGAGCAAAATGAAGAAAAACATAAGCTTTCGCAGTGATTTGCATAAAATAGTGGCCGCATGAGGTCGCTGTTCGCGCTGTATTTTTAATGCACTGCATGGCGAGGATATGCTGCCGATTCTTTACTGCATACGGACGAATGATGACGAACGCCTTGACCAAGGCTATCCGTTGTCAGGAGACTGAGGGATTCCAAATGATGAACGTTTCTTATGTAGTAGAACTGGATGCAGTAAAGTGTATGAAGTATGGAGTCCAAGCTAAGGCAGTATGATCCAGTATGATCTTTAACCCTAACCCTGCCAGACGCAACACAGTGCATCAGGTGGAAAAGCCTGGTTCACTTTGATGCATTCAGCTACCAACACCAGTGCATACATAAAAGGCCACTTCTGAGACAACAAGAGCTAGTTCCATTGACAAATGCCACAGTTGTATCCTGCTGCATTCGGGGACCACACACTCTGAGGCAGTTTGGCCTTGAGACTTTTGACCTGATGGATCTTGCTACACTGGGCAGGCTTGTCACTTAGACAAATGTTGCATTTGCTGCGTTTGGCAGGATTTCTAGCCAAAATACCGTGGAGGGTAAGGGTTAATCCAATAGGCTTTTTGAATAATTTAGTAGGTTACTTTTGGGATGAATGCAAATGATCCTATATGCCTTTAATAAGTCTTTATGCTAAACACTTGTTTTTAGTGGCAACACAGCCTGATTGAGCTGGACCTGTCTTGGAATGTCTTCCCAGCAATGTCCCTGGACATCGCTATGAAGAAGCTCTCCAGTGTGCCTGGTCAGTCTGTACTCAGAGATATCAACCTTGCCGGCACGTCCATTACAGCAGAAAGAGTCAGGTCAGTACCTGAAACCACCCCTCACCAGCGACGTAGGTCTCAAGGCAGGTCTCGGTATCGAGACCGGTCTCGAGACCGATTTTCGTAGGTCTCGACAATTTCAAGGTCTCGACTCGAAGAACTTGGCATCGACCTCGATCTCCGAGCAAAAGTCTCGAGATTCTTGTGGGGTCTCAAGCATATGAGACCTTGTTTAGTTGGGGAAAATTGAACTTAAACCTCTGCAAATCATCCACAAAGAACCTTTAGAAGGGAAAAAAAACACGATCTGAAACTTTAACAGTATATTTTAGACACATTTAAGATTACAAATTTTAAAAACTGAACCTGAAAATCCAAACAGAAATCTGTCCCACATTGCTTTTTTTCAGTTATATCTCCATCTCAAGCTGTCTAGTTTTGAAAGAATGCATCACAAATGGAAAAAAAATTACAAATGAAACCTTCTCTTTTCTTAGATCAATCTTGGAGGGTTGTCCCTCCCTCGTCTCGCTCCATCTCGCCTCCTGCCGTGGCCTCCCGCGAGGGATGAAACGCAGTTACCACGGCGACTCCTTGACGCAGTTGAAAGAAGACCTCAAAACCGCACCGGCCAGCTCATTAGAATACGTGGAATAATTTCTAGTAATAACCTTTTTGTATAAAATTAACCCTTTCACTCCCATGGGCTCCTTTTGGCACCAAAAGTCGACGCCACTTCCTTCCTTTCAGCACCAAGCCATTCTGCATTTTGCGAAAACGTAAATAGCGCCCCCTCTCGACAAAATGTCTCTTTGGCAATATACATTGTGTATAGTTATAACTCCATGGTTAAAGCATATCAAACCGACTACTCAATTATGTGAATATAAACATTATTCCTCCTGCTTCCGGTCCGGTTACATAATCTTGGTAAACACATCAAGGGTAATAAACATGCAGGCGGTTTGGAAGTTCACATATTGTTTACATTTGCAGGGCAAGCAATGGGGTCTGTCCTCCATTCACTCGTACCCCCGCCCTGCAAACAGGACGCTGGGATACTCTGATGAATTCACGCTCTGATTGGTTGGATTTTGCATGACCAGTGACCTGCGCGTCATCAAGGTCATGACTCTGCAAGGTTTGAAACGGCCGTTAAGACTGATTCATTTACTCTTTTATTCCAGTTTAGAGATGTGTTTTTTTTTCTCGTTGAAAAGCGTAATAATGTAGGAAATTCTGTAAAACTTATCTGTGTTGTAAATTTACAATTCCCGTCACTTGCTCAGGCTCCGTTTCGAATCACGAACGGTCGGATTGCATTATGCGACGCTCAGCATTTTGTCCACATGGTCCGCAATGAAACAGAAATCACATCCGGTATGGAATGTGCGCAATTCTGTGGGAAGTTTTCGGATAGCATATTGTCTAACTGCGGTCTTGAACAGCTGCAGCCAGATGCTTTATACATAGGTCATAGCCAATTCCTTCACAAGATTCCGTGAAGCTCATCAGAGTATCCCAGCGTCCTGTTTGCAGGGCGGGGGTACGAGCGAATGTCCTCCATGCATAAAGTACGAGGGCGCTACACAATGAAATTTTTCCAAATGCTCCTGGTAACAGAGACTCATGAGTACTTTATTCTCCTGGGAGCCGAAGGGCTATCAACTTTGAAGAGGCTTTGTAGCATTGGAGTCACCATGCCAATTTGATTATGGGGGCATGACAAACAAAATTGTCCACGAACCACTCACTGACGGACCACTGTGCTGAAAGACGGTTGCCAGGAATTTCCCCCCAGTTGCCCCCGCCTTAAAATTGAAAAGGAGGGGTGGTTAAGAATTAAGGGTTTAAATTCCTCTGATGTTATTGCTATATTAGAGGAGCCTAAATGATTTCAGAAGATTCCAAAATCAATCTTTTGTAATACTATGACTAACATAATGTGGTTGAAAATCAATTTATATATTTTCAAAAAATGCATGTATTGTGTAATTAAATTTGTACTTCTACAAATTGTAAAAATGAACTTTTCTTCCTTTGTATGACATTTCATATGCGCTCGCCTCCTCAGATTGATAGTTAGTGTAACATGAGACCAAACCTTGTGTGATTAACAACATCATGCTTTAAACCATAAGTTGTTTTGAAATACCTCCATCAGTAAATGTTGTTTGTTCACTACTGCTGGATTTGAATGTTTATTCCACAACATGTACATTTGCCATTCTTACCTCTAGAACTTCAGGTTTATTGAAAGGGGCCGTATCATAAGTCTGACGCCTCATATAGGTCCGTGTGGGGTGCTGTGGTCCAATGGTTACGGTGTTCGATTTGTGTGCCGTGGTACATGAGTTCGAATCCTGACTGTGGGAACACGGTGCTTGTGCTCTTAAGCAAGGCACTTTACCATTATTGCTTCGTCCTTCGGATGGGACGTAAAGCTGTAGGTCCCGTGTGTTGTGTAATGCACATTAAAGAACCCAGTAACACTTATCTCCCTTCTCTTAAAGAGAAGGGTTTTGCCCCGGTGTTTCTGGCAGTGGCTGCAATATGTGCCGCAGCATATTGCCTTGTCAACCCTTATAAGGTGCTACATAATGGGTCTCATATTTCTCATATACTTTATTTACCTTTCTTTAATAATAGACATAATAACCAGCGCCTTGAGTACCTAAATGTTGGTAGATACGTGCGCTATATAAGACTCCATTGTTGTGTTATTGTTATGTCCGACGCCTCATAAGTTCCAAATTTTGGACTTATGAGGCATCGGACTAATGAGGCATACAATTTATTTATTCCGCCTCATAGGTCCGACGCCTCATAAGTCCGACATCGGAAAAACGAGGCGTTTAATTTGTCGGACTTACGAGGCGTCGGAGCTATGAGGCGTCGGATCTATGAGGTGTCGGACTTATGAGGCGTCGGACCTATGAGGCGTCGGACTTATGGGCCTTCATTTGGTTAGGGATGCGATTTTGTCGGACTTACGAGGCGTCGGACTTATGAGGCGTCGAACTTATGTGGGGACCCCTATTGAAAGGTCATTGAAAAGTTCCAAAGCAGAATGATTATCTTTTTCCATTTTTGATTTTGATGAGGTTTCACAAATGTAAAAGTATGAAAACTGTATTGTCTATCAATCAATGGGAAACCATTGTGCATGCTATTGAACAAAATGCCCAGTGACGGATTATCCTAACAATAGCAAGCACAATGCTTTCGCCTTGTAAATCAGGCCTTCATGGTAGAATATGAAAGACATAATGACGTCAAATTTGTTTACATGTGCGCTTTCCTAGGGGAGCCGGGATACCAGCCAATCGTCCCCACCTGGCTCTCACTGGAGAGCGCACATGCAAACGAAGCGTCATCATTATGTCTTTATAGGTCTATTGACAGCGTGCCCAGATTGTTCTATGGGCTCTGTGCGCAAAAAGAGAGGGCGCCTTTTGACTACTTTTGAAAGCCCCGTGGACGGGCACACCGTGTTAGCGTACTGGTTTGCGCGCATATCGCGCAAAGTACGCACGACTCATTTTATTTTGAATGTGCCCAAAGTCGGAGTGGATCGCGTGAGCAACAGGCGGCGTCGGATATACATGTAAATTGATTTTCATTGCCAAAGGGGGGCCTTGCCCCAACTTAGCGCGCAATCCCCCCCCCCCCCCCCATGGCAAAAGCCATGCATATGTATTTTATTATGGTAGTGCCCCCCCCCCCCCTAGTTGGTACTATATGCCCCCTCCCCCCGGTCAGGGCTAGCGACGGGCCTGTGACAAGCAGTCTCCTAGCACTCTTCCTTTCTTACCATTGAGGGGGTACTTTTACTTTTGCACTGAGCCCAACGTTGGCACATCTTTTTACCCCAGATGTGCAGACGCCAAATTCCTTGCTTTATACTTGGGCGCTTTAAACAAGTACATGTACCATTAAAACTGGTTTAGGGCCTGGACGCGGATAATATGACCCTAGCTGAAGATGTGGCGCAGAATGCAGCGGTGTTTTATCAATGGTTTCAATGTGATGGGCTCTCGGCCAATAGGAATGGGTAAGCATAGTCATGAAATTGGGCCTTGATCTGATAGGCCCAAGAACATCCTCAGGTAATACATGTACATGTACATGTTTTCATGTATGTGTGTTTTAATTATCATGGGCATAATTATGTAAATGTCTGTATATGTAATAAATTTCTGATTATATATGTAAACAATACATTGGAAGCAAATGAACTGTAACACATTGTCTAGCATTTCGGTCATTTGATTTTATTTTTCACTCATGATTGGTCATCTTGAAATTGCATAAAATTTGAATGCCACAAAGGCACCATTAAACTGTGGCGTTGTTTTACATTATTAAAATAATTTGAATATCAAAGCCATACATGTAAGTAAAAACGGACGGAATTTTCTGCGGCACAAAATGAAAAGGCTTATTTACATATTTACAAAAACACAAACTAATGCACCATGCCTACTTTTGCACCAACGTTATCCCGTTAAATGTGCATGATTAAGAATTCCCGCCTCGATTGTGTTGGGATTAAAGCTATGCAACACTGAAAGCTAAACCCTGCAAAGTTAAAAAGAACTGCTCATAATCTTTTGGTCCTCATAAAACATTATATGTACAAAATGTACAGTTAGTACTCATATAATGTGGAACAATCGCAAAGCTTTTTAACATGGTCTTTGCAATAAATCGTATTCACCCCAATTGGCACCCGTACACGTACTACATTGTTTTTCATTGTACTACATTGTATTACATTGTATTACATTGTACTACATTGTATTACACTGCGATTACAATGTATACTCACTGAAGAATCAATAAAACCATAGAGTGCTCAGGCGGTTTTGGGTGCTACAGGGAGTACAGTTTTGGGCACTAGTGACTAAAGTGTTAAAGTAGCATATTGTTTTTTTGTACAGTGAGGTATTCTTGTAGTTCTAACTTTTTAACAGTGTTCTAACCAGGCTGAGCGTTATGCACTCTCTTGTACAGACAGATCTGGCCTCGGTACTGAAACGCTTGAAGTACATGTAAATGGTAGTTCACTGTCTTGCCACAAGGGTAAGGAGGCCTCTCTTGGCCACACTCGCCACTAAAATTACACATAGAACCAGACTGGAGGTCAGCAGTAAAAAAGGGCTAAAAATGCGCTCCTTAAATTTTTTTTGTAATACTTGCACACTTTGCTTTGTCTGCTTATCTAAATCGTGAGCAAGTCGAACAAGTGCAAATGTTGCGTCAGTCCTATCAAGTTTGGAAAAGGAACAATATACAGGTTTTTTTTTCTCAAGTGATCACGTTTTCTTGCTATTATCATCATGATACATTCTGCGCCAAGTTGTCCTTTCAGTCAAAATCAGTCAAGTGACTGTTTTCAACAGTTAAGAATTCACAGCCTGCATAAAGCAGGATTGACTGGCTGGGACTGTTTATGCAACTTGATACAGCTATGCTTTGACTCGGGGTGAATGATAAGCCATCTGTGAACACAACTTGTCTGCTTTGTCTGTTGACTGAGTTTGACTAGTCACAGTGCTTGCTTGACATATAATCTGACTGCTGGTGACTAGCCTGTGTTAAAGGTGTAGCAGGGGAAGTGGATGGAAAGTTTGACCGTCTTTTGACTGTTTATTAAATAGCAGGAGGGTTAAGCAACAATTCCATGGTCAAGCTTAGCACAAAACTGTGCCCCTAGACATAAGTTTCCCTCCCTAGGGCCAAGTCCATAGTGCTGCAAAGCCATCAAACTTTAATAAAAACTTAAGCCTTGATCCCGCTGTAATCTTCTGTTGCTTGCATTTCATAGTGTTCAACAGCTACTACTGATAAATTAGTGATTTATCCGGTTTGTCTATCAGCAAGTACAATGTACATGTAGTGTGCTTCTCAACGCAATGAAACTGAGCCCATCAGGTCAAGTGAAATTGTGCAAAATATTCATCAAATCTTGAAATTAGCTTCTGGCCAACGCAATTTTTCTTCTGCTGCTGCAAGTGTAAGCAAATCGTGCAGTTATTTACTTACATTTATCAATTAATGATCAATTAGTAATTTATGTGCATTTTTTTTATTTCCAAACGAGTCTTTTAACAAGTAGTGTAATTGGCAGCACTATGAATTTGAGCCCTGGTCAAGTGAAGTTGTGTGAAATATTTATCCAACTTTGAAATGAGAGCATGACTAAAACTTTTCTTTTTCTGTTGCTGTAAGCATAGTAGGCCCCCCTAATTGCAATGAACTTCCTTGCTTACAGTAGCCAAACCTAGGGCTGTTGAACAAACGAAACAATTTTCTATGGTTATATCATGGCTAGAACACTGCTAATCTGAACAAGATCCTTAATCAACATTGTCAATACAGTCCTTTTGCTGATTGCTTTCGGGGACTTTTTTAACTCTTGGCACTCTCGTACGTTCCGTGGCCGAAGACTCCCGTCCTGGCGGTGCAGTCTGTAGCGTGGCTCTCAAACGCCTTCTGTCGCGCCTGGGTTGAGCGGAATGTCTCCAAATGAGGCTGCTGCTTCTGAAATTTTGGCATCTGCCAGAGGGGCGGGGACTCAACCGGTGGGCAGTATTTACGCAGGAGGGAGGCACGAGTCTCGTAGATTCCCTTGTTCAGGTTTTGCTATGGAAAAGAAAAGACAGGAATTTGGATTTAAAAACAAATAGTAAACGGACTCAAGATTGGAAAACGGGGCCAATAAGTTATGATCACATTAGCAGTGTTGCCACCATGGTTACAATAATTACAATGTATGCAATTTCTGTTGTACTCTTAGAAATTGATTGTAGTCTTTTCCATCCCTTTATGACTGCCAACAGATATACATTTTGATATACATGTACATGTATATATATAACATAAAGATCTAAAATAGCATGATCAGAAAAAAAACACCAAGGGATTGAATCAATATTGACAAAGGAAAATTTCAACACTCGGTTCTCGCTGGTTCCTGTCTCCCTTTTAGGATCGATAATGTTGAGACAAGGAACTAGTCTTCTTGAGACAAGGAACCAGTCTTCTTGAGACAAGAAACCAGTCTTGTTGCTGGGTAGATCTCTGTCATGTGCAAAAGCAACTCAAAATCAAATCTTTTTACAGAGTTTTGCAAATATGCGAAATGGAGAAAACAATGTTTTAACTAGAAAGCACTGAGACAGACAACCAACCAACCAAAAAACTAGCCAAATCATAAAATAAAACACTTCAAGGTTTGAAAACTTACTTTTTGCACAAGACGGTCCCTCTTGGCAAGTTCATTTTTTCTTCTCTCATTCAACCAACGGTCCTGATATCTATGCTCCAGAAGATCAAACACGGGTGTTGATGGCCTGTTATTACAAAAAAAATCAAAGTAAACTTTTAAGTAAGTCAATTCATTTCCATTCTAAATGTTAAACACAATGATGTTTGAGTAACAAAAATAATCATGCTAAAGCAATCAATGCAAGTTAATTGTGATCTGGATGATCACACTGTTTACAAGAATTATCTTCATATAAGACAAACAAACTTATTTCAGGAATTTTGTTTTTGTCTCACCGCCTTGACATTTTCTATGGGATTAAAACGACTTTTCTTGAAACAAGACTTGTTGTCTTATATTAAGAAATTAGGAAACTAACTTGCGACAATGCATAGGCCCTATCCTCCGCATTTGATTGTTTGAGGAACAAATAAAGTAAGATTGATTGATTGAAGAAGAGTCATCTTTTTGGGGGGTTTTTTTTTTGAAGACTTTAATCATATTAGACTGATTTTTGATTTGCTTGTTTGTATTTTTTTTTCTTTAGTATTTAGGGTCTAGGTGCATTTAACTTATTATCTCAGAGTGAAATAGTAGTTCTTTTTATACAACGGCTGAATAAATCCCTATCATCTTTGGTGGGTCGTGGATCATTTGTCGTTGAATTATTCATCCCAACGCACGACGCGATATGTCGCAAACATGGAAGTTCCATTTCACAGTAAATAGAACTTCCATCATGTCCATTGCCCGGTCACACGATTGGTTGCGCAATAAAAGCTCTGATGCTGTACATTGACAATACATGTACTAGTTTACAAGTAAACAATCAGATGACGAATATTAAGTCAGGTTTTGTATAAAACAAATCATTTTTTTTACATTCGTGCAATGGAAAGTATTATTTCGTTTGGTGATGAATGGAATGTTCCATTTGCCCCGTGGAATGGAACGTTCCATCTGTCACCTCATGTAAGTCATGAAATTATTCTTACCATTGCACTCATAAACACTCATTACTTGTAAAAAAATATTACCTGGTTGATATGCCAAAGGTCATGGAGGCCGGTATCCTCTTGATCTTGGTCTTGTTTTTCTCTTCCTCCGCCACGCGTCTTCTCACGTCGTGCGTTGCCCGGTACTCAAACTGCTCCTTGGCAGTCACCAACCCAGAGCCGATGCACGCCTTGTTCAGCGCGACAAAGTCCCTGTCTGGTCTCTTCTCCTTGCGTAGTGTCGGCAGGGAAGCTGTAGGGGACCACCCAGACATGGCCTCTGCAGCCCCACCATCCTTGGCCAGGTTTGGTCGCCCGTAGGTGAAGTTGTAGTCGGGGAGGGTGAAGCCACGTTTGGCTGGCTTCCCGAGTTCTGTCTGTAATTTTTTTTGAAGTATGACAATGATTTTGAGTTTAAATTTGGATTTTTGTGTCAGTCACACAACACTGGACAGAATACGCCAACTTACGGCTAATGGTAAAAACTAGTGTCAGTTGTCTATAATTAAGCCTTACCGACAAATTTGACATGATTCATTTTCATTTCATGAATATTCATGGCAAATATTCTCTTAGTCCTACATTCATCTATTTTACACCAACAAACTTTAATGCAGACATGCAGTTTGCAAAGAGATTGCCAGCAAAAACACCCATGAAACTTGTAACTTGTAAGAGAAAGCATCTAACAAATTCTTAGGCTTGGGCAAGCTAGGTTTCCTGGTTGCATGAACTTTAAATTTCCTGTAGAGAACAATTTTGGACGTCAGTATTGCAAGTATACAACTTTACAAGTTGCAACGAAATTTAGCCACTGAGAGTTGGCACTAATTTAATTAAGATAGCTGCACGATATATAGTATAATATATTTACTCCATTAATTCCTCAGAAAAATAACTTAAGCGTTGCTGTTTCTGACCATTTTCTGAAGCCATGGAAGCTGTTGTTATGATTGTTTGGAAACTTGTGCAAAGAAGTCGTCGACTGAGTGGAAAGTGATGAATATTTTGTCAGGCCTACCTTCATCAAAAGCGGGTTATCAAATGCATCGTACGGCACACCGACTGCTGCTTGACTCATTTCGATGACAGGGAATAAACAACACGGATGCCGAAAAAGAAGAAATATCACTGAAGAAATGCAACCGTCAACACACTTTATTTTGGCAGTAAATCGAAGGTGTAGCTCTTCTTGTTGTGTGCAAAGTGCTAGTGCATGTCATGCATGTAGTCTAGTCTAGTCGCGCGAATGAAGTTGTGTTGGTTACGCGTACGTAATCAGCTGGAGGCGCGGCGTTGACCACGCGCATACACACTCGGGGAAGCCCTTAGTAACGGTCAACAGAGGGCGCCAAACCGGTTCCACTCTTTCGCTCGTACCCCCCGCCCTGCAAATTTGGGCGGGGGGTACGGTACGAGCGAAGTTCCACTCTAGACTGGTCTCCTGTCCCTCCATTGCAGGATGCACCCCTGTATTAAAATTCCCATAGACACCAGTGCTAAATGCCCATATCGAAATTCTTTTTAAAATACTCAGAACTCTCAGAGTATTTAAGCTGCACAGAATTATGATCATCAACATGTCATCTTTCATTTTCTTTTCATTTTTTGGTGGGTTGACCATTGGCTTTTCGAGAAATTCTCACCCAAAGAAGGCGACCCCTATTTTTCCCAAAGCGGAAAAGTAGCCATCTTGAAAAAACGATCCCTCCACAGTCCACAACATGGCAAAATAGCGCCACTTTCGAGCCCAATTGCATCCAAAATGCTCAGAATTGGAAGCCCCAAGTCCGGGCCAGAGGTTCATTGCCATACCTCTTTAATTCCCCAATTGTATGGCTCTCATAACTCTAATATTGAATATTTTGAGGGTATAACTTTTATTCAGGAGCACGGCGGATGGGTTTAGGCCTATTTAAAGGTGTGCACCCTTCAGACTTCGAAGGTAGGAACAGCTCCTTTCCTCCTAACGCAGGGGCAGTGAAACGGGGGGGGGGGGGCTGGGGGCACTTGCGCCCCCAGATTTTCCCATGCCATACAAGAAAAGTGCCCCTCTCACGGTTATGTGCCCCCGCCCTCGAGACGAACGCACACATGAAAGCATGTGATCGCGCTACATACAAATACATTTGTCTCCTCTCTTGTAATGGAAAACAGTGCCCCTCAAAAACACAAGTGCCCATCTCGCATTACCAAGATTTTGCACCTTCTCGAGATGGAAAACTACCCCTCGAAAGCACAAATACCCCTCTCGATATTATAAAATTGTGTCCCTCTCGAGATGGCAACAGTGCCCCTCTCGCGATAAAAAAATGGTCTCACATAACTAGCCAAATTCATGGGCGGACCCAGAGAGTTTACTGCCGGGGGCGGAGGGTGTGCGGTGTACCGAAGGCACAAAGGCGGATCCAAGGGTGAGGGAGGGGAGGGGCAACGGGGCCATGACTCCCCCCCCCCCGAAAAAAATAACTTAACCTAAATTGTTTTAAATTTTCTTTAGTGACGTCGCAAAAAAGGCAGCCACAAAAGGCAGCCCAAAAGAAACACGTATACCACCATCTTTTTCTAAAAGAAAATTGGTTAAAGTGGTCAGAAATTGCCCCAGATCGCACCACAGAGCATCTATAGAATCCATTTTTTTTTGTGGACCCACTTTTTGGGGGACCAAATTCCCCCCCCCCCCCAAAAAAAAAATGTGTTCTGGATCCGCCATTGCAGAGGCCGAAGGGCTCTCACTTTCACACCATCGGGAGGTGCCCCTTTTTCTGGATAAGTGCCCCTTTTTGCAGGTGTTGCCCCCAGTTTGAAAAGCGTTCCGCCGCCCCTGCCTAGCGTATTGTATGCAGGACTGGCCCAGGTCTGATTCCCGTCCCCTGAATGCAAAACGATAATTTTAGCGCGAAAACAGCCTATTCACTGGCATCAAGTAAGGGCAAGTTCGAGCAAGTGGTTAACTAGTGGTTGCTTGTTTTTGCCTTTTTGCCTTGATTTCTTAAGAAAGTCATCCTCGAAAAAAAGGCCTTTGTAAAATTGTTACTAGCATCTCAATTTAGGCCTTTGGAAACTGAAAAATCGCCTGACGTGAAAGTTAAATAAACATGCCAAAAATTGATCTCTCACTTCCCAGGGCCAAAAATGTGGACCCACTGGAACTCGTTGTACTCATATACAAAGATGAACATTTATTTTGTGGCGGTCATTAGGTGAAAACTGAAACTTAAATAGGAGAATAACATGGTTTTTTTAAGACGTACAATTTTTTAAATAAATGTGAAGGGCTCATTATCATCTAAAATGACTGTTGATAAGAACTGCATGTATTCAAGCAATCCCGACTAAATCTAGAACCCATCGGCTGTGAATAAGCACATTTTCGCGTCGTTATCATTTTCGTTCTCACACAAGTACGCGATGTGAAAACAGTCAAACGTGATCGAACAAGGAGACCTATAGGTACAAAAATGCCAGATTTGAAAGGTCGTAAGTAAAATACGTTTTTTACCCATCTCCACTGACTGATTTCTCTGCATCCCTTGTGGAATACCTAGATAAAATTCCAACATGAACGTTTCTTGGGGTGATTTACGGTTAGAAATAATTCTGTCAAAAATTATGGCAAGAAAAATGGCAACCCACTGCAACATGCCCATAGGCGGGTCGCGCGGGGGTCCGGGAGCTCAAAGACAAAAATTAATGGCGTATACTTTCCGAGGCGCCATTCAAAACCACATGAGCATTTCGTGATCTGCGCGGCGCCCGACTAAAATCAAAACTATGGGCAAATTCACCTCTCGGTATAGGGAATTGATTTACACACAGTTAAAGAATATAAAATTATGTGTACATATGTCTGTGACTCCATGCATCAAATACGCGTTCAGAAAACAACAAAACCGGACAGAAAAAAAGCGCCGCCTGGTGGCGCTCAGGAGCATGGCGGCAATGTGTTTTCCGTCGGAATTTAAAGATTATAACCTGGACAATTTTCTCTCAGTTTAAATTTTACCAGATATAGCCGTATCATTTTTTTCTCTCGATATTTCCCTCCCCAAAACCACCCTTAAAACGGTTGTGTCAATCTCTAGGGCCCAGATCTAAATGTAGAGGCCGGCGAGGAACCGCCTCTTTGCAAAATAGGCCCACAAGTTGGACGTTTAACGAAATCCCTGGAGTCGGAAGCCACGAGTCACAAAATTAATGCTTGATCTCCAGAAATATTTCTACAATCAGTCCAAGTATAGGCTGCAATGACCTCTTATTCAAAATTACCTGTGGGATCACGAAATATTTATGAGCTCGCGCGCACTGAGGAAGCCTTACAGCTTTTTAGTGGTTTGCATCCCTTTAATGGCAGCTTTGGGGGACTTTGGTGATCAAAAAATAATAATATATTAAGACAAAAGGAAATTTACATGAAATAATCACTTCAATTTGAAATGCGCTTGCCAAGGCTGGCTTTTTCTGAAATGCGGCGCTGGAGTTTGTCTGCTGCTATACTGATTTCTGCCGCGTTATTGAAAGATGCGTACAGTGGCAAAGTGGTCAAAAGGAGATTGAGGCAGGCTAATTTCCCCTCCTGAAAATGCAAGACGCACTTAAGAGGAACCAAACAAACCAAGGACAGTACAATTTTAGAATATTTCTACAATCTGTCCCACGTATAGGGCGTCAGGACCTCTCAAATTCCAAAACAAAACAAAATAATTCCATTTTGTCACAATAGTTGAACGCCCTCACAACGGTACCATCGCAATGTCAACTCTATTACGATTGTGCTTTTTAAAACAGCTGCAAAAAGCACTCTTCAGTGCTTTTCGAAATTTCTTGTACTTAAACTCATAGATAATGGGATTAATGACAGAGTTAAGATAATAGGCAAGATTGCATATTTCTCTTGTGTATCTATAGTACTTTGAAGCACAGAACGAAAATGGACCATTGGCTGTAGGATGCAAACAGAGAAGATAAGTCACAAACCCTGGCGTCAATAAGATAACAAAAGCTCCTAAGACGATTGTAAGCACGCTGACTAGACGCTGTCTCGCAATCACAAGATCATAGGCTGCTTCTCTTGCTTGCTGCAGTCTCAGAGCTTTTGCTTGTCTTTTGAGAGTAACTTGCATCTTGTAGTAGGCCAAACTCATCGATGTTACGGGCACTAGGTAGCCCAAGATAAATGAACCAATATTTAAAATCAATGGAAACATCTGATGGGGGTACGTGATTTCTGAGCAAGCCTGCTCGGGATCATCGCTGGGGTAGATTGTAAACAGAATAGGCAAAGAAAGAACAAATGATATCATCCAGATCAGAGTAATCAGAGTTTTCATCCGTGTTGCCGTGAGTTTTCTTTCATACTGTAGTGGATGCACTATGGCGACATATCTCTCTAATGTTACCACACAGAGATTGTAAGCTGATGCATAGGACAACGCCCGCACCGAGAATCGGGATGCTAGCAGTCGACAGAAAATTTGTCTTCCACCCTGACTTGCTGGAACGAAAGAAATCAGTGCACAGCCTTCTGCTGTAACCAGGTAGTAGATAAATGCATGTAGACACAGGAGCATGTCAGCAACAGCCAAATTCACCAGCAGATAGTTGGTCAGGTTGTGTAAGCATTTGGCACGTAGGATGACGAAGCACACTAAGAGGTTTCCTAAGACACCGATGACTCCTTCTGCTGTCATGATCTGGCAGACCCACTTGCCTTCAAATTGCTCCTCATTGTCACTTGTTGGCACAGTTGAATTCATGGCTGGCTTCTGTTGAGGACTTAAGCAGGCCTATAGTTCAGCGCCTTTTATTCTTCAGTAAGGTTGATTTACCATTCGTCGATGGACGAGGATATTTGTATACTGTATTCACATAAAAAGAAGAGCATGATGTAATGGTCTGGATGCTTAATACCAATGTGATGACAAAGTGTGTGTTTGTAAACATGGGAAAGCCAGCATAAAAGTAGCATCGCTTTATCTTAGGACCGACTCACTGACTGACCAACACTGACTGCAGTGTAGTAACTTTTGAATATACCGATCTCAGTGATAGCTCACATCTGCTTCGCCTAGGGCCAGGTTAAGCGTGCCAATTTATAATAAGTACAATGTGATGTAGCGTCTGCACCATAATTTGTGCAATAGTCTGGCGCCACTTGATATATGTACCAGCAACCTCGTCCCCAGTGCTTACTTTATTTCCAACCGCGTTTCCAATAGTAAACCCTGGATAGGAAACTTTCTTCCTGTATCCTGATTGGATACCGCAATTGGCTAGTAATGGATTTTTATCGTGTTCTTGGTGCTATTATTCACAACGTGCAGTACGTGTTTTCGCGATCATTCGTCCAAGCCTTCTCGAAAATACTAATTTCCTTTCCAATTTGCTCATATTAATATGAAATATGATACTGCATGTTGTCTCGATAAGATCGTAACAGTTCGATTTCAAAATTCGTGTTTTCGTAACTCGCGCTGCTACGAATTGACTCTGTTTTTACCCCAGACACCGCATACAAAAACAAACGCTAACGTGTAACGCATATCCAGGCACCAGACTGTTCCTCATTTGCATACGTGTTCAAAAATCTTGCACATGCAAATGATCCAATACCAGGGTGAGTGAGAGAGCAGGTAGTGATGGGCGCGTAGTGTTCGACACCCTGTGGACGAGGTTGATGTACCAGAGATTCACGATGGATGTGGGTGTATAGGCAATTAATATAGGTAAAGTCTCGGTAAAATCAGTAAAGAGAACGGCAAAAGTAGATATTTCATTTCACCACGTCACCTCTACAACGAATACGAAAATTACAAAGCTTTTTTTGCGCTCTGGACCAGCTAATTGGGTAGTTCCAAATATTGTCGAGTACTAAGCAGGAAACCTAATGTAGTGAGGGATTGGCATCGGTGTTCTATTTCATTGAAGCCAGCAAACTCAATCACGCTGAAATGATATCCAATCCATCCACGCATTATTTTCTACTATAATTGAGTATAATGCCTCAATAATGTAATGGCTGTTGACAACTCAGTTCGTGGTTAATCTGGAAAGGCCATGGTAAATTATTACCAGCATTTCAATTTATGGGAACTGATAAATCGCCCTGACGTGAAAGATAAATATCGTGCCAAAAAATAATCTCTCCGTTTTCTTAAAGTCTAAAACACATGTGGACTTGTGCAACTCGGCGTGCTCGTACATAGATGAAAACTTAATGAAATAGTTTTGTGGCGGTTATTGAAACTGGAAGTAACATAGAAGACAAAACTGTATTTTGGGGGCTTACAATAAATTATTGTTTTAATATAAACTGAAAGACTCATTAACATTTACAAAAAAATGTATAAAGTGACCGCTGATAAGGACTGTCAAGCCAGCCCGACTAAAACTAGAACCCATCGGCTGTAGGCAGGTAAATGCTCGCGACGTTATACATTGTCGTTCTCACACAAGTACGCGATGTGAAAACAAACCGTATGAACAGACAAGAAGACATAGGAACGAAAATGCCGGATGTGATGAAAGGTCGTAAAATGAAATTCGGGTGTTTTTCTTTACCCATCTCCATGGGATTTTTCAATAATTTTTCTGGAAGAATGCCAAGATAAAATTCCAACATGAATGTTTCTTGGGCAGTGGCGGCGCTGGGGGGGGGGGGGGGGCGGGCGGGGGTTGCCCTAGTAAAGCTGCGACAACTGTTTAAAAAGGGCATTGAGTATAGATTTGAAAACTGCAATGTTCAAGTTTGCATTACACGTAGGTCTCTTAAACTAAATTTAAAGTCTTCTTTTCTTCAATCAAGAAAATTGTTCTCCTTCCTTAGGTCCCTTTTAACACAAGGAAATAGTACACGTGATTTCCTGTGACTGCATCAAAACATCCAATCAGGATACTTTGACTGGCAGCCCGGCCATTAAATACAAAGGACACAACCTTTTTTTCATCAACAGATTGCAACTATATGATGACTACAGTGATTGTGATGAGAAACAGCCTGCATTTAATCACATAAATATAGCTGTCAAAGAAAGCACGTAGTGTAGCTCACTAAGCGACAACCAGTTTACCGGTATAATGTAGATTATTGAAACGTGTGTTTTGCTCCTTACGTAAATGAATTGGACGTTATTTTTTAACTTCAGATTAAGGTCGCCCACAAACTGAGCAGTCAACGGCCATTACAATATTAAGGCGTATAATTACATTTTGAAGAAAAACTACTTGATAAAACCACAAATGGATTGGACAATATTTCACCGTGATTGAGTTTGCAGGCTTGTGGCTGCATGCTTACTCGTCAATATTTGGGAGCAGTAAGGCAAGCTGGTCCAAGTATTCAGAATAGTTTAAGGTCGTATAGAAGACGAATTTGACGAGATGGAATATCAACTTTCGCCGTTTGCATTACTTAAACGAGAGTATTATTGCCTGCAGATGCATCATGAAAGTACATAACTAGTACCAAGTGGTACAACCCATAGCCTTTAGTCAAGTCCCACGCGCTTACCCGGACACGTGACGCACCCCGGATGCTGACACGTAAAAAGACTAGCACGAGCGGCGAAGCCGCGAGGGCCTTTACCATCTAGTGGAGAACGCTTATGTTTTTCTTTACATTTGTCTACCGATTTGGTAGACATGCATAATGCATTACCCGTTGTGAATCGCCCAATGAAAATGCAGAATTACTAACGTAAATCAGCCGTCGTCTGGCGCCAGATCAGACAGCATATGGCGCGCGTGCTGTTGCTGGTAACCGCAAACCACCGTTAGATGATTGGTTTATATTGCTTGATTTATATTACGTGAATTTAATGAATAAGTGATTAGTTCCATGAGATAAAAGGCCCTCGCGGCTTCGCCGCTCGTGCTAGTCTTTTTACGTGCCAGCATCCGGGGTGCGTTACGTGTCCGGATGGTCCGGGTATAGGCGCGTGGGACTTGACTAAAGGCTATACAACCCACGGCGGCTGGGTAACGTGTGAAGACGGCTTACGGCACCGCCCGTGCACCACGCAGTGGCGTCGCCAAGGGGGGGGGGGGGGGGGCAGGGGGGGCACGTGCCCCCCCTGGAAAACCTAGTGCCCCCCCCCCCCCGAGTGCCCCCCATCTGAGATTTGGGTTGGTAAAAAAAAATTCTGCGCGTTGTTAAAATCATTACCTCGAAAATAGCAATTTCTGGAGATATCTTCAGATCGAATTTAGCATCAAATGTGGCACCATTTTGCATCTAGCCCATCCTCCGTATGCAAAAATTTTCCAAAGGGGAGGGGGGCACCCCCTCCCCTTAGACCCCTCCCCCAGGACGGCGATCGGTATCCACCTAAGTGCCCCGCCATCAAATGCTGGTGCCCCCCCCCCCCCCCCCCCTGTGCCCCAGACTGAAAAGTCTGGTGACGCCACTGGCACCACGTAGTACCTCGAGAGTACAGAAAACGAAAACAATCTGAAGCGTGATCTAATATGCAAATATATGCAAATTACAAGCACGCGCATCAGTGTTTTCAAAACTGGTTCTCGAAAGCAAAGCTAGTAATACTCGAGTTGCATGAATACTATAATAATGGCCGAGCCCAAGTAAACTGTCTTCCAACCAACCTCGTCCCCAGTGCTTACTTTATTTCCAACCTCGTTTCCAATAGTAAGCCCTGTATAGGAACTTTCTTCCTGTATCCTGATTCGATACCGCTAGTAATGGATGTATATCGTGCACTTGGTTTGTTATATTTCCAACGTGCATTGCGTGCTTTCACGATCATTGTATAACGTCCACGCCTTCTCAAAAATATTCCTTTCCTTTCCAATTTGCTCATATTAATATGAAATGTGATACTGCATATTGGCGGGATAAGGTTGTAACATTCTAACTTCGAAAACAATCATGTTTTCGTAACTCACAGCGCGACGAATTGAATGTGTTTTTACCCCAGACATATACAAAAACAAATGCTAGTGTAACGTACAGGCAGGCACTAGACTATTCCTCATTTGCATACGTGTTCAAAAGTTGTGCACATGCAAATGATCCAGTACTAGGGTGAGATAGCAGGTAGTGGTGGGCGCGTACAGCTCGACACGCTGAGGACGAGGTTGCATTATACCTATTATAAATAGGCAAGCTGAACCTGGCCCTAGACCAGTGATCAGAAGTGACAGTCGCTGACGAGATAGCTAACCGTGAAGTCTAACTCACAAGTTACAGTTACAGGCAGTGAGTCAATCAGTAAGCCAATGAGTCGGTAAGATAAAAAAGATACTAGCTTTAGGCTGGCCATTGGGGACCAGACAAACACAAATTGCAAACGTTTTCAAACACACATTTGTCACCATTGTCCTTCATCCTTCCATCATCCGGACCAATTCACATTATTCTCTTCTATTGTGTGTGTGAATACATATCATGTATACGTCCATTCAAGTATGGTAAATCGGCAGTTATGCTGCATGGACAGTATTAAACATTAAAGACGCTGAACTATAGGCCGACACAAACTCTCCACAGAAACCAGCCATGAATTCAACTGTGTTAAATGACAATGAGGAGCAATTTGAAGGCAAGTGGGTCTGCCAGATTATGGCAGCAGAAGGAGTCATCGGTGTCTTAGGAAACATCTTAGTGTGCTTCGTCATCATACGTGCCAAATGCCTACACAACAAGTCCAACTATCTGCTGGTGAATTTGGCTGTTGCTGATATGCTCGTGTGTCTTCATGCATTTCTCTTTAAGCTGCTAAGTACAGAAAGCTGTGCACTGAATTCTTTCGTTCCAGTAAGCCTGGTTGGAAGACAAATTTTCTGTCGATTTCTAGCATCCCAATTCTTAGTGCGGGCGTTGTCCTATGCATCAGCTTACAATCTCTGTGTGGTAACATTAGAGAGATATGTCGCCATAGTGCATCCACTACAGTATGAAAGAAAACTCACGGCAACACGGATGAAAACTCTGATTGCTCTGATCTGGATGATATCGTTTGTATTTTGCTTGCCTCTTTTGTTTACAATCCAACCCAGCGACGATCCCGATCAGGCTTGCTCAGATATAACATACCCTCATCAGATGCTTCCAGTGCTTTTCAGCATTTTTTCATTTCTCTCGGGCTACCTGCTGCCCATAGCATTGATGAGTTTGGCCTACTACAAGATACAAGCTACTCTCAAAAGACAAGCACAAGTTCTCAGCCTGCAGCAGGTAAAAGGAGCAGCCTATGATCTTGTGATTGCGAGACAGCGTCTAGTCAGCATGCTTACCATCGTCTTAGGAGCTCTTATCATCCTATGGACGCCATGTCATGTGGCTTATCTTCTCTGTTTGCGTCCAGCAACCATTGGTCCATTTCTGTTCTGTGCTTCAAAGAACTATAGAAACACGATAGAAATATGCAGTCTTGCCTATTATTTTAACTCTGTCATTAATCCCATAATCTATGAGTTTAAGTACAAGAAATTTCGAAAAGCACTGAAGATTGCTTTTTGCAGCTGTTTTAATAAGCACACTCGTAATAGAGTTGACATTGAGATGGTACCATTCTGAGCGCGTCAATAGTTTTGGAAGCGTGCTGACATTTAAGAACGTTCGCGGGATGTAACGACGTCAAATTCGAAGATTGAAGTGTTTAGTGAAAAAAACGTTTATACGGTTTTGACAATGTTATATACGTCTAACACAGTTAATCTAGTTGTGGTCTCGTTACGAACGTTACGGCAACGTTTAACTTATTAAACGCTTCCTTAACTTCCTAGCTTTCTTAACATGGCCGTGCAACCTCATTCTCAACGGTTTGACTTTGTCACAACAGCAGACCCTGGGATGGTCGCATGCGCAGGGCCGTCGCTAGAGGGGTGGGGTGTATGCGTGTGCGTTTGTTTATGGTGTAAATCGAGCACACACACGTGCAACATCATCACACATTCTCAAATGTGTATCCTTGTGGAGACATTTCTTTGTTCTCGTGTAGTAAAGTGTTCAATTTTGAAAGTGAAATTTCAAAATGCTCTTATTTTAACTAGAATTAGTTTCCTTGGCTGAAATTTGGAATTAATATCCCTTTTCTAAAACTCTTCCATTTGCGACAGATCAACCCACAAATTCCTAGTTTTTGAGTAAAACCCATATATCTATTTCGTGAAAACCTTGTGGAGACCTATTCATCTATAGAAATTGCCCTGTGGAGACCTTTACAATGTTTTGTTCCCTATTGTGTGTGGGTCTCCACAAGGATACGAATTTGTGGTCGGTGAATCGAGGACAGGAACCAAATCGAGGACGACCTAAATTAGAAAACGTGTACAAAACCAATGAGAGCTGTTGCAAAAAAGTTACGGACAAAGGAAAAGGGAAGAGGAACAAAAGAAAATCCTCGATTTACACCACAAACAAACGTACGTTTGTCTTACAGTCACTATGTGGACTTGTGAACAAAAGATGTCCACATATTTATGCAGGTTGTGTTGACGTTATGTGGACTAAGCCTAGTCCACATAACGTTTCACCCTTTCGGGAAAACAGGTTTAGAGGCATTTTCGGGTTAGGGTTATTTGTCGCAGAATGAAGAGAAACATTCATGGAAATAAAAAAAATTGGGGTTGAAAGAGTTTTTACAGTTTAAGTAAAGTTATTTTTGTACCGAGTTTTCTTAACTACACGAAAACAAAGGATTGTCCACATAGCGTATGTAAAACAAACATGGGTGTGTGTGCCCCCCCCCCCCCCATTCAAAATTTCTGCCGGCAAATCCATAAATTGTTGTCGGCAAATTTGTAAAATTGAGGGCCTTTTATATTATTTTACTGTTGTCGACAAATTTTGAAATCTGAGGACTTTTTTTTTGCTAGTCAAATATTTCGTTGATAAATTAATTACATTTTCGACTGTCAGCAAATTTGTGAATGCACGTTGTGAATAACAACACCAAGTACACGACAAAAAAAATGTTTTCTTTAAGCTGGGATTGTACAGACAAGGTAGGTACTATTTTGCTTTTTTGGTGTCCTCATGTTCATTGGTGTCCTCCATAATTTGCCTTGGTTCTTTCGATCATTTGCCTTGGTGCAATTTCCCATTCCTTGGTGCTCTTTGGTAAAAAAAATTGAGGAGGTGCGGAAATAGAGGGCGCTGTTGGAGCTACCGCGGAACATTTTGCGGAAAAAAAGATCGACGCGCATGATTAAAATCGACGCGCGCGCTGACCAGGGACCGACTTATTTTTTTTGGGGGGGGGGGGGGGCCATACTAGCCAATTGCCGTATCGAATCAGGATGCAGGAAGAAAGTTTCCTATCCAGGGTTTACTATTGGAAACTAGGTTGGAAATAAAGTAAGCACTGGGGACGACGTTGCGTCTGCCTTTACCCGAGTCGATCCGGGTGAGCTAAACGAACGCACCCAACTGAGGTTTCTGCCTGAAATTACCATACCATTTTGCTCCTGAATATGTAAATTTCCATTTAGCATAAAAGCCAAAAAGGCACCAAAATACCCTTGAAAATTGCAAAAGTAAAAAATGAAACTAGGGTTAAATGAGACACAAGGGGCACTTTCAAGGATTGCATTAAAATAAATATATTACACGGGACCTTAAACCACATCGTGTGATGCATGCGTGTGTGGTAAACGTATACTTATGAAGTAATTTTTGTTGAAACATGACGGCTTTGGATAATGTATATATACTTCATAGATTTGTTCATTTTAGTCAAACCTCAGACGTATGTCTGCAATTTTAGCTGTCTGTATCTCTCATTGAATTATATTAGTGTTGGATGTGTATATTATATTTTAGGAATGAACTAGTTTATAAGCACAAGAAGTATTCTTGCGTGTAGGGAGTGAATTAGATTGTGTTCAAGTTAGATGTGATATGGATTATTGGAGTAGGTATTGGTATACATATATTTCTTTCACTATTGTTCTGAATGATATTCTTGCTCCATAATCATTGTCTTGATTTGAATAATTAGTGTATCATTATTCTGTCATTTGTGTCTACGCCTGTCTCTTGAGTCATATGAAATCAAGGCAGGATATTTCTTAATGTTTATTTTATTGGCTAGAGATTAACGAATATTGTGTAAACAGGTACTGTTCATGTTTCTAAATTTCTGTTTATAGCCATTTCAAAAATAAAAGCTAACAAAGGTGTGTAAAAACGATAGGTCAACGTTCAAAATAGTTGTGGGTTTGTTTCCTTTATTTAGGCAAATACGAATAAAAAAGCGCATACCACAGAACAGAATTTGAATTTTTGTTGCCAATCGATGATTAAATTGAATTCTTGATCAACCTCACCAGTCTAGGCCAATATAAACAATTACGATATTGTATGAACGAAACGACTATATTTAATCAGTTGGAGAGCCCCTCGACAGAAACCATGTTTCTTTTGGGTGATCTAGCGGGAGCTGGTTAATATTATATTGTGTATGTTTTGTCTAAAATGTTCTTGAGTATTTCTGACTATTTAATGTTATTGTTTGTAATTGTTGCAACAAAATGTAACCTGAAAAAAAAAATAATGTAAATGTAAATGTAAATTTTGAATGAACTTAAATATCGAAAAACTGCTCAAAATAACGAAATCTAACGATACCTTTTGATGTTCGAATGCTCATATCGGGGAACATTCGCTTTAAAAACGCATTTTAATGGGCCTCGTGTTAAATGGAACGATTTTCTGTAGAAAAACCTATTCTCAATCTGTTAAAATACACTAGTATAGCTTTATTTGTTATAAAATAGTGTTAAACACAGTAATGATATATGCTTACGTAGTTTATTGCTTAGTTTATTATTTGATCAAGCTTGGTTGTAATGACAGTTTTAATATGTTGTACTAAAAGTGATAAGAGATTGAATAAAACAACAGCACGTCGACATGGCATTGTGATGTTGGTCAAGTTGTCAACCCTCAGCAATTTTTGTTTCGAATGGTGGCGCTCTTTCAATAACATGAGCCGTGCGAGTCGAGTGAGTGACTTTCACGTATAATCGGGGGGGGGGGGGAGTAGCGATGGGGTTTATAATTATGATTATTATCTGAGTCTCAGCTGGCCCGTTTTTACTCGAACAAAAAAGGTCAGCGGGCAACAAAGACAATGACAATATCCCCCAAATCCTGAAAGTCAAGTTTGATCTTCTCTTTCTTTTAAGCCTAACAATGGAGGCGGGGGTGGGGGGAGGGAGCGGGGTCACCAGCATTTCGACCAAGTTTGCAAATACAGGCAGTTGGGTGGGTAGGGAACCGGAGTCTCACCGAGATTTTTATCCAGGTTGGTAAATTCAAAACGGTGGCTTTAGACAAAGTTAAGAGAGGGGAACCCTTCCAGTAACGGTGGGGGGGGGGGGCAAATGGATAATGGTGCGTCCGACAATTCACGAGCACTGCCAGTACGAGCAAACTACTGGCGATCAAATTCAGTTGAATAATTGTTTCCATTTAGTCTCTGGGCTTGATTTGAGTTTAAATTTTATAACAAACCTTTTATTCCAAATTCTGTCCATTACATGTTTTATTGTTAATTTGTGTAAAGTGTCCCTTTGAACATACAGCACAGCTTTGAACAACAAGCTTTTGTAATAATTGGGCCAGACCTCTACACATTTAAACGATAACACTGAAATTAAGGTGAAAATGAAATGTTTCCCTTAAATAATTTTACAGAATAGGCTCCGCCTGTCGATCACTTGAAGTACTACTTTGAGTTGGCCGGAAAAGCCCAAATTCCTATTTTTGTTTTCAAACTTATTCGGTTTTTTTTCGATGCCTATTGTTTGTTTCTGCCATGACAATTAGAAAACAGAGATTGTGCTTTTGGAATTTATGGAAAATAAAAAAGGAAAAATTGATTAAAAAGTCCGGAGTTTGTTTTGTTTCGATTTTACTATAAAAACGGCGCCGGATTTTCATATGGCGGCGCCTGGCGCGCGCTGCGTATAAGCTCATTTACATATTCAATATTAGCATATCGACGCCATCTTGAAATTGCGAACGCTGCTATTTTCGTTCGCTAGGGACTTTGAAGTTAGCATTTATCTGCTGTAATCTTCGCCATCCCTGAGAAAAACAACAAAGTAGCAGTTGCTGCCACCTCTTTAGTTATTCCCAACTGAGCAGGCAAGGGTAAGTTTTAATATTTGTTACCTTACATAGGTGAAATATTGCATCAAATTCGGATGGTTACTCAGTGAGTTTTGGATTGACAATGTAATTTTTGTTCCTCCATTTTCCTGAGGTACGAATCAATACAACAACAGAGGAAAGCCATAGTTTTCGTCGTTACGCGTTACGAAAACACTCTTTCTATTTCATTTGATGGATTTTCCGAAAAATATTTCCACAAATGCTACAACAAAACAGCATTTGAAAGAATTCTTTAATCCAAACGTCATTTGTGAATCTCCGGCCGAGTCGGAGGCCCAACGTCATGAACGTAATTTCCAAATTTCGTTTCTCCATCGACATCGGAAAAAAGGCGAATGTGTAGTTATATGGGCCCCTCTTTCTTTTTGGTCCAAAAGTGTTTTAGCGTTCAGTCTTCGGAAAGAATGTAGTATCTAGACACCACTTCTTTGGTTGTGTACAAAGCCTATGGACATGATGGAGAGTCAGAGTCGAGTGCATTTTCTAACAAAATTGAAAATGTTTCTCAGTCATGTCAGTCCCAGATTCATTTCTTTTGAACATTTTTGCAATGGCTGACCTTCTTTGAGATAATACTATAGGCCTTTATGATGTAAAAAGAGGCGTCAGGATGCAACATTCATGACATTCGGAGTAATTGCAGAATACCCCGCCCCTCGGAAATACACCCCTAAATTTTCTGGCTACGAGGTTGGAATCACTGGAAAAGAAACAATTCAAGTCCATGCCAGCTACGCGGATAGGCCTACTGAGTGGGGGTCTATTATTTGAGAACGAAGCAACACAAAAGGAATGGGAGTTGCTGAAAAAAATTTCAAGTCCAAACCAACCACCCTGTTGGCGGCTACGCGGATACGGAGTGGGAGTCCCCTTGAATATGCTTGAGAACGAAGCAACACAAAAGGAATGGGAGTTGCTGAAAAAAATTGTAAGTCCAAACCAACTACCCTGTTGGCGGCTATGCGGTTACGAAGTGCGAGTGCAATGGAGCATGACGCATAGTACATACAAGTAGCGCTGAGAATGTTTATTGAGGTCAACCAACCGTGACCTCGTAGCTGGCTACGAGGTGAATAGATCGAGTGGCGGGGTATTCTGCAATTGTGCCCAACATTCTCTCCCACCAGTCTTTTAATTCTAATGACCCTAAACTAAAGTTGATTGGGCACAATTGCAGAATACCTTGCCACTCACCTATCCCACCTCGTATCCAGATACGCGGATACGGAGTCACGCTTAAATGCTCAACCAAAACCAAATGCGTGCACCACCCCGTATCCGCGTATCCACTTACCGGCACCTACTTGGACTTACACATTTTCCCTCTGCTCCCCATTCAACTCACGTTGTCTCTGCCTTCGTTATTTTCCAACATGGATGCCTCGTTCTCAAAAATATTTTCCTCCGCTAAAGTCCACTGCGTATCCACTTCCCGTAGGGTCAATGATTTTCCGTTTCAGAAAAGTGAAATTCCGTTTCAGGCTGAAAAATTCCGTTTCACATTTATATAATACAAAAATTGGCATTTTACATGTGTAAACATTATACCATGTACACAGAAAATAATTCCAAATCGATAATGAAATAGTCGTTTGGTTGGAGCGCGGGAAAATTGCCCCCAAAAAGATTGCTATTTTATCAACGGCCGATCGATGATCAGACGTAGTGTTTAACTTTGCCACAGTCAAGTCGTATACTGCATGCAACCACTGCCACACACGCAAGAAACATGCAATAGCCGTACAGGCCAATCCCATGACGTCACACACATCAGCTGGCCAAAGCGAAATCCTTGTCCGCCATTTTGTTTTCGGGCTAACGTTAGCTTTAGCGGCAAAATAGGATAGTTTACGGTAGATTTTTGGACCTAAGCACGACACGCATTTCAATAGAGCCAAAGTTAGATGTTATACGAATGGTTGATTGATTGCACAGAGAAAAATAAACCTGCCGATGGAGCAAAAGAGACCCGCGAGAACGTGTCGTGAGTGTGATGATTTTCACCCGTGCGCTGGCCGACAGCTACGGCGTGCGTCGGGCATGTCGGGACTGTCACTCCCATGACTAGTTTACGCGTACTACGGAAATGATCTCGTAACATTTATTGCTCTGATCTTGAACGTTTTTGTCCCACCAAAAGCGTGATATAAACACCGCTCATTTGTTAGGGCCTATATGGCTCGTCTGTTCAATCAATCATGAACAATTCGTTTTGTATTCGATAAATTTTACGAAATAATGTTTTTTTATGAATAAAATTGCAGAAGTTTTTTTGTTCAGATTCAAATTCCGTTTTCCGTTTCGAGAAGCAGATTCGGCGATTCCGTCCGTTTTCCGCGATCGCGGAAAATCATTGGCCCTACTCCCGGCACCTACTTTGGACTTAGACATTTATTGAACCCCTGCTCCCCATTCAATTCACGTTGTCCCTGCTGGCCGCATTTCTTATTACAGGGAAATAGCGCCCTCTTTAGACCCTCCACCGCTCAAATCCACCCCGTCGTATCCGCGTATCCACTTCCCGACACGTACTTTGGACATTTCTGCAACATTTTCCAACTGCGTAGCCATTTATTTTTAGGGAGTAATTTCCGCGTGGCAGGGTATTTTGCAATTACTCCGTTGATTGTCTTTTTGTCATTTTTGAACAGTAGCCTAGCATGCCTAGGGCCAGCAATATCAGTGTCACGATTCAGTGTCACCTGTTGCGGCCTGAAAAAGGTAATCCCCCACAGGGTTCGACCTTAGCGGTGGTCCGCTGGCCAAATGCCAGTTGAATTGCCGGCGGACCAGAAGAAACACCTTGCCCAGTGGTCCGGCTGGCCAGCCGAAAAAATCGGCAAGGGCATCACAGATCAAAAATGCTCTATGCATGCTATGCACGTATTGTGATTACAGAATTAAGACAAAGTAAATGTGCAAATTAATAAACAAAAGCAAAAGACTGAAGAGTCTGGAATCGGGAGTGAAAAATAAACAAACCGAGAGACTGAAGAGTCTGTGCAGGCCATGTTTAGACACCGTGTTAGCTAAAACGGTAAAAGTTAAAACGGTCGCTCACCACGGGAGGCCCGTCGTAAAAATAAAACTACCGAGCGTCCAGACATCGTTTAAAAAAAACAAAATCCAATTTCAAGTCCAATTTTCGCAAGTTATTGACCACATGGTCCGAATTTCACATCGTGCTCACTCGCATAACAAACGTTTAGATGCCAACGCAACAAACGCTAACCGGAGCATAATTATCATAATACACTAATATATTCAACTACCAGGAAAACCTTGGCGTTGATTGGTCAATATTGCAATGTTAATATCACGTGTATTTTCACGTGACTGACATGTTGTGCGGGCAAGTTGATGCAGTAAACATGGTAAACCTTGAGTAAAATCTGTTCAATGACGTCTTGTTTCGAACACTGGTTTTCAAACAACTTTTCAGAACATTTTTTATGTCTTTTTGCACCACGAAAGGTACAGAAAATAGCCCCCAAAATGTAAACACAAAATGGTGTATATGTAAAGCCGATGTACGATACTTGCAAAAAATGGGGAAATTGCCGCGGTGGACTAGTGACTGTCGTCATGTTTACCGGCGTGCCACGCTACATGACCGGCCGAGGCTGCGATGTCAAACACGGCGTAGCAACACACATCACACGGTGAGGGGCTCGGACCATGTGTAGCTAACTGTAAACATGGAAGAGTGAAGGCTCCTTTTAGCGCGCGTTTTTTGCCGAGGCGGATGTTCTACGTGACCTTAGAAACTGAGATAAACTGCTTCGAGTTGAACTTTCAATATTTAACCCTTACTCTCTGAGGGTAGTTTACTGCATGTCAGTTGGTTATGCCAATGCCCTCCAGCTGCAGTTATTTGGCAGATAACAAGTCTTAGCAGTGAAGGCTCCAATTGGCAGGAGTTGGAGGCCCTGGAGGGTGCCTGATACTGACCAGCTGGGGGCACTCACTTTGTTATCAGAGGACTCTCATTGTTCTCTGTGGCATGTATTGGAGTGCCTGTCCAGTTACCCTTGAAATGACATGGCAGATATTGGAGGGCCATGCAAAAAACATAGGAGATTTTCTTGAGGCACAATTGGCATGCATTGGAGGGTCAAGTAGGGTAAGGGTTAAAACGATGTCTGGATGCTCGGAAGTTTTATTTTTACGACGGGCCTCCCGTGGTGAGCGATCGTTTTAACTTTTACCGTTTTAGCTAACACGGTGTCTGAACATGGCCTAAGACAGACCAGTCAAAAACCTGGCGGACCATTCAAAATTCTAGCCAACTGGTCCGACTGGATAGTCAAAAAAAAAAGTTATGGGCAAACCCTGCCCCATGTTTAGAAAATGCTGGAACCGATAATGAAATAACATTACTGCAAGCAGGGGTCAGTGACGGTTCGCATCAAGTGTCACGACAACCCAAAAAATTCTAAAACTTAGGCCTAGTAAAACTTCCAACTTTTGGTATAATACCCAAAAATTATAATTTTCAAAAGATCCATCAAATTATACATCAAATTAAAGCTTGTAACCAGAGAAATTCAATGGTGCAAACCGTATGCTGATGCATTGTTTCTGTAACAACTTACAGCTCTTTGAAGTTTCAAAGTCCGTAGACCCTTCTGCCGGGTATTTTGCCGTGAAAGGCAGACCCTAGAAACACACAGGTTTTTTAATTTTTGTTCAGCAAATTTGATCTAAAAACACTGTGTAATCTCAACTCGAAAGATAGGCTATGACAAATTTGACATTGATACAGGCCATTGGAATTATCAATTCCCAATTTAAAAGTGACATCTCGTGGTTGTTTTATTGCTCTGAATAAGCATGATACGTTTAACAATATCATTATCATTACAATATGCCTGATCTTGTATTGGGCACACCCAATCGACGGCTGACCCTTTTTGCCCGATTTATATCACGTCAGCCTTCTTTTAAAAGCTTAACCCTAACCCACTCACTCCTCCAAAATCCTCCTGGCGGTTTTGGAGGATTCTAGAGGATTGAGGATGAATGGTGATTGAATCAAATGAGGATTCTGGAGGATTGAGGATGAATGGTGATTGAAGCACATGAGGATTTTGGAGGATTGAGGATGAATGGTGATTGAAGCACAAGAGGATTTTGGAGGATTGAGGATGAATGCATTTTGAGGCAGGACTGTCTGATGATTTTGAAGGATTTGGCGTTGGTTATCCTTCATTTAAACACGAGTGCAAAGTTTTGGGATGAGGAGGATTTTGGAGGATTGAGGATGAATGCATTTTGAGGCAGGACTGTCTGACAATTTTGAAAAATTGAGGCGGAGTTGCAAAATTTTGCAAAATTTTGGAGAATTTTGAAGGATTTTGGAGGATTGAGGATGGTTGTTAGCAACAAGGGCCTAGAGGGTTAGGGTTAATTTTCCCCAGTGCGAGATCTGGCGGTAGAAAGAAAATGCACTTTTCTTACAAAAAAGAAATGTACATGTAGGTGCACTTACATGTACCCATGCGATTCCATTTTTCGCCAAAATTAGGACTTTCCGGGGTGCCTTCTGGTGTAATTTGTCTCTTAATTTGAGACACGAAGCGGTTCTTTCATCGATCGCGAGCATTGCGAATTGTTACAATATGGCAGAACATCAACTGTACAAGTTTTCAGTGCTATGGCTAGTTCTTGTGCCCACGTATCGCGAGCATTGCGAATTGTTACAATATGGCAGAACATCAACTGTACAAGTTTTCAGTGCTATGGCTAGTTCTTGTGCCCACGTATCGCGAGCATTGCGAATTGTTACAATATGGCAGAACATCAACTGTACAAGTTTTCAGTACTATGGCTAGTTCTTCTGCCCACGTATTCTCTACTGGAGACACGAGGTGCGACTACGACGGTTAAATCGCTTCTGGGCAGATGAATACAATTCATTATCGCGGGCGACACAGGTACATGTAGCTGTTTTGTGCAGTATCGTGAATTTTGGAACCTTCAGTGGCATTGTATCGCGTGTGATGAAGTGAAGTGCTTCTAATGTGTTCCATGACACAGCTGCTGGGGATTGTTTGTCGCCGTGACGTTTCATGACGTAAACGCGTTTGCGTGGCGTGGATGTCGAAACTCCTGTATAGAGCTAACATGTACATCTGGGTCTTGGCTAGTTGAGAGCATGCGGGCACATGACGTACATGTAGCCAAAGTACTGAAAACCTGTGTTGTTGATGATCCGCCATATTGAAACGACTTTCGATACTCGCGTCAGATGACAGAACCGACGCTTCGTGCCCCAAATTAAGAGACAAATTACACCAGAAGGAACCACGGGGAAGTCCTAATTTTGGCAAAAAATGGAATCCCATGGGTAAATGAACCCGCATGCCGAGTTTGAGGCAGAATGATTTTCATGAAAATAAGAACATCATTTCAGTAACTTCAGGAACTGAAAGCACTTACTTGAGATTGATTTTTCACATAAAGCAAGCTCACCGATTTCAGGAAATAACTCAAAAATGGAATGAACGAAATAGAAATTTGTCTAAATTTCAGAGAATTGCAGCTAAGGCGATAGTTGCGGCGCGGCAGGACAGTTTTCGCGTGGTGCCGGATGCATTTTGGACGGAAAGACCGTTGTTCCTGTCGTCGCGTTAGCGTGTTTACAATTGTCATTGAAATTAATTCATGCCAAATTATCTTCTTTTTTCCAAAAGATGTAGTTTCATTGGAAGTACAAATTTTTATTTTTTAAGTTCTGATAAATCAGGCCGCATTTTTGTTGGCTGGGCACTCTTGACTGTAGAAAACAGTCACTTGATTTTGACCGAAAGGACAACTTGGCGCAGAACGTATGTTTGCATAGGAGGGTTAGAGCAGATTTCATTAACCCCAACTCCCTAGTGTCATTTACTAAATACTATAGGTGGATTTTCATATGCAGTTTGTTTTTTTCCCGCAGGGGCAACTTGCTTGTTCCTTGGGTAGCTGCTGTAGCCCAATGACACACGCAGCAGAATGTCTGACAGGTCGGTAACAAGCAAAGGGAAGGATGGCAAGCAAAAGTACTCGTCCCTCAACCTCTATGATACGTACAAAGGAAAGAGTGTAGAACCCCAGAAGACAACAAGTGAGTCCAAAGTTCCGAACGGTTGAATATTTTATAAAGGCTGGTCCTTTTTTTCACGCAAAATTCAATGCAAATTGTAACATCATGTGTTTAACTTCAAAGTTGCCCTGCCCCTTTTCAATTCTTTGAGTTCCACCCCGAAAAAAATACATCTTGTTTTTAAATATTTAATTGTTCAGTAATGAATGAACAATTACTCTACGAGTTTTGAATTGTTTGCAGCCCGACAATGATGCAGTTCTTGCAGGGTAGACTGGTTTCCCACCCCCTATCACGTTCGATCATGTGGGCCCCAGGAATAAGTCTGTTTTCAGGGCGGATGTGCAAGGGCACAGTGTCAGGCCTCGCAAATTTTTTAAAATGTAGTTGCCCTTTGGGCAGGGGTGCTTAAAATCTGGTTGCCCGAATTTCAATTTTAGTTGCCCAATTAAGGACTTTTTGTATTGCCCCAAACAGAAGGCCAAATCCTAATAATGTACATGGCTGCTTTACCTGAAGTGGCTCAGGGCTCGCAAAATTGGCTGTCCGACGTTCCGGGGTTACCAACATATTTTGTACTCGGCATTTTGCAAGCGTGCGTGTGGGCAGTGGCCGACCGTGGCCACGTGCTTGTGTATGGTACTGTGTGACAGCCCACATGTTTCATGTGTTTCAAATAGGCAAATTGTGTGTTATGTGTAGGTGCAAGTTAAATTTCTGATAAATTCTGGTAATAATTTTTTTAAATTTGATGTTGTTAAATCATGACATCATTGCCATTCTGAGTAAATGTAATAAAAAAGTTGATAAAAAATGTTGCATTGTCTAAATGGCACTGTACAGTGGAACAAATTTAAAACCAAGGTCCTTGGGACTTTACAAATTACCTTATTGTAACAGGTACCTTGTTTATTATCGGTAATGGAAAACAAAGCATAACAAAGACTTGGGACCTAAATAGGCTTGGACGGTATTTCGGTATTACCGGATAGTCACGTTTTTTTTTAATAACCGACTAACACCGACTAATGATTCATGAATACCGAAACACCGGTGAACTCAGTATGGAATTTCAATACCGCGGTATTCTTCCTTAGTGTTCAGAATCTTCGCAAAAGCCTTTCAAACAGAAAGACAAGCAACCTCTTTGACATGTTTGATTCCATTCTTTGTGGTTTCAGGCATCCAGTTTCATGTCTGCATTGTCAATTACCGTTGACAGATTGAACACAATTGTCGAGCTCGACTAGAAAACCTGATACTTCGGCAGCTGCAATACCACAAAGGCCTTTGAAGTTCTGCTAACGCCACCGTGTTTGCGGTTTTCTTTGTGTGTAAAGTGTCTTTGCTGAAAGTTCAAACAATGTTTTACACATGGGAATGTTTTGACGGTCGTGACAAAAATTGGTCGTCTTAATTGTTTCTCCGTGGTTGTTTCAGAGAAATCTTACATCATCATGCATAGTTTTTGCCACAACATAATTCCCAAGAATATCAGCAACAAGAAAAAAAAACGTGTCAATCTTGGTTATATGACCGCCAAAACTTGCAGACTTCAGTCTGGTGCTATATGCGTGCGAGATGCATGTGCAAAGGGAAGGGACGCCTGGATTCACATGCGATGCTGAGCCGTCCGATCCGGGGAAAATGAGAAAAAAAATATTTCAAGGAAAGCGCAATATCAAAGCCATCATGATGTCTCATCATGGGCCTTGGGAATAAATGTACAATCAAGCAGTGTCGGCACCAACGCGCAAAAGGAAAAAAAAAATCTGGACTAGCCTGAATATACCATGGAGAAATTTCTCCATGAATATACGATGCAGCGAGTGTGAACCGTCCGGGAAAATTAAGAAAAGAAAATATTCCAACGAATGATTTCTCATCGTGGGTAAAAACTCTTGTACGATCTGGAAGCGAACACTGTAGTGTTAAAGAAATTCCCCAAATACTCCTACGTCATGTGCGTCATGTGCGTGGCCAGTACATGCCAGTGCATGATACGCATACACGTGGTCCCACACTGGTTCCGCACAGAGAGAGTCGGAACACGTGCTTTTCCCCACCCACTGCATTTATTGATCTTAAGCCGTGTCCGCACTCGCCTTTTTTTTAGAAGGTTTTACCGAGACGATGGTGAGATGAAAAATGGTCAAACACCCTTTTAAAAGAATCTGATTGGCCACCTAAATCCACGCTCCGGAACAATTTTTTCATTCATGTTTTGGTTCGATTGGTCCGTTAGTTATTCATCGGTACCGACGTTCAAAGGGAAGGGACTCGCCTGAATATGCCGAGTCGTCCAGATAAAAATCCAGAAAAGAAAATACTCCAAAAGAAAGGGTAATACAAGAGCCATGATTTCTCACCGTGGGAAAACCCCCCGTAATGCCCGCACGATCACACGTAAAGCTACGCCCGTCCTGCTGGGCCCACAAGCACAATTGCACGTGCTTTTTCCCCACGCACTGTGTAGATCAAGTTGATTGGCCATCTAAAACGGCGCTCGAAACGGCGCTCGAAACATTTTCCATTCATGTTTTGGAATGATTGGTCCGTTCGTTATGAAGGTCGCGGCTCCGACAACTTCATATTTCAGCTTCCACAATTGCGCATGCGTAACATTGTGATGTTTACTATTATCAATCACGGACCGATCACGTGAGAAGGAGTACGATATTTTTTATAGGGGTCCGATTTTCACATGACACCGGCGAAGCACGTAAGGAGTCGCTGGTGGCCGGCATAAATTGCATGAGCCTTTTGAGTCACTCACAATGGATACCAACTGAAAAGCATACGTTCGCTAGGATCTGGGGATCGTCGCGTGGTCGGCCTCTGGCATCGGTCGACGATCTGCATTATTTTTTAGTGGACCTTGTCAAGTCAATGACTTACAAATTCGAAAAATGCAATACCACAAAAAGTAAGCTTCCCGTGTTTAATAATCTTTTACAATGATATATTGTTTTTACAAACAAATGGACTGATAATGAAACCAAGACACTTTTAATGTAGGAGATTTGCGGCGTGAAGCATTTTATGCTGCGCTGGCGGCTTATCAACTCGGCACGTGGTGCCTGGTGGTTAGTTATTTTTTCTTCTGATAATGACGTAACTAATACCCCACTTAACATAATACCGCGGTTTTAGTGAATACCGCCGTTTTTTTGTCACGGTATACCACGGTATAGTACAAGGCAATACAATCCAAGCCTAGACCTAAAATGTTCCTTGTTACAAGCAGGATGTTGTACGAACAGAGCTCTTCTTATCAGGCTTCGACTGTATTTGTTTTGTTCATCACAGCAAGCCATGGCCGTGGATTGCAGAGTCTCGGTAAAGTCGGAACAGCACGTCGCATGCCCCCTCCAGCTAACCTCCCCAGTTTAAGAAGTGAAAACAAAGGCAACGACCCCAATATCAACTTGGTACCCCAAGGCGGAACAGGATGGACAGGAGGCAAGGGAGACAAAGCAGAAAGGTCAGTCACCTTTGACCTTTTGACCAAGGTTGAGGAAGTAGCAGTATTAGTAGTAGTAGTTTTGAAATGAACACAGCGTAAACAAAGCATGGGACATCTGTCCTTGCAAAATAAAAAATGCTTGTTGGTTTAAGTTACCGGGTAAACAAATGAAGAAATTCGTACATAAAGGATTTGTTTAACTGATTTTGATGGTGCAAATGACACAGCACAGTTACAAAAACAGCATTGTTACAAACAAAATCGATAAATGAATTGCAGTAAGACATTTTATTGTCACTTGAAGAAATTTATTCATGTGCTTTAATTATTTCATGATAGCCATTGTATCCTCTTCATCTTGATATTATGTGCTGTTTGAATTGCATTTGATTTTGCATTTAAAATGAGATAATAAGGACCATTAGCAATGGAATGTGTACTGTAGGCCTATACATATGCGGCTCGGTAAAATATAAAATTATTAATAATTCATGATGTTTTTATTTCATAGAGGACATGCTGGCCTTTATCCTTGTAGTTGCCTCTTTCTGAAATATTCAGTAAATTTCTGATAATTTGCATTTAAAAATGGGTGTACTTCATTTTGAGGCACACTGTATTAACCTTAACTCCCTACTGTCTTTTACTAAGTACTGGCCCAAGTCCATCATACTCCATCAATTGTAGTCACACCAGGCCTGCAGGACCAAGTTCTCCCAAAATCCACCAAAATGGGGGGGGGGGGGGGGGGGGGGGGATGGATTTTGACGGAGTTGGGGTGGTTAAGGTTAAACCATTATTATCCATAACTGCCCTGAATCCTTCAAAATCCTCTTTGCCAAAGTGGAGGAATTTGGAGGATTGAGGTTACATGGCAAAAGTGCATTACTGATTTTGTTGGATGCACTTTGTCAAGGTCTTGGGCTGGACATTTTGTAGTTTTTGCTCAGCTATGCATAAATATAGGCCTGGATTATGCTTGAAATCCTGCGTACTGCTCCAGGTTGTCACTGGCCAAGCCATATTGACAGTCACTGCCGCAGTATTTTGCAGGATTCAGGCAGTGGTCACCCCTCCACGGACCATATTCACGAAATAATGGAGGATTTTGCAGGAATGAGGCTATATGCTATTTTTTCATGAGGCCAATTGGAAGATTTTGCAGGATTGAGGCTTCATCCTAGCAAAAAGGCCTAGAGAGTTGGGGTTATTTTTTTATAAATTATCATTTATTTTGTGCAGTTCGTCTGGAGATCAGAAACCAACCACTACCCAACCAGGACCAACATCAACCCCAGCAGCACCAGCGCCAGCGCCAGCACCAGCGCCCCAGTCAGCCCCAGACAAGCAAGGGGGAGCGGCCTCATGGAAACCGGGTGCTGCGAGTGCACCAGAAGGTAAAACGCACAATTCTACGGGTTTTTGTTTTGTTTTTTTAACTTGATTGGTTAAGTGCTCAGTGCTCACTTTATTGGTTAACCTTAACCCTAACCCACCTCACTCCTCCAAAATCCTCCTGGCGGTTTTGGAGGATTCTAGAGGATTGAGGATGAATGGTGATTGAATCAAATGAGGATTCTGGAGGATTGAGGATGAATGGTGAATGAAGCACAAGAGGATTTTGGAGGATTGAGGATGAATGCATTTTGAGGCAGGACTGTCTGATGATTTTGAAGGATTTGGCATTGGTTATCCTTCATTTAAACACGAGTGCAAAGTTTTGGGATGAGGAGGATTTTGGAGGATTGAGGATGAATGCATTTTGAGGCAGGACTGTCTGACAATTTTGAAAAATTTAGGCGGAGTTGAAACAATTTTGGAGGATTGAGGATGGTTGTAAGCAACAAGGGCCTAGGGGGTTAGGGTTAACCCTGCTGAATCCAAAAGGATCGAACTATGTCACATACCCGATGGAGCCTGTTGGATTGAGCAGTTAACCCCTTGTGTACATTCCTCATGCAAAATGTTGGATTCATCTGGCAACTGAACCGCATTATAACGCCATGTTAGACTCCGTTGGATTCAGTAGACAACTGAAAATGAGGCACAGTGGATTGAGCAGGAAAGTCCGGTTGGACTCTGTTGGATTTAGCAGGGTAGTCCTGAGGAAGTACTAGGGGGTGAGGGTTAATATTATTTATTTCTGGTAATGAAACCAAAGATTCTTCAAAAGCGCCATAGCACTGTAGCTTGCAAGCTCCAAAAGACGTATTTAGAAAACATATCACAGAAAAAATGCTCAGTTTTAGAGGTAGGGGAAACCTCAGTGACAAATATCGTGGGGACAGAATGAAAACCCAAATCTCACTAAACTTAGTAATAACATTGGAAAACTAGGAAATTGCCACTGCGCCAACATGCCTTGAACACCTTCATGGCCTGAACACTTTGCAAACATACTATCTATGCAAAGTTGCCCTTTCAGTCAAAATCAATCAAGAGACTGTTTTCAACAGTTCAGAGCTCCTAGCCTTCACAAAGCGGGATTGACTGGCTGTGACGGTCTATGTAACTTGAGACGTCTATGCTTTGACTGTAGCTGACTGATAAGCCAGCTGACCCTATTTCTTGCCTGCTTTTGTCTGTTAATGAATTTGACTAGTCACAGTGCTTTCTTAAAATATGATCTGACTGTTGGTGACTAGCCTGTGTAAAGGGCATGGCAGGGGAAGAGGACTGATTTTCGACTGTCTGTGAGTGGTCCAGCAGCAGGAGGGTTGATATGTTTCTGTTCTTCTTTTGGGTTTTTTAAGTGGCTGTTGTCTGTAAACACGATGAAGGTAAAATTAAAAGTCAAATGTAAATGCACAGTTCAGAACCGTTCTTAGTATACTAGGAGAATTAGAGCCTTGAATGAAGTCTAAGATTGTCCAAGACAAAAGGACTATGTCCACCGCTGCGCGGTGAGTCATGCCGGATGAAAATTAGGATTTCCTCCGAGCTAATAAGATCATCACGTGTTGTGCTGAGCTGAAGGTTACTTAATACTGAAACATACACGCATCTACTCAATGCCCTCGGCAATGATAACATTTTCATTATTTCTTTCTTTTGCATGCTAGTAACATGTGGAGAACCTAATTCATGTGACGTTTACAAAACTATTCAACAGTGACATTAAACATCCAATGAGTATGAATTATTGCAAAGTTTGGGTCATGAGTTCAAATAACTTTGTCAGGGGAAAGTAACATGTACAAAGCAGGGGGTTTGTTGCGCAAGTATTTGCAATCCTTTTTGCTATGGCACTTTGAAAATTTTTGCTTACTTGGCCGTAAGACCTAAATAATTCTGAAATTTTAACTTAAGAACTTTATGAAATGCGCAAGTATTTGCAATCCTTTTTGCTATGGCACTTTGAAAAATGTTGCTTACTTGGGCCACGAGACCTCAATAATTCTGGAATTTTAACTTAAGATCTTTATGAAAAGTTGGAAAAATCATCATGAAAAGCAAATACCAAAACTCCTTACCCAGGAAAATTTTCCTTTTATAAATATGGTGATAACCACAACTAAAAATGGCTTTGTTTTCATGGCAAATGGAGAACATTTGCTCAAAACCTTTTTCATCCACAAAGTAAACTTTGTTGATTGATTTCCAAAACAGACACATTTGGTGTGGCACTACTTCCATAAAATTCAACACCAATGCTAACTTTTTAAAAACCATTTAATCAATTTTCTAAGCTGGAAAAAAACTTTTTTTTGAATTGGCAATTGGTACTGAAACACCAACAGGTCATTTCCTTAAAATTGTTACCTTCACTTTATAAGAATTTTTCACAGATCACATGAAATGTTACACATTGTACATAATGTGTGGGTAGTATTGGGGTATCACTTGTAGACCTTTACTTCCCTACTATTGTTCTCCTTTGTTTCTGTTGAAATCTCAAACTCCATAGTATTTTACTTATTATTATTATTATTATTAATTAATTCTGGTATTGAAACCAAGGATTCCTCAAAAGCGCCCCTATCCGCTCCGTTCACAAGTACCCCCTCACCGTCAAAGAAAGTACAGTTAGGGGTGACTGACGGACGCCATCTTGCCTGACTGCAATTTTGCCACGCTGCGCAGCGGTACCACTGCGTTCACATAGTACAAATCCCCTGGTGTACGTGCGGCACACACAAGGAACGGTGTGCGTCAACCAGCTAAATGTCCCGCCCATGGGACGTCGTTGCTGGGTAAAATGGCACCCTCTTTCGTTGGCACACCGAGCCCATAGGTACTGTCACTTGCAAGCCAGACGAAACCTGTAGAGAATACATAATGGGAAGAAATTACAGTTTTAGAGGCTGGAGAAAAAAACTTAAGAAGAATATTCTAGGGGAAACCCACGAAATCTGGTAGGGACTGAAAACTTAACCCTCTTATGCAAACATACATTCTGTGCCAAGTTGTCCTTGCAGTCAAAATAAAAAAAAGTGACTGTTTTCAATAGTTACATGTAAGTGCTCCCAGCCAATATAAGGCAGGATTGACTGGCTGTGACCGATTAAGTAACCTGATACAGCAATGCTTTGACTCCGGGTGAGTGATAAAACAGCCGTGACCACAACTTGCCTGCTTTGTCTGTTGACCCAGTTTGACTAGTCACAGTGCTTGCTTGACGTATGATCTGCCTGCTGGGGAATAGCCTTTGTTAAAAGTATGTGCATCAGTACAGATTTGTGATTGTTTTTCTCACTTGCCATTGTAATTGTAGGCGCAAGTGTTCCCGCTGGTCCAGTGGAGAACGTTCCCAGGGGCTTCAACAGGGAGTTCCCCTCCCTCCAGGCTGGAGCGCCCCAACGGAGCCGCAACGCAAAGAACCACCAAAAGAAGTACAGTATGGGCCCGGACCAAGCCTTCGTCCACAGAGTAAGTTTATGACATCATCCATTAGCCTATGGTGGACACTTTAGACACACAAGTAGAGGACGCTTTTCGGTTTTCAATTAATTCTTTTCTATTTACCCAAATGTACCCAAACAAATAGCGCCCTCGTTTTGTGTCCCACCATATTTTTTAAAAAGGCTGTCGGGCTGTTGGTATAGAGTATATTTACTTGGTCAGAAGCATTGTTGCAATGCTTTGTGAGCCATGCATCAGTTTACATGTACATTGTACACTCTCTGTAATATATAAATTGAAAACAATGCATCCCATAACATACTGTATTTTCAAAACAATGTCTATAGTAAAGTCGCTTGTAAGCCGTTAATGAACCAATGTAGTGTGAGGATGTTTCAACTGTACAAGACGGCCGTATGTCACATATTTGATAAGCTTAGCTATTTTCAGAAGGCTTTAATTGTGTTCTTCCAATAGTTTTTTCTGGTCATAATCTGATAGTCCTGTATTAATCTTCTAACCCTTGCTGTACCACACCCTCCAATTCCGTGCAATATTTGCCAAAAGTGACTTTTCTGCAATGCTGTCCTACAGTACTACAAGATATGTTCATAGCTCACTGGCAATAAACAGCCCAAAGTAGACAAGTCTGTAGTGAGTTCCCTGGCCCTCCTAATCCCTCCAGATTAGTACCATTGCTAACCGTCACATAAGCCCTCTGATGTCATTCTGGTGCACTCCAGAAATCACTTGGCTGATGAGTCAAAGCATTGTCTAGTACACTTCAGCTGGAGTGCATTGATATGTCCAACTGACATGAGCTAAATTACACTAACCCTAATCCCCATCGAGTGTTCTTTAGGTACCCTGCTAAATGCAACAATATCCATCTCGGCTCAAATGAGAACCATTCTAAATGCAACGTATTGCAACAGTGGATTCTGTTGCATTGTGCAGTGAACCCAGTGCATACCAGCCTTGGCACCAAGTAGTTAACCCTGCTAAATGCAACAAACTGCAACAGTGGATACTCTTGTATCACCTTGGCACTATGACCAGTTACCCTGATAAATGCATCAAACTGCAACAGTGGATACTCTTGTATAGCCTTGGCACTATGAGCAGTTACCCTGCTAAATGCGATGAGATGGTTGAGTTGCCTGCTAAATGCAACGGCATGCAACAACTTTTTATCTTTGTTGCTTTCTGTTGCATTTAGCAGGGTTAGGGCTAAAGGAGCAATGGTTAATGTATATGGAACTCGAGTGCGTTAACCCTAACCCACCTCACTCCTCCAAAATCCTCCTGGCGGTTTTGGAGGATTCTAGAGGATTGAGGATGAATGGTGATTGAATCAAATGAGGATTCTGGAGGATTGAGGATGAATGGTGATTGAAGCACATGAGGATTTTGGAGGATTGAGGATGAATGGTGAATGAAGCACAAGAGGATTTTGGAGGATTGAGGATGAATGCATTTTGAGGCACGACTGTCTGATGATTTTGAAGGATTTGGCGTTGGTTATCCTTCATTTAAACACGAGTGCAAAGTTTTGGGATGAGGAGGATTTTGGAGGATTGAGGATGAATGCATTTTGAGGCAGGACTGTCTCACAATTTTGAAAAATTTAGGCGGAGTTGAAAATGTTTGGAGGATTTTGGAGGATTGAGGATGGTTGTAAGCAACAAGGGCCTAGGGGGTTAGGGTTAAGCTTAAGAGAATTTTTTTTTTTTGTATTTTTGGTTAAACAAAATATGATTGAGCTGCCAGATGATGTAGCGATTGGATGAGTTGATGATTACACTTTATCCACTACCCATTACTGATGGCATTTTCGGCAAGATATTGTCCCTTGAATTCAATAAGTATAACATTCTTATACTTTAAACTCTAAATTGGTAAGTGAGATTGTTCATTTTGTTTTTGTACAGATGTAGCAAGCTGGCGAGAAGGCGGCAGCTCCCTCAACAAAGCCACTGGCAGTGGGACGGGGGCGGGGGCGGGGCCCAGCTCAGGGGCTGGGCCCGGCGGGGAGGGGGAAGGTGGTAACCAGATGAAGGACAAAGCACCCATGATGCACCCCATGGCGGCTGGCCACCTACCCCCTAATATGAACGGGGGTCAGGGTGGCCCCCCTCCCCCGGGCCCCATGCCCCCGCAGTTCAGGGGAATGATGCCACCCTTTGTAAGTGGAATATTTGTCTTGTGTTTTCGATGCTTAATTCATAACGCTAATATAAGCTAATATGTTACAAATTGCTGTAGGCTTGGACTTGCAGCACGCGTTGATTATGCAAACGAAGTGTGTAACAAATTTAAGGTTTTCAGGGTCCATCGCAAGTTTGTCCCAAGTCTGATCAAAAGTAAACCACAAGTCCAAGCACTAGTTTAGTCACATGCAACAGGGGATAAACAACATCTCGGGAATGTTTTTGGCACAGTTCTTTTGAATAGCTTGTGACTTGACTTGAGACGGGAAAACTTGTGATCATCTTTTGATGGACTTGTGATCATCTTGTGATGGACATGTGAGGACTTGTGATCATCTTGTGGGGACTTGTGATCATCTTGTGATGGACTTGTGGGGACTTGTGATCATCTTGTGATGGACTTGTGGGGACTTGTGATCATCTTGTGATGGACTTGTGGGGACTTGTGATCATCTTGTGATGGACTTGTGGGGACTTGTGATCATCTTGTGATGGACTTGTGGGGACTTGTGATCATCTTGTGATGGACTTGTGGGGACTTGTGATCATCTTGTGATGGACTTGTGGGGACTTATGATAGACTCAACTTCAGCACTGTGTCTAGAACAAAACCAAAGACTTTTCTTGAATGGATTGTGCACTTAACCAAGCCACTATTACTTGATGTAGAGCATGATGTTCCATTCTGAAGTATTAAGAATTAGCCATTAGCTTTCGCAAAAAACATCAAGAAAAATGTTTGCTTGTGCTCTGTTTAATACAGAAAAAAAAGTCGCTAGTTTTGTTTTTGTATTTTTGGTTGAAGAAATACAGGGTGAGTAAAAAAAAAAAAAAAACAAATGTTGGGACCATTGTTTTTGTGAAGTTCTGCATGTAGCGCTTCCAAAATCTAGGATATGAAAGCCCAATTCATAAGCTTTCTTTTAGTACAAGAATCATTCAATTCACTCATGTACTTTTCAAGTTACGGAATTTTAAACACAACCACCGTTTATAGTTCTTCCACGGATCAACAGAAGGTAAACTTGTGTTCTTTCAGCAAAACGAAAACAAAATTACATAGGGATGTTTGTGAATTCTTTCGTTTTGCTGAAAGAACGCACACTTTTTTTGTGATACGTGGACAGAACTTTAAAACGGTGGTTGGTGATTTGAATGATTCTTGTACTAAAAGAAGGCTTATGAATTGGGCTTTCATATCCTAGACTTTGGAAGTGCTACATGCAGAACTTCAGTAAAACAGAAGTCCCGACATTTGGGTTTCGCTTTTTTTGACTCGCCCTGTATGAATGAGCTGCCAGATGATGTAGCGATTGGATGAGTTGATGATTACACTTTATCCACTACCCATTACTGATGGCATGCTCAGCCAAACACTGTCCCTTGAATTCAAAAAGTACCTATGGCTAAAAAGAAAAAGAAAAATATATCATTGATGGATAAATAGCTCATGGTACAAATGGTACTTTGCTATTAAACTCAATTTAGGTTTGGCCCTTCACCAACATGATTTCATAAACACTGTAGGCGCAATGCTGTCCAAGTGCTTGGTGGAGAAGTAAGAATTTGCACTAGTAAACGGGAAGTCATAGATTTGAGCCTCGCTTGAGTATTGCTCGTATAGCAGTGAGTACACAGAACGTATGAAATAAGATAGACCTTATGTGTAGAGGCGATCTAACGGCGATTTTTGTTATTTTAATTCTGTAACAATGAATGCACAAAAGGTTCACTCATGCATACCCCAGCTAACAAAGGCATTGCCCTCTAAGGTGGCTGCTACGCATAAGGTCTATTTGTGAAGGGCAAAAGCCTACAAAATTGTGACTAGCATGTACAAAATTGTGACTAGCATGTACAAAATTGTGACTAGCATGTTCAAAATTGTGACTATGTACAAAATTGTGACTAGCATTTACAAAATTGTGACTAGCATGTACAAAATTGTGACTAGCATGTACAAAATTGTAACTAGCATGTACAAAATTGTGACTAGCATGTTACAAAATATGCTGGTTTGCAATTGCATGTTGACCTCTAGAAAATATCGTTCTTTTGATTCCTCTTTCAAAAAATTATAAAATCCTGTTTGTAAAGTTTCGGGGAATACCCACATAAACACTTACTTTCCTGATCCTTTAATGTTCGCCAGAAGTAAGACGTTTAAATGAAGCACTTTGAGTAAAATATCCTTCGTTTGTTACACCTGTGTCTCCCAACTGTACAGATGTATGGAAGAGGAGGCTTCCCACCCGGCGGTCCCCCAGGCCCTGGGGGTCCCCACCCCGGGGGTCCAGGTGGCCCTGGTGGTCCACGTGGACATTACCCAATGGGCTTCCCCCCAGGAATGCAAGGACCACCCAGGCAGGGCTACCCTCAGCAGGATCAAAGGTGGGTGGTAGTAAATGGTTTCTGTATCTGTTCGTCCAGGTACAAACACCATCTTCTGGTTGTTGCATACGTTGGTCAGGTCGTGTGCAAGTCAGGAATTAGGTTATGGGATGGGCTTTTGCAGTGAGAATTCTTATGTTGATGGAATTAATATCCTACTTTTAAATGTATTGACATCCGGTACACTTCTTGTGTCAAGATCAAGGAGGTTCCATTCTGGGATTGTCTTTGGCTAAAGAGAAAGACGGTAACGATCCTTTTTAGAAGTGATGGGGATTTATTTGAAAGCCCCTGTTTGTCTGGTTTGATGACAATTTGAGGAGTTTGCAGGCTAAAGATAACACTGGATATTTGTTTTATAACACTGGACATTTGCAGGTTTCCACCTGAACTGGGAAAAAAAAAACCAAGTTCAATTGAACTGCTAAAAGATTGACACCCCTGTCTCAAAATTTGGAATTTGATCATCAGAAAAAAATCATCAAGCAAGTTTAAAAAAAAATTAAAATATCCAGATGATGTGTTCTGATTTAACCAGTAACCAATGACTGGTTTTGCATTTTACTTCAGAATCATTTCATGAATAAAGTTTTAAATTTTCATGAAGTAATAACTGATATCTTAAGCAGCTGATAATATTTGTTGCACTTGTCACAAAATCACTCGAAATATGTGCATGAGCCTCGATAGATTGTTACCTGTTAAAAGCTAAATATGCATCATTTCTTCCCTCAGAAGTTTTCTTACAATTTCAGAGGCTTAAGTGAATTGTTAGTTTACCCATAAACGAGCATTTGCAGTGTTATTTTGCAAAGTGTAGGCTAGTAGTCAGGTGATTAAACATGCTGACTGGTGATTGGAGGGTCCGGGGGAAGCCACTTTACCCCAATTTGCCCATTTCACCCAGAAACACTTATTATGGTGTCGTCATCAGCTAAAGACCTAGTCTTTGTAATAGATCCTGGCCCTGGCAAAGCCAACCATGGTCTATGGATTCTGCGATTCTGCGTAAACAGATTCTGCGATTAATTACGCAACTAGACTACGTATGACCTTGAGAAACTGACCAATCAGCAGGCGCCTTCGATACGCGTGTAAATGCAAGCTCCCCGGGTGGATAAACGTCACGCCCACGATGAGTAGTATTTGTGTACAGGTGGTTGTATTTCAAAACCGCGGCATCGAAATTGACCAATTACAATCTTAGTCCTGATTTTGGAATGAAATGATGTCATGCATGCTTAGATATATCAGACGTTCTACCGGAGATGGGCTGCGTGGAGAACGGGTGATACTCGGACTACTACAGACCCTACTGTGGATCCCATCCAGGAGAACAGAAATATTAGCAGTCATTTCATGGTGGAGTGTCGGGTTGGGAAAGCTTTTGAAGTGGATGAGGACGGACAATTCTGGGTCTTTTTGCGGGACATGAAGGCCCAGCTTACTGCTCTCTGACTCAGTGTGTCACTGGCTGGCTGACTGACTGAGTCACTGAGTATATCTCAGACCTTCGGCTCCAGCTGGACTTGGCAAGCTTAGTCTTGTGTTTAACTTACACATCTACGTCCATTTTCAGACAAATGAAACCAGGCGGACCAGGCAGAGGCCCCAACAATCCCGACCCCAGGGCCGGAGGGCGCTTCCAGAAGACGACCATCGTCAGTGCAGAGACCCTGCAGCAGCTGGACCACCTAGACCAACCCACGAAGACCATGGATGGCTGGGCAACGGCCCATGGAGAGGTGGACTACTCCGCCAAGCTGGTGTTCAGCGACGAGGAAGAAGGCCACAAAGGAGAAAAGAAAAAAAGGTTTGGCATCCAAATATTGACATGCCCACATTGGCGACTGAAAATTCAACATAATTTGAATATGAATGATTGGGGGAAGCAGTTAACCTCAACCCTCCGCATTCCTCAAAAATCAACCAGGTGCTTTTGGAGGATTTTGGAGGATTTTGGAGGATGGAAGCTGTATGCCTGTTAATTATTAGCTCCCTTTGATCTTGAAGGTGTCTGTACCATTTGTTTATGATTAGCCATGTATAAATAGTCCTAAATTATACTAGATATCATCCGCACTGCTTCCAGATATCCACACTGCTACAACGTCTTACAAGTGATTTAGAGGGTTTTGTAGGATTGAGGCAGTGGTAACCCCTCCGCCAAACAAATTTAAGAATTGGCAGATGATTTTGGAGGATTTGGGCAGTATCCAATTTGAACATGCAGTCAGATGGATTATTTTGCTAGCGGGTTAGGGTTAACGGATTGGTCACTGTAGCGCCCAAAACCATCCTGCCTATTACTCCCTGTGGCACCTGAAACTGCCGAAGTACTCTGGTTTTTGGAATTCTTCAGTGCATATACACAATGTTATACAATTTAGTGCAGTTGCTACAGGTTTGATAAGGAAGATAGAAAGGCAATTGGATTGCGTAGTGCTGATACAGATGCATTTTAAGAAAGTGTTCATAGCCCTAACAGTCCTGAATCCTCCAATTTTAATACGATTTTGCACACCCCCTAGGGAGGTAGGGTTAATGCTCAGCCAAAGAACAAGTTCAGAATTGGTTCTCAGAAAACCATCGCCGTACCTATTTTGAAGATCTCTGTTAAATTTGATATACAAAGGCATAATTATATTTCCTGCTGATTTATTTTATAGGAATAAAGATGATGGCAGTCAGCAACAGAGACCCCGTGATGCAAGAAATGACTCTGCGGAAGACAGGAGGCGGCTGGACGCAAACCGAGTAAGTCAGAGCTCTGCAATTTTTATTAATTGTGACAATGCGGCCTTGGGGAATGTCATGAATGTGTAGATCTATCCGGGGTGACTTTCTTTCTCATTTGTATTCTCCTTACCAGTTTTTTGGGGGCCTTGTGTCCTCCAGGGAATGTCAGGTTTCTTATACCCATGTATACATGCCGTAAAACCGCCTTATTACTACACTGTCTTTGTTGGAGCCCTAGTACGGAGGGCACCGCAGTTCCAGCGCTTCAGTCACTAGAAGTAGTCAAAGTTCAATCGTGATTTTCAGTCCCCCTTCAACATAATTTGTGGGTAATAACTTGAAACAGTCAAGGTTTGTATTTAGTGGTAGGATGCAGTGGTTCACTCAGGTAAAGAGCACTGTAGAACATCTTGCATAGCTTTGAATTTCAAGGTTTTTTTTTTTACCTTTCCAGTTGTATATTCAATTAAGTTTGGTTTCAGCCTCAATCCTCCAAAAATCATCCGTTATTTCTTGAATTTGTTCAGTGGAAGGGTGACCATTGCCTCAATCCTGCAAAATCCTCTAACAATCACTGTTAATGTGTTGAGGCAGTGCCGATGACATTCAGATGTGGTGCGGATGATATCGAGCATAATGCAGGGCTCAATTATGCATAACTGAACATAAGCAGTGCTAGGCGCAGCCTACGAACTCGACACAATGCATCCTCCAAAATGAACGAACACTTTTTTGCCATTCAGCATCAATCCTCCAAAATCTTTCAAAACGTTCCATGATTTTGGAGGAGGGTTAGGGTTAAGGCCCAGGATGAAGCCTAAGACTTTCAATGTTGTGATTAGAAAGATGTTCATTTGCTTATCGGAGGTTCAGCTTGGACTTCCTAGGATTTTGTGGCTGCTCACCCATGTAGTCTCACTGAATGCTTTATTCGACTGCACCCTTCCCATGCTCTGTATCTGAGTTTTTTACTCATTTCTCACATGTTGCCCTATTACAGGATGATTATAGAGAGAGACCAAGGGATAGACCAGGCATGTCTGGTACCCCGCCCCACAACCAGATGCAGCAACAGCCCCCAGGGGGAAGGATGGGTCCCCAGGGCCAGGGACCAGGTGGACAGATGCACCCTGGTATGGTACCACAGGTATGTGAAGTTCTTTTAAACAAAGCCCATTGTTAGAACCCTTAGCACAACATTGGGGCTTGCTTTAAACACTTGGATACTCTGTTGAGTGTAATTTGGATGCGTATTTTTCTTTACACCATAGCGAGGGTACTCAATGTCCAGGCGACTTGAATAAAGACTAAAGGATTGTAGAGCGCTGCTCTACAATCCGTACAATCCTTTTATTCATGCATGTTCACACTTGTACTTATGCTCTGTACATAATTCAAAAAATTCGCTTATCAGCCGAGCAACCCCGATGGCCAATGGAAAAGCAGTAGTCTTTTCCTTCTGTGTGTCTTATGTCGGTGTGTTCCATTTCGGTTAGGTAAACTGTTTAGTGCTGTCATATGAAAAGTCAGACTTCAATCTCAACCAAACTTGGTGACAATAATCTTTCTGTTGGGGACTTAAGATGACCCTGCCAGAGGGATCACGCAAGTTTATCTTGCATTATTTTCTTTTTTCGCCCTTTCAAATCCAATATGATCCAATGTAAATATTGGTTGCAACTTGTGGTTTGGGTACACACGAGGTCTTCTATTATTTCCAGAATGTTGAGTTGATTTTCTTGTGTGATTGATTTCCAGGGCTGGAATCGTGGAGAACAGCCACCATTTGACCAGAGAGGTCCGCCCCAGCCCCCACCCCAGGGTCAATATAGCAGAATGCCCCCACAGGGCCCTCACTTTCAGCAGCCCCCGCCACATGGCCCACCTCTAGCCAGTGGTCCACCACTAGCCAGTGGTCCACCACAGGTAGGCCTCAATAAGCCAGTTGGGTACTCCAACTGCGCATGTGCACATCAAGATACGCTGATTTTTCTTTCGGGATAAAAATTTATCGCATGCATGCAAAAGCATAGCGGGTTACCAGCAAAATTGAAGAGATCATCATGTTCTGAAGTGTAACATTTTGCAAAAGAAAAATTTGGACAGCGACGTTTTTGTAGGTGTCTTGTGTGTCCATACTTTTGTGCGAACGAAAATTCCATCTCTTTTCGATTGAAAGAGAAATTGCACAGGATGCAGATTCGATTATCAAGTCCGTCATAGCCTTTTGTGCATTTATCCGCCGCGGTTATTCCGAAAAAAAATTGTTGAATCTTGCTGTACACCAGACTATTTTGGAATAGCAAACTCGCTTATTTGAGGGATTAAACCTTAGATGCTCAAATTGTCATGAAAATTTCACATCCACCTCTTATTTCCCTCGGCCCTCTTCCCATCCTGATATTTGTTTGCTTTCTGTGGGGGTTTCTCCCCGTACAGTTGCAGCTGAAATCAAATTTAAATCTTTAAGTATCGGTGTAGAGAATTTGATTATAAAAGAATTTTTATGACGTGGTTCTGAATCAAACAGAAAACAACAGCTATAAAAATGGTCTGCTCACTGACTTGTGGGGATAAATTATTCAGGAACTATACAGGGGTTGTGAAAAACGAAACCCAAATGGCAGGACCAAGTTTTGAATGAAGTTTTGCCTGTAGCACTTTCAAAATCTAGGATATGAAAGCCCAGTCATTAAGCTTTCTTTTAGTACAAGAATCATTCAAATCACTCATGTACTTTTCAAGTTGCGGAATTTTGAACACAAACACCATTTTAAAGTTCTGTCCACGGATCACAAAAAAAGTAAGTGTTCTTTCAGCAAAACGAAAAAAAGTCTCGTAGGGATGCCTGTGAATTGTATTCGTTTTGCTGAAAGAAGACTTTACCTTTTTTTTTGATCCATGGACAGAACTTTAAAATGGCAATTGTGTTCAAAATTACGTAACTTGAAAAGTACATGCATGATTTGAATGATTCTTGTACTAAAAGAAAGCTCATTGATTGGGTTTTTAGATTTTGAAAGTGCTACAGAAACTTACTCAAAAAGTGGTCCTGCCATTTGGGTTTTGGTTTTTTTTTTTTACTCACCCTGTACTGTGTTCCAACCTTTTGTGCGTGGAGAAGACTTGGGTTATTGGGTTTAGTGGACAGGTGTTGATTTTGATGTACATTTATCGAAACACTGTAAATAGTTGCCTTAACAATTGCTTTATCTCATTTCAAAACGATCAGCCTAACCCGGTCGTCCTGCAGGGTTCCAAGCCGCCCATGGACGAAGAGGAGGACCGCTGGCGCCAACAGCGCCAGAAGCAATCGGACGAGATGACCAAGAACATTGAGAGGGCTCGCCAACGCCGCCTGCTCAAGGAGCAAGAGGAGGAACAGCTGGACCAAGATCGCAAAGCGGCCGCCCAGGAGAAACTGCGCAAGCTGGAGGAACGCATGGGGGAACGACCCAGGCCGGACTCGGAGACGGAAGGGAGCGGGCCAGCTGCTGCCGGCAGTGGGGAGGACAGGGGGAGCGAGTTGGTGCTGCCCTCTAGAGACGGTGGCAAGAGACAGCGGACGGAGAGCGGTAGCAGCGATGGGTCCGGGCCCAGACAAGGCCGTGATGGGAGAGGTGGGTTTGTGATGTCCAGGAAGTTTTGTAACGCCAAAATATTGAAAAATACTTGGCTTAGTTTTAGGATCATTGTGGAAATGATCAAAAGGCATCAAGTGAATAAACTTAGCTATTAGGCCCAACCCATGTGGGCAACATGTGCCTCTCGAATGGCACACTGCATGCGTACATGGTATGGGCTCCGTGCGCCGACGAAACAGGGCGCCCTTTTACCTAGCAACGACGTCCCATGGGCGCGACATTTCGCTGGTTGATGCGCACCGTTCCTTGTGTGTGACACACGTACACCAGGGGATTTGTACTGTGTACACGCAGTGACCGCGCTTCGCAGCAAATGAATTAGAGTCAGGCAAGATGGCGTCGGTCGGTCACCCCCAACTGTACTTTCTTTTCCGGTGAGGGGATACTTGTGAACGGAGCGGATACACACGTGCAGGCATGTTGGACTTTTGCACACATATTTTGGACATTCATCACTGAGCTTAACGAATCAGCCTATTGCATAATCATTGTAATCTAATAATCATTGTAATCACTATAAACATTAACCCTTACCCCTAGGTATTTTGGCTAGAAACCCTACTAAACGCAGCAACATGCAACACTTGTCAAAAGCACAAGCCTGCCCAGTATAGCAAGATCCATCAGGTCAAATTTGTTGCGTAAGTCTTACGCATGGCGCAAGCTACGCATTTTTTTGTGAAATCGGCTGCAGAGCACGCTGTTGAAACGTCGAGTTAAAACAGTTGGTTCTACTCAGAACCACTAAACTCAAAAGAGATCAAATTCACATAGTGTTACCACAAACCTTACATACTTTGGTCATGCCCACCGGCAAACCTACAAGTCTCATTTGACCACGGGGTTGCAATTAGAAAATAGGGTAGTAGACAATCTTGCGAGAATCTCAGTTCATTTATACAAATTGTAACACCGACACTACCAATTTGTCAACAGGAACTTACCAGCGTCAGCAGCTCAGGAACCTACCACCGCGGTTCCTCAAGCAACAGCAGCAGCACCAACATCAGCAACAGCAATACCCGCCACAGCAGCAACACCCGCCACAGCAGCAACAAAAGCCATATCCGCAGCAAATGCCTCCACATCACGACCCATCCCTGAGACGTTATCCCCCTTATCCGCCACAGCAGGTATGGCCAAAGCAAAACATCTGCTGTGTTTCCATTTTGAAATACAAAAGAATGTACCAAGTTTTTGAATTTGAAGTGGCAATTTGTTTTTCTTTGAAGGGATTTGGCACTAGAAAAGCAAAATGTCTCAGAAAACTCATCCAAGTGGTCATGAACTGCAAGCCGTTACTTTTTCTTTTACAACTCGATTGACAAAATTTACTTAGTAACTTTACTAAGTAACTGTTCTTCCTTTACTCAAAGTTCAGGTTTCCCTCAATTATTTTGAACGTCCGCTTAGGGAATAGCAACAATCCCATGGGACTTCTTTATGTTCGAGCAAGCAAGTTCTGAACAACCAAAATAGTTTGAGTATTGATATAGTATTCCTTTTTTTCTTTTCTGTCTCAGCAACATGAACAGGAGCAGGGGTCAGGTGCGCCACCTCCCCCTCATCCATCATATCCCTCCCAAAGGGAGTCTGGTGACCCCCGGGAGATTCGACGGGAGGCCAGGGATGGTCCCGATCAGCAAGACGGCCGCAGCGGCCCTCCCAGAGAGATCAAGAGACAAGAATCCAACAACAGGAGAAGCCCAGACGACTGGGAGTCCGCTCAGGTGGAGAGCAGAGAAGGGCGGGGTGGGGAGCCGAGAGATGGGCGTGGTGTGGAGCCGAGAGATGTGCGTGGTGGGGAGTTGAGAGATGGGCGTGGTGGGGAGCAGAGAGATGGGCGTGGTGTGGAGCCGAGAGATGGGCGTGGTGGGGAGCTGAGAGATGGGCGTGGTGTGGAGCCGAGGGATGGGCGTGGTGTGGAGCCGAGAGATGGGCGTGGTGGTGAGCCGAGAGATGGACAGGGTGGTGACACCACAAAGGACGGCAGACTCGGCGGGGAGGTGCGGACAGCTTGGACAGCACCTGAAGGTCCACCACAAGAACCAAAAGCTGCACCCCAACCACCAGGTAAAGAACCAATTGTTTCACCCCGAGTCATAACCTACTGATATCTATGTTTATTTTGTATGCAGCAGGCAGAGAGTATGAGAGTATGTCACAAACTACAAACTCAAATTTCCCCAAATATAGTTGGTTTGTACTCCTTGTACCTTACAGGCATGGCGTATTGCAACTCAACACTCAGGAATAGTTGTCCAACGAGTGACGCGCGCACTTATCTCTGGAATCTATTCAAAAGTGCTGGTCTAGATTTTTATAAAAAAAACTCACAATTTCCCATATTTTTTTGTACGATGGAAGCTACGGAAAAGAACTGTCTTAGCAAGAGGTATTTACATATGTACATTTATTTATTCGAAGGTGCATACCCACAAGCCAGACGAGGTGATGGCAGAACGGATAATCAAGAAATGAAACCAACCCCATCCTCAGTCCCAGATAAGCCCCAGCCAGTCCCTCTCATGGAAACCCAGCCTCAACCCCACTTTGAGTCAGAGAGGAGGAGATATCCCGATCCAGACAGAGGAGGCAGGAGATATGATTCTCGGTCTGGTGGCAGCGGGCGGGATGGCCGCCAGCCCCAGCATCCCAACAGATCCAGACAGGAATCTGACATGGACAGATATGATGATAGAGTCCCTGGCAAGGGGGACAGTGGGAAGCATTATCATGAGCAACGGAGGAGTAGTTCTGATCACAAAGAGGGTGTGAATCAGCAGGCTGAGCGTCAAGCTGCGGAGCCGTCACCAAAAGAGCGACAGTCCAATACCGATGGCAAAGCTGCAGACAGCATCCGTGGGGGATTCTCAGAGAAGCCAAAACAAGGATCTGGGGAGCATAAAGCCTGGTCTCAGTCTGGTAAGCGTCAGGATGACAGGCAGGTATCAGAAGGCAAACAGCGCAAAGGAAGCGATAGTAAGGAGACGGGTCAGCGGGACCGAAGAGACAGAATCAGTTCCGCTGGCCATCAGGAATCCCCTGAAGGCAGGTCAAGAAATGATGGCGAGGCAAACAAGAAACGGGATGCAGTGGCTGATCTGGGTAAAAAGCCAGGGCATCAGAAAGAGCCTGCTGAGAGGAAGAAATGGCAAGAGCCGCCAAGGCTCACCCCTTCCACTACTGAGCAGAGAAAGGAAGGATCTACAAGGCCTGATGCATCAACTGCAGTTTCAGGTGATGCTGTCAAGGATAAAAGTAGCTCAGACAAGAACGATAAAAAGAGTGATGCTGGTTCAGTATCCGACAAATCTTCAGTTGATACGGTTGAGAGCAAAAGTTGCAAAGATGCAAAAGACCCCACAGTTGACAAGGGTAGGGAGTCAAGCAGACTCAGACGAGACAGATCAGACAGACGAGAGAAATCAGACAGACCGATCAGACCGGACCAGCCATATAGAAGAGACAGAGGAGAGAGGCCAGATAGACCTCCACGAGGAAGGAGAGATGGGCCTGTTGCTGATAGGAGAGATTCCAGGGGGCGTGGGACCAGAGTAGATTCGGGTCGCAGCCGGGGTCGCGGCTCAAGACCCTATGGCTCGGGTTATTCAAAGGGAAGAGGGGAGCGTCGCTATCAACCATATGAAGGCCGAAGACCAACTCCAAGTGAAGATTTAGAGGACGTTCCAAACCTCAATTTAGAAACTGTGGATGAGGCTGCCCCAGCTAAAGAAGCCATATTAAAACAAGGATCTAAAGGAGATGACAAAGAAGCAATAGAAAAGAAAGAAGTTGCTGCAAGTGAGGATGGGGTGATGAGGGAGAGCCATTCAGACGGGAGTGTGTTTAAAAGTGGAGAAAAACGAGGATTTGTGCCGAGAGGAGAGCCTTCTAGAAGAGGCCGTGGCAGGGGAGGCTCTAGTAGTAATCGTGGAAGGGGAGGTCCACAAAATAGGAGTGCAAGTGCTATGCATATGGGAAGAGATTCATATCGGGACCGGGATGGCTACAAGGGACGGGATTTCAGAGGCAAGGACAATTACCGGGAATGGGATGGTGACAGGGATAAGGACAACAGGGACACTAAACGGGATAACAGCAGAAGAGATGATGAAGTCTCTGATAGGAAACCACCAAGAGACCAATATGAACGATCTGATATCAGGAGGGGGAAACCTGGTAAAGGAAGCCGCGTGGAGCAAAGGTTGCGCCCTGAGCGTCCACCAAGATTCCAGAACACAAGAGGGAGGGGCAGAGGACGTGGGGGACGGGAACCCAGAGGTCGTGGAGGACCTGTTAGGAACCCAGCACCACGGACAAGCAGCAGTAGTGAAGGAGCAATCACGTCTGCTGCCTCAACTAAGCCAGCCCTGACCAAACAGAACTCCTCAGATCTGAACAATGAGGAGTGGGAAACCGCCTCAGAGAGCAGCGACTTCAACGAGAAGAGGGAGAAGACGGAAGAGAAGAAGGAGAAGCCGTCGCAGGAAGCCTGGACGGAGTCCAAGGAGAACATCCAAGTCAATCATAGCAGCAATAACAGCATCAACGGAGGATCGGGAGCCAAGAAAGGTCCGACTGGACAACGACCAACTGGAGACAGATTCTACAGGAGCAGTGGACGAACTGAACCAGGTAAAATTAGCATACTAAATAATTACTTTTATAAAAGCTTTCAAAAGTCCATGAAACAAACAAGTGGCTTAAAAATGGTCATCTGTTTCCAGTGCTTTTGAATTTAGAATGTTCTTTTTGAGAATGTGGCTCATTCCCATGATGTTGCCCATAACTGGCTGCTTACAAGTGCAGGGCCAGTTCATACTAACATAGTTTTAGTGTGAAGCACATTTGTGTGAAGTATGAACCGACCTTCGGTGTGTGCAGTATTCCCATTGAGAAAATACTGACATCAGTACGGACATAAGTTCCAGTTTGAATAGGCCTTGATTGCTGTTAAGCTTTCCAAGGGTTCAAAACTTTGCAAATGCTTCTTAAAGGGAATGTACAACTTTTGCTGCAATTTTCAGAAATAAATAGATTTGGAGGATTAGTATGTTATAGCAAATACTGTTAAACAGACTTGTTTCACGTTTTGGGCTTGTAGATGCTGGAAAAACCAAGAAAACCATTCATTTTCTTGAAGTCTGGTTCCCCGACCCGACTTAGGATAAAACTGAGAAACGTAAAGACTTTGGGGAATTGTAAAGTCAAAGAATCACTCTAGCAGGTTTGTAACCCTTCACAGGTGTGTAATCTATTGCAAAGAAAATGCGGAATAACTAAATATGAAAAATAGGAGCAGTTTCTGAAAAAAAGCCAGTTTTTTCCAACGCTGGTCGGCCGACCAGCGATGGAAAAATACAGTTTTTCTTGAAAATGTCAGCACACCAGGAGCCACGATTTTACAGGATGCTTTAGACTGTCAATCCCTGACAATTTAGTGAGGTATTTCGTGATAATTTGATCATTTCGTTTTTTGATGTTTGCAAATGTTGTATCTTCCCTTTGAGTCTAAAAGCAGTACAGTAAAAAGAACATTTTTCTCTTCACCACAGATGGGCACGAGTCCACAGGGAAGAGCGGGAGCAACCAGCGCGATGGAAGTCGCAGCTCATCGTCGCGGGGAAGCGGCTCATCGGGAAGTCGAGCAGGGGACCGGCGAGTGCCTGGTAACGGTAGCAGCAGCAGCAGCGGTGGCGGCGGAGGTGGGGCTAATAACAGGAGGTCTGGAGGTAAAAGCGGGCCTGTGTCCACACAGCGGAAGCCCGACGGCCGACCCGTAAGGGAAGAGAAGGTTTTCAGAGTGGATAGTGTGCAGCTCAAGGATCCTACTGCTGTCAAGGTACTCAAACTAGGCATTAGCATTCTAAGGGCCGATTCACATTGGCAACTTTCACAAGCAACTTGTTGGCAGCCAAATTGTTGCGTCCGTGCAACAAGGTCGTATCTCCTAAAATGGGCAGTACATGAAACGCGAGTTTCAGAATGTGAAAAGGTCTGTCTCACTTAAAATAACCCGGATGTACACACAAAGTCAAAGGACGTCAAGATACAACCTTGTTGCACGGACCGTATTCGTGCGGGATACGTCTTTGTTGCAGAATCGAGTTACGACCTTGTTGCACTGATGCAATGAAATGCACTGTAAGGAACTCCTCGAGATTAACAAAGTTTAATTTCCTTATAACGTATGCAAATTCCTCAAAACATTTCACACATTTAAAATTTGCCTGTCATTTTCTTCTTAGAGATTACTTAGCACAAGTTGCCTCTAAATTAACTTCAGTGACATGGTGTTGCCTATCAAAAAACAAAAGCAAACAGTTAGGTCCTGGGAAGAGCCATGTCAATAAACAATGTGGTATTAAAGGAAAGGGTTAAAAGTTTTATGATACCAAATTTGTAGAGTTTGGGTAGGCCTGGGAGGGTAGAGTGAGTTGCATACTCGCCCAGCGGCAGTTTTGAGTGATTTCTGCTCCATTGCCTATGGAGTTCAGACAATTCATGCATTGTCAAAGACTGTCTTGCACCAAATTACTTGTTACTCAACCATCCCAAAACATCCGAGACTCAAAGGCCGGGCTGAATAGCAACTGAAAGGTCTCAGATGCAATACGGAATGTGAGCTGCCAGATGATGTTGTGATTTGATGAGTACATGATTACACTCTATCCACTACCCATGACTGATGGCATGCCCTTTGACAAGTAAATGCTGTTATAAAAAGAACCAAATTGTGTTACCATCTGTGTACCCCAGAAACAGATGCCCTCTGTTAGCATCAACGTGGTGTTCCAGTGTGTGGTTTTTAATCACTTTGCTTCATTTCAATATCTACTCCTCTAGTCGTCGAGTACATCACAAATCCTTCCAAGACCTTTCTACAAGTCCGTCACTTGAAGTTTGCCAGTCCCGAGTCGAGTCTCAAGCTATTCAAATGAACTGCGTCAAAAGTCATTAATGCACCAAGCCGTAGTGGCCTCCGTTCCAGTAACAACCTAAGAGTTCCATGCACATTCAAAAAGGCAGGGGACAGGGCCTTCGCAGTGTCTGGTCCCCGACGCTGGAATTCCTTGTCACACAACATCCGCAACATCAGTTCTCTTGACAACTTTAAGGGCAGACTGAAAACTGATCTGTTCTCTCCACATAATCTGTAACTTGTCTTCTGGAGTTGTTCTTAGTCGCGCATTGATACTGGCGAAAATGCGCGCTATAAATCATGTTATTATTATTACCTTGTGATGGACTTGTGATGGACTCTATGGCAAAACTGTCACTCGTCTCCCCTGTCCCTGTTGACTTTCAGAATGCCCTGACTGACATGTCCAACTATGGCCTGGTCACCAACAAGAAGCCAGCGTCTGCGGTCATCTCTGGAAAGATCAGCGGTGCAGGCAACAACAACAGCAGCAGCAACAACAGCAGCAGCAACAGCAGCAACAGCAGCAGTGCCAGCAAGGTCAAGACAACAGCAGAGAAGAAACGAGAAACCATCGCCATGTACGATATCAACAACTTTGCCAGTGAGTTCTTGCAAGTTTCCATTCAGTTTTTTTTAGGATTTAAGTTGGCGTCCATTCGTGCAAGGCATAACCATTCAATGGTGAGAAGGCATTCACTCTTGTCAAATTCAGTAAAGAAGTTTTGTATTAATGTGCGAGCAATTCCAACCTTTTGTCATATTTGAAACATTGATACAAGAGTGATAATATGAGACTTGCTGACAGACCATGCATTGGCAATTCTATTTGATACCTGCACATTTTGCAAAGCAGAGAAACACCTTGCACAGGTAGTAATAGTAAATCTGTCCAACACATAGTCTCGTTTACATCTCCCCAATTTACCACTTTGAGACGGGATTATTTTTGCTGAAAATTTTGATTTTCAAAAAAGGCAAAATATAGCAGCCAGCTTCTAATATACAGCCAAACGCCACAAAATACTGATTCGCAAGAGTCATTTCAACTGTATTTGTACGATATTTCTTACCGCAACCTAATATTTTTCAACACTCGGGTGTGCTCACGGAGCGTAAATTGTAGAATAGGCCGTGCACAGTGACCCAGTTCAAGGTCAACACATGGTCCGCCTCCACGGACTGCTTGGACTTTGTGTGTGTGTACAAAACAAATGAGAGATTAGAGTGTTAAGACGTCACCCGGAGGCGAGTCTGGGCACGTTTGAAATTTTAACCCGTCAGCCGTGCTCGTGTATAAAAACAGCCAGATTGTGTTAACACGTCATCTGACGTGAACTGGTTTAACCAGTTCCAGTTCGCGTCAGATTATTCATAATGCAGCCAATCCCTGGCTGTCAAGCAGCTGGATTGGCAGAGGGCGCTATCAACAAGACAAACCAAATCTTTGGAACTACAGCTCTCGGACCCTGAGAAACTCCAAGCATACTTCACACACTCACATTAGCTTGGATGTAATAGCACACTCGAGGCATGCTAAATTTTCCTTGGGCCGAGCCAAGGTTCCCAAGATCGGATTTGACTCATCTTGTTGATTGTGCCTTCTACGGCCGCAGCTGCTTGACCGCGCTTACCAGGAACCCACTGTATTGGGAGAACAAAACCCACTGTATTGGGAGAACAAAACCCACATCTAGGACTTGTATTGTCAGCAGAAAAAAATAGTCCAAGACCTGAATTTCGAATTGCGATTATACAAGTATTGGGAAAATAAACTTGAGAACTGACTCTCCACATCAGGTGTCGTGGTTGTGGATGACAATCCCGAGGTGATAGTAGAGGACCCCAATGAGCTACTCACTCCTGACGAAGGCTTCCAAGAGGTGCGCTCCAAGAAGACCCAGAAAGAGCGCCAGAAGGCCCAGGAAGCCGAGAGGAAGAAACAGGAGACGCAGGCCCTTGCTGAGGTAGGTCGGTGCAATGTGGCACAGCATTGGCCCTCTATCTGAATTGCAAAGAGCTGGCCCTCTATCTGAACTGCAAAGTGCACTGCGTACCTTAAATCCCAAGAGCAAATTGAGGGCACAAAAGTTCCACTGATGGCAAATGTGCGCGCCCAAGTTAACCTTTGCAGGTAACGTGTGCACAGTATGTAAAAGTGACTTCAGTTTATTGGCATAGTTTGCTGAATACCTGTTTCAAGGGTATTGGTGGAAGGAAGATACTACAGTAAGATGCGGCAATGTTTCCCCTGCCCATTCAGTGTGAGGCGGCCCAAATTTCAGTGCCAGCCTCAAGCTTTTTCTGAGAGTATTGCGGCCTCGCACATAAAAAATAAAATAAATAGATACAAAAATATATTAAATCAGAGTGTTTTACCGAACATATATTTTTAATGTACAGAAATTTCAGTTCAGATATGTGTTATTTGCTCTCACAATTGCCAAAGTTGTCTATGAAAAGGTTACGAAACTGCTCTCACAACGCGGTGTACAAACGTGTACGAATGATCTGAGACCTTTGACGTCATATTAGGCACTACCCGTGTACATGAGTCTAGGAATAAGACTAGATTCCCCTATGATTTGCTAACTGATAATTGTCCCTTTTATGGATACTTGATATGTGTTGTATTTATGGGGCCCACAGTCCCAAAATGCTGCGCACATTCCAGTCTATTTGCAAAGGATCCATCAAGCACAGTGGGGCCTCGTATATGCGATAGTGATCACTGGTTTCGTACATACGGATTGCGTACCATTTTACACAACCTGGTAACCGCTAATTGTGGACAGGCTTAGCGTGGTCCGAATCCCGTGCCTACGGCCTGAAATAACAATAATAGGGTTATTATTTAATTGATGTTTGAATTTCGGATATGACCTCTACAGGCCATGAAGCAGACCCGCATCAATGCCCCCTCCAGCAAGCCCTCCCGCAGCCACTCCAAGCTCCCACCACGATTCAAGCAGCAGGTGAAGGAGTCCCCCAAGGAGTCCCCAAGCACTGCCTCTGCCAGCCGGGCGGTGGGGCCACTCAACAAGGCTCCTGGTACCAAGCCAATGACGACAGAGCCAGCAAATATGGGGCTGCTGATGGGCCCGTCTAATGTCATCATGCCAACTAGGAGCAGTGAGTTATATTCCTAAAGCTTTAAGACACTGTACCAAGAAAACACTGCCTAGCGGCAGCTACACTATACATCCAGAACTTTTGGAGAGCTGATGTAGAAATGGACTGATCTGAAGAAATTTGTGTATATTTCTTGCTTCGACATACTAAACTCATATATCACATTTTAGTTTTTTAACCAACATGTGAAATTTCAGCCTTTTTGGTTGAAGACAGAAAATGAAAATACTCAAGTTTTGAAGACTCAACCTGGATGCCAGAGTTAAGCCTACCATACATATAGTCACTTAAACTTACAAACTAGCATTTAGAAATCATAGGATTTTATTTTCCAGTGGCCACTAACCCTCCTACTATTTAAGAGGTCACCAATGGTCAAACATTTTTTCCTCATCTCCTGGCCTACTGTGTACAAACCAATGGGGGTCTTGACCAATATTGACCCAAGTAATAACAAGGCTGACAAGGCATAGCAAGTCAATATGTAGCGTCAATCTCAAATCTCCAGTGTCCCTTTTTCCAGGTGCTCTGTCTTCAGCTGCAGCCCAAACCCCTCCATTGATCAATGCCTGGGAGAAGCCTCTACAAGTGCCAGTGGCACCCCTCTCTAACTCCAACCAGAGCAGCCTGGTCAGCATGACCATGATGTCTGGCATGCCTGCCGTCAAGGCTCAGGGTGCTGGGCCTGGCAAACCTGACTCGGACCAGCACGACAGTGGAGTAGAGCTGAACAGCGACCACCATGGCTCCAACCCATCCTCACAGCGCAACTCGCCTAGCGCTGAGAGCAAAGTGGACAATCGGCTGATTCAGGTAATTAAACCTAACACAGCGGATTTGTTTTCCTTGGGGCTTGGACTTTAATAATGAATGGTGTTTACGAACCCTGACATTATTGCCTTGTTTTACGTGGGTTCCCTTATAACTCATGGTCACAAAACCAAGCTCACACGTTTATTCCAATGTATTCTGGACTGTTAACCCATTCACACCAATACAGGATAGTATTGCATTGTATGTTGAATAAAAAAAAAGAAGGGTGGGTAGTACATTGAGTAACGGCAAGATGGTGTGGAGAGATACTCATGTTTAGAGATGAAACTCTTCCGATTTTAATCGGAAATCCGACTTTTTGAATTTTCCAATGAAATTTCTGATTTTCTTACAAATGTGTTCCACAAAATTTGATTTTGTAACGATTTAACAACAAAATGTCATTTTATTTCAATCATAATTTCGAAAAAAAGTCGATGGAAATGACATGTTAGAATCATCGGGTACGTAGTTTTAATCTCTTTCACCCGTCGTTACTGCAGTGTTTCAACGGTAAAAACTCAGGTCATAACACTGCTCGGAGCCTTTTCCAGCTAGACGAAAGGTTAACATTGACATGGAAAAATCACTGTGTCGCAACGTCGCACAGTAATACAGTGTGATGCGTGCATGTACAGCTGCACACAATGATATGCGATGGTACCAGCGTACGTACCGCGTTGCGCGCACCGTCTGCCAGCACATGGCCGGTCGGGAACGGGTAGCCTCGTGAATGATCCAGTGGATAAAATCCATTATGTTGTGAGATTTTCTGAGGTGTCAGATTTAGTTGTACAAAATGAAATGCTTCAAAAATCATGATGCTTATCTCGAGGATAGCGATGGGAGCATTAGCGAAACATTTCACAGACATTTGTTAGAAGAGAAAGACGATAATGCCTGATTTTTCCCCACGTACGAATGCAAGTGGAGTAGTGGAGTTGTGTAGTTGAATCATGGACATGATTGAACTTGACACCAAGAATGGTGCCCTTGTCTTTCGGACTTTCTCAAGTAAGAAGTGACATCTTTGTTGATGTTCTTTAGTGCTCCCTTCAGTTCACTTGGGCACAATCTGCACCCTTGCACATCCATATTAGATTTGGTGCAGAAAATGGGTCAGAGGGTTGCCGCAGTTTTCACTGAGACTAGTTGCAAATTCGCTAGTAGTTAATTTGCCTTCGCATGAGTTACTATCATATACACCCTTGTGGGATCTGCTCCCAATTTCATGTTGCGACGCATGACATGTCGCAACTTGCAATGCGTCATATGATCCATTTCACAACACTTACATGTCTACAGGCGTGCAACTTTTCCTCAGATCAGCTGATATCCTCTTTTTTGACTTGCCATGTGTGCCATTCAAAATAGAAAAACACTGTACAAAGTCTTCAAAAAATTTGAATTTCCTCTTTTTTGTGACTTCCCATTTGCATGCCTGTTCTTAAGTTCCTTGACAATGGCTTGAAACACATCGCAAGTTATGACATGTCTAGTGGTCATCACAAAACAAGAAGCGTCTGTTTGTTAGCCAGTTTTATTCCATAAATATTGCATAAACGAGACTTTAATTCGGAGACAATATGTGTGAAGTTGTAAATGGAAAATGCATCAAAGTAACTAGGAATTCTGGAATATTGCAGTTGAAATTTCAAAGTAGCTATACAGTCCACCGCAAGCTTGTTTTCCTTTAAAACTGCATCATACTGCATTTTGTTTCAGGTTTAAAAAAGTTTTTGAGAGGAGACCCGACGACTCTGTGCTGAATATCAGAGGACTATTTATTGAACGGTGAATAAATACATATCAATCACCATGTTGTGCTATAGATATACCTACGACGCGTTGCACTTGCCACGTGTTTTGTGAATGAATCGCAGGACGTGTCGCATTGTAGGGATACGATGCGTCGCAGTGCTGCGATGCATCATAAGTTTTGATGAGTTTCATGAAATCGGGTGCTGGTCACTCACCACTGGAATGCACCACAGTGCTATAGAGGCATTGGCTTATAACATTAAATTTCTCTCAAAATTGTGTAGGAGCTGATGGCCAGTCATATTAGACAGCAGTCACAACAGCAGCCACAGCAGATGAGCTCCTCGGGAGACCTCCCTGCTTCCAGCGAGTGGTCATCATCCCAGCTGATGAACCTAGATGCCCCAGCTGTCTCCTCCCATCCCTCGGTTAGTCAGGAGGCAGGCCGCAGCAGTGACCTAGGCAGGCCAGATCTCGGGATACCAGATATTGGATCGTTTGTCAGTTCAGGAGAGACCATCGGGATTGGCAAAAGTAACCTGGCACTTTCAGGAATGGTAAGTGACTGCACAGTCTAGTATTATATCCGTCAGAAGTAGACTCACTGAAATCACATTAATTGATGGTAGCCCTGATTCCGAAGCAGTAGCTGGTCGGACAAGCTTACATTCTTGACAAAATGCTTATCAGAACTTATCTTGCTTTCCTACAGAGTTTGGGAACCGAGCCATCATCCAGTGCAGTGCCATCATCAAGCGCATCAGTGTCTCACATTCCCCAAACCATTGAACTGCCCAAGAGTGTCACCCAGCCACACCCAGTCACCTCCATGCCGGAGGATCTGACGCAGAGGCTAGCATCGGCCAAGCACCTGTGGGACCTGCCTGTCCTCGGAGCCAATCCTGGCCGGGGTGAAAGTGCCCTGTCCCCCTCTGGCATGGCTGTCAATCCAGCACCTGTCTCCAGTCATCAGGCCATGGGAGAGAGCAATCTGGACCCGTCAGATGTTGATGAAGAAACTCTGCAGATGGAAAGTGAACTGCTGACTGATGTTGCCCCTTCTCAGCCATCTTCATCGCACCACCCACTGGTTTCTGACAGCAGCATGATGATGCCAGCGATATCCAGCAGCAGCGAGGCCAACTTCTCAGAGTTTTCGCACAGCTCCAGCTTGTCTGTAGTGGAGAGTGTAGCCACCACGACAGTTGCCAGTAATTATGGGGAGCTCAATCCAGAAAGAATGGTTCTATCCCATTCCAGTAGCTCCGCAACCTCCTATGCACCCTTAACATCCTCATTCACATCAAGCATGTCCTTCACGTCTTCTGGTGTCTCCAGCAACATCTCGAATCCGGCTCTTGTATCCGAGTCCAGAATCTTGCAGCTGCCTGGCAGCAACATGGGAAACAAGAATCTCTCCATGTATACCGCAATCCCTAACCAGCCCCTTGCCGGGCAGTCGGTGAATCCGGCCACCTTGCTTTACCCTTCCATGATTGGCCTGGATGGCAAGGTCACCACGCCGGACCAGAACAAGATGCAGCCATTTGCCTTTGCCCGGCCGGCAGTCCTCCTTGCACCCACCCAGACGGTACAGGTCAGCAGTGCACAGCCGCAAGGACAAGGGGCCAATGCCTCTCAGTCAATGTTTGGGGCCCAAGGCTCATCAAATCACTTATTCTCAGCTTTCCCGACAGGTGATGCCACAGCACGGCTGATTCAACCCCCACAAGCCTATGCCCAACCCCAGTACAATGTCTCCGTCATTCAGCCCAACTCTGGGACACTCCCGTTCAACTTGAACCAGACTCCCAATATTGCCCCGTCCCCACCAGCGGCTGCCGCACAGCAGTCTTTTGCTCCCCTGAGCTTCTTGCAGCCCAATCTGACAGGATCTGTCATTGCATCGTCCCTCAGCCAGCCGTCAATGGCCAGCAACCAGTCTTACCTGTCCTATGGGTCAGCAGCTTTCACACGACCAGAGATGAATATGCAGAGCAGTGCCATCAAACCGCAGAGTTCCTTCAATGGGTTGTCCACAGTTACAAAGACAGTTGCCAGTGTGCCCTATGGGACTCTGCCAAGCATCAACATGCAGCAACCTCCAGTCTATGGTCAGGTGAGTGCATTGTTTATGGCGAAATCAATCAAATAGGACATAAAAGACCACACAGAATAGTAGGTCACCAATGTTTAATAAGAGTGTTACACAAAGTATTGAGATTTATGGAAACAGTAGGTAAATGATGATATAAAAACAGAGTGTAAGCATCGTGTTTCTTTAAAATTCATAAATGTTTCTACAAATGTGTCAAAATGTATAAATGTATTTATAAATTTCTGAATTTCATCTCATAAATAGTACGTTATTTTTTTATGTTCAGTACAATGGCATACTATACATCTTTAGTTTGCTCGAGAGTTTGTGTATAGCTTCACTTAATTTGGTTTGATTTTTTCTATGACAGCGTGCTGCAACGCCAGTGGGCAGCCAGACACGTCTTCTCGGGAATGCCCTGGTGACACCCATTTTGCAATCTAACATCCACCAAGCCCAACAGCCTGCGTCATTCTTCACCACCAATCCTGGCCCAACTCAGCATTCCGCTGCTGTTGGGTCTGCCGGTTCCACAAACTTCTTCAACTCCCTGAATTCCCTGACGAGCAACCGCCAAGCAGCAGCAGCAGCGGCAGCTGCAGCAGTCCAGCCACCACAGGGAGCCCAGCACTTGCAGTCACTTGGCACGGTTCAGATTCAGCCAGCAGGACCTGCCCAACCACAACCAATGCAGCAGCAGCAGCAGCAACAGCAGCAACATCAGCAACATCAGCAACATCACCCCCAACCAGCACAACTACACTACCAGAGTCAGGGTAACCTGCAGTTTTCTCAATCTGCTGCTGTTGGGCCCTATGGCAGCCAGCCAGTAACAGCTCGCATCACTGGTCACAGTGGGGCTATAGGGATGGATAGGAAGCCCATGTTGGACATGCCAGTACCATCATCAGATGAGTCGTCCCTGATGTCCTCGCCCAAGAGTAGTGACATGCAGCAACATGTCGATGCCAAGCCATTCAGCCCCAATCGAATTTCAGGGGCATCACAGCCGCCAGAGCCCCAGCGCTCTAGCTCCCGCTCAGATGTGCCCTCTGTAGTCTCCATCAACCAGCAGTTTGGAAGTGGTAGCCAGCAGTTTGGAAGTGGTAGCCAGCAGTTTGGAAGTGGTAGCCATCAGGTCTTGAAGCCGACATTCCCAAATGTACCAACCCAAGCAGTGCGTCAGCAGTTTGGGGTTCAAAATCAGCAGTTTCAGCAGCAGCAACCACAGCAGCAGCAACAGCAACAGCAGCAGCAACAGCAGCAGCAGGCATCGTTTATGCCACGTGTACCAGCATCCACACAAGCAGCACCTCGTGGAATGACGGTAAGGCCTGGGCCTCCACCACAGCCATCCTCACAGATGCAACCACAAGGGTTCCCATCTCAGCCTGTGCCTCCCCAACTGATGCGCTTTCCTGCAGGAGCTCAGATGAGATTCAGACCGCCAATGCCACAGGCTAATGTCATGCCCCAGAGGATGCCGACATCTTCTGCAGCTGCTGCAGGTCCAGCTCCAAGATCAGTTGATAGCCAGACGGGGAGTTCTGTCTCCCAGAGTGGTGGCTTCCAGCGTAAGTCAACACCATCAGCAGGTCCGAGCAAGAGTGCTTCCAGTTTAGGAAACACAAGCACTTCTAAGCCCGGGCCTCCAGGAGAGTACAAACAACCCAGCTCTGAGGGTTCCAAGTCCACAGAGAGAGAAGCCTTGCTGGCCTCAACCAAAGCCTTCTTCACCAATCTTAAAAATCAGGAGTCCAGCAAGAGTAGCGGAAAACCCAGCGACAAGGCTTCCACAGAGAACAGTGGTGCTTCCCAGTCGGATGGGTCCCAAACCAGAGCCTCTGCCAACAAGAACTAAAACCAGACGGTTTCTGACGAAAATTTCATCAATTCCATCACAGAAATGATGGCAGCGGGCTTCTGTTTCTTTGATGTAGGTTAAGAATGTAAATTTATGTAGTATTTAGGTGATCAGGATTTAATTTGGTTGCAGTCCAATGCAGATTGTGAAAATTAATAGGATTCATCTGTAGAAACGTATTTCTGATGTAAAACCTCTTGATAAGATCAAAGTTTTTGTCTTTTCTTATAAGTTCAATTTTACCTCACTTTCAAGTAGAAGTTGTAAAGAAAAATCAGACCATAAAATGCATTGTACATAGGTGTATAGAAGGTTCCTTCAAAGTGGTCTTGATGAAAGTCAAAATGAACCAAAGCAAGGTCCTGAAAAGGTTGATCGTGTATAAAAACCATGATCATGTTGACCTTGCCTTTCTTTTCAGAAAAAGGTCACTTCGGGATTGAGTAGTATTGCTGTAGAATCCCTTGTATCCTTATTGAGGCCTTTCTCCTCGAAGTCGTGCACATTATATTATCAGGTCAGTGAAGTTGATCTGTACATGTATAAATCAATTAGCATATTCCATGGTTTGTGTGAAAATTTCAATTTGTTTGGTCAGAGAATGATCCGAGTGCCATGACATTTATTACCCAGGAAGCAAAGAACAGTTTTGTCGGTGTGTGTATTGTACATGATAGATAACTTATTTAATTACTAAAACCATTTTTGTTTTCTTCAAAAGCTGATTTTGGAAAGTGCCACGACCATGTTATCAGTAGTTGCAGTTGGCCAGCGCAAATACAAATTGCAGTGCACGAGAGTTTTTAAGTTGCACTTTAGGTCAGGTGGTGGTTGTTTTGGTCGCTCATGTTGTTTTACATGTACGGTAGAACTTGTGAAATATTGCACTTTTGAAGAATATGCATAGTATCTGCCAAGCAAAAACTGGATGCATCTATTTGTATTCTACCATGAAATGTGTGTGCATTCTTCTTTCATGCACTGAATGTTTATGTTTGATAGCAATAGACTTATACATGTAGCTGAATTGAACGATAGACTAGCGCTGCCACAGTTATATTTAGAAAGTATTTTAACATCATAATGCTTTTGGTTTTTGTTCGTTTACTTAAAACATACTCCCTTTTGTGGGATGAACATTCATATCAGTTTATAATTTAGTTAACTTTAACGTGTGTTTGTGATAATTCTTTGAAAAATTGGTGCATTTGTCAAGCGTGATCTTTCCCTGTGCAGAGAAAAATTGTAAATAACTGTTAATGAATATTCAAGACGATCGTAATTTTTAAGGATTATTTCTTGAACTTATGTACTTGTTGAATAAGATTGACATTTCATCCTTTGTGGGTTTTTTTGTTTTAGTGTCTCCAGATTCTGAAGACTTGGTGTTCCAATTTATCATTGAGAAATGTTTGTAAGTCCGTCTTCGAAGGCAGATACAATAAGATGGTGGAATTGTTCCAATAGGCAAAACAATCCATAGAGTCTGCATGAAAAGTATTACTTTCAAAGTTGAGATTAAGATAGGCATGGTAATTTGGTATTTTATATTTCATGTTTGTACAGCGAAACTTTTGTTACGATGTCCTATGCAATTTGGGACATTGTGCCGATTGCATTGTGTGCTTTAATAAGCAAATGAAAGTAAAAAGCTCAGAATGTACAATGTATCAGTTTTGAGATATCATCACTTGACCCAAGTGACGTATTGTACTTTTGAAGTGTGTTTATATTAAAAAGGATGTTTGTAACAAAGTTTCAACTGTACCAAATATTACCTTATATTTCTTCCTTTCTTGTGATATCATTAACAGGGCTTAATTTATAGTATTTAAATGTATACATAGAGTAACAATTTAACTGTAAGGAAAATATAAAGTATTAGTTTTGATTAAACTGTTTGAATTTTTTTTGTTTTGAAAATTTGGGTTTTTGGTCATGGACCAAACATCGCTGCTGCATGTGTACTGTTGCATTGTCGGCGTTTACCTGTTTAGATGTCTCTTCAGTTTTAGTCGCAGTTTGTTTGACGAATTTTACCATTTCACGACTTAGTAAGTGCCGTTTGATGATGAAGTCGTCTTTGATTAGTAGTGTATGAGTTGAATAAACTAAGCGAAAATAACTCTTGTTTATGCAGCAAAGCATAAGTCGCATTGGCCATCTTTCTGAATATAGGAAAGAGGCATTCTTGTTGCCATTACCGGCTTTTTGTATAAAAAATTAATGTAGGAATCTTGTTTGATTTCTACAGTTGTATATGTATAGTGTTTAAAACCATTCTCATGTTTCACGAATGGTATGGTACCACTTAAGTGGATGCCTGGGTACCTTTGTGTAAACACTGCATTCTTTTGGTGGGCACTCTTGGCTCACCAGCTCTATAGAAAAATATTAATGAATTCAGAATGTAGAGGTCAAAAGTCGATTAAAAAAATGCTATGTTGCAATTTAAAGGATGATGTTTGTTTCACAACATTTGTTGGTTGTTAAGTTGTACACCCTCCCCTTTCTACTTATTTTATTTTGAATGACTGGCAACGTAAAAGGCATTGTTCCTTGTTAAAAAAAAGAAACTGGTACACATGCATGTGCAAGTACAGTCAACTCGTTTATAGGAGCACGGTTTTAACGAGATTTCGGTTAAGACGAGCATATTTCGTCCCGACCGAAGTGTGCTTATTACTATGAGGGACAAAATGTACATGTATTCCGTCGGGTAATGATACCGTGTAAGAAATTTGGTGAAAATAGAAAAATGACAGAACCACTATCGCCCCTAGTACCTCTAGCGGCGACCACTATCGCCCCTACGGTTGTTTGCAGGCCAGTAAATCGGTCCAAAATTGCCTACGCCGGCTAAATCATGATTTGCATGCCCTCGTTATTTGAGCATATTGTGGGCCATGAACTTGAGGGTTTGTAAAAAAAATATTCTTTTTTTTTTAAGCGTACGTGGCCGTCCACAAGTCACATTGGAATCTGTTCAAGGGCCCCTTAAGGCATCTTTCCTGCAAGTTTGAAACGATTTCACTTTTTTTTTTTGTCCAAAATTAAAAAAAAAATGCAAGGGGCTAGCGTTACATTTTTCATCAAATTGGGCCAAAAAAATTGACTTTTGGAGGTAAGGGGAGCACCAATCAATATTCAAACGCCCAATATTTTGATTTTGGGAAAAACAGTTAACATTTTTGACTGATTTTATCTAATTGTATCCCTGAAAATTGGCAAATATGCAAGGGGTTAGTCTTACATTCAAATTTGGCCAAATACTGACCTTGATCGCCCCTAGCGGTACGTACCTCTGGGGGCGACCCTTATTAAGACGAGCATATTTCGTCCCGACCGAAGTGTGCTTATTACTATGAGGGACAAAATGTACATGTATTCCGTCGGGTAATGATACCGTGTAAGAAATTTGGTGAAAATAGAAAAATGACAGAACCACCCTTATTGATCGCCCCCAGCGGTACGTACCTCTAGGGGCGACTGTGTTGGTCGCCCCCAGCGGTAAACCGCTACGGGCGACTATCGTTGGTCGCCCCCAGCGGTATATCGCTAGGGGCAACTATTGTTGGTCGCCTCCAGCAATACGTACCTCTAGGGGCGACTGTTGTTGCGCCTACAGCGGTATACCGCTACGGGCGACGATTGTTGAGCGCCCCCAGCGGTACGTACCTCTAGGGGCGACTGTGTTGGTCGCCCACCGAGCGGTATACCGCTACGGGCGACTATTGTTAGTCGCCTCCATCGGTATACCGTTACGGGCGACTATTGTTGATCGCCCCCAGCGTTACGTACCTCTAGGGGCGACTGTGTTGGTCGCCCCCAGCGGTATATATACCGCTATGGGCGACTATTGCTGGTCGCCTCCAGCGGTATACCGCTACGGGCGAGTGGGCGACTATTGTTGGTCGCCTCCAGCGGTACATACCTCTAGGGGCGACTGTTGTTGGTCGCCTCCAGCGGTATACCACTACGGGCGACGGTTGTTGAGAGCGCCCCCAGCGGTATACGCACCTCTAGGGGCGACTGTGTTGGTCGCCCCCAGCGGTATACCGATACGGGCGACTATTGTTGGTCGCCTCCAGCGGTATACCGCTACGGGCGACTATTGTTGATCGCCCCCCAGCGGTACGTACCTCTAGGGGCGACAGTTGTTGGTCGCCTCCAGCGGTATACCGCTATACGGGCGACTATTGTTGGTCGCCCCCAGCGGTATATCGCTTGGGCGACTATATTGTTGGTCGCCTCCAGCGGTATACCGCTACGGGCGACGGTTGTTGAGCGCCCCCAGCGGTACGTACCTCTAGGGGCGACTGTTGTTGGTCGCCTCAAGCGGTTTACTGCTACGGGCGACTATTGTTGGTCACCCCCAGCGGTATATCGCTAGGGGCGACTATATTGTTGTCGCCTCCAGCGGTATACCGCTACGGGCGACGGTTGTTGAGCGCCCCCAGCGGTACGTACCTCTAGGGGCGACTGTGTTGGTCGCCCCTAGCGGTATATATACCGCTATGGGCGACTATTGCTGGTCGCCTCCAGCGGTATACCGCTACGGGCGACAGTTGTTGGTCGCCTCCAGCGGTATCCGCTACGGGCGACTATATTGTTGGTCGCCCCCAGCGGTATATCGCTAGGGGCGACTATATTGTTGGTCGCCTCCAGCGGTATTCCGCTACGGGCGACGGTTGTTGAGTGCCCCCAGCGGTACGTACCTCTAGGGGCGACTGTGTTGGTCGCCCCCAGCGGTATATTTACCGCTGTGGGCGACTATTGTTGGTCGCCTCCAGCGGTATACCGCTACGGGCGACTATTGCTGGTCGCCTCCAGCGGTATACCGCTACGGGCGACTATTGTTGATCACCCCCAGCGGAACATACCTCTACGGGCGACTATTGCTGGTCGCCTCCAGCGGTATACCGCTACGGGCGACGGTTGTTGAGCGCCCCCAGCGGTACGTACCTCTAGGGGCGACTGTGTTGGTCGCCCCCAGCGGTATATTTACCGCTGTGGGCGACTATTGCTGGTCGCCTCCAGCGGTATACCGCTACGGGCGACAGTTGTTGGTCGCCTCCAGCGGTATATCCGCTACGGGCGACTATATTGTTGGTCGCCCCCAGCGGTATATCGCTAGGGGCGACTATATTGTTGGTCGCCTCCAGCGGTATATACCGCTACGGGCGACGGTTGTTGAGTGCCCCCAGCGGTACGTACCTCTAGGGGCGACTGTGTTGGTCGCCCCCAGCGGTATATTTACCGCTGTGGGCGACTATTGCTGGTCGCCTCCAGCGGTATACCGCTACGGGCGACAGTTGTTGGTCGCCTCCAGCGGTATATCCGCTACGGGCGACTATATTGTTGGTCGCCCCCAGCGGTATATCGCTAGGGGCGACTATATTGTTGGTCGCCTCCAGCGGTATACCGCTACGGGCGACGGTTGTTGAGTGCCCCCAGCGGTACGTACCTCTAGGGGCGACTGTGTTGGTCGCCCCCAGCGGTATATTTACCGCTGTGGGCGACTATTGTTGGTCGCCTCCAGCGGAACATACCTCTACGGGCGACTATTGCTGGTCGCCTCCAGCGGTATACCGCTACGGGCGACGGTTGTTGAGCGCCCCCAGCGGTACGTACCTCTAGGGGCGACTGTGTTGGTCGCCCCCAGCGGTATATTTACCGCTGTGGGCGACTATTGTTGGTCGCCTCCAGCGGTATACCGCTACGGGCGACTATTGCTGGTCGCCTCCAGCGGTATACCGCTACGGGCGACTATTGTTGATCACCCCCAGCGGAACATACCTCTACGGGCGACTATTGCTGGTCGCCTCCAGCGGTATACCGCTACGGGCGACGGTTGTTGAGCGCCCCCAGCGGTACGTACCTCTAGGGGCGACTGTGTTGGTCGCCCCCATCGGTATATTTACCGCTGTGGACGACTATGGTCGCCTCCAGCGGTATACCGCTACGGGCGACAGTTGTTGGTCGCCTCCAGCGGTATATCCGCTACGGGCGACTATATTGTTGTCGCCTCCAGCGGTATACCGCTACGGCGACGGTTGTTGAGCGCCCCCAGCGGTACGTACCTCTAGGGGCGACTGTGTTGGTCGCCCCCAGCGGTATATATACCGCTATGGGCGACTATTGCTGGTCGCCTCCAGCGGTATACCGCTACGGGCGACAGTTGTTGGTCGCCTCCAGCGGTATATCCGCTACGGGCGACTATATTGTTGGTCGCCCCCAGCGGTATATCGCTAGGGGCGACGATATTGTTGGTCGCCTCCAGCGGTATACCGCTACGGGCGACGGTTGTTGAGTGCCCCCAGCGGTACGTACCTCTAGGGGCGACTGTGTTGGTCGCCCCCAGCGGTATATTTACCGCTGTGGGCAACTATTGTTGGTCGCCTCCAGCGGAACATACCTCTACGGGCGACTATTGCTGGTCGCCTCCAGCGGTATACCGCTACGGGCGACGGTTGTTGAGCGCCCCCAGCGGTACGTACCTCTAGGGGCGACTGTGTTGGTCGCCCCCAGCGGTATATTTACCGCTGTGGGCAACTATTGTTGGTCGCCTCCAGCGGTATACCGCTACGGGCGACAGTTGTTGGTCGCCTCCAGCGGTATCCGCTACGGGCGACTATATTGTTGGTCGCCCCCAGCGGTATATCGCTAGGGGCGACTATATTGTTGGTCGCCTCCTGCGGTATACCGCTACGGGCGACGGTTGTTGAGCGCCCCCAGCGGTACGTACCTCTAGGGGCGACTGTGTTGGTCGCCCCCAGCGGTATATTTACCGCTGTGGGCGACTATTGTTCGTCGCCTCCAGCGGTATACCGCTACGGGCGACTATTGCTGGTCGCCTCCAGCGGTATACCGCTACGGGCGACTATTGTTGATCGCCCCCAGCGGTACACTACCTCTAGGGGCGACTGTTGTTGGTCGCCTCCAGCGGTATACCGCTACGGGCGACGGTTGTTGAGCGCCCCCAGCGGTACGTACCTCTAGGGGCGACTGTGTTGGTCGCCCCCAGCGGTATATTTGCTGGTCGCCTCCAGCGGTATACCGCTACGGGCGAAAAGTTTCGTATTATCATTCGGAGAAGTAGTGTATTGTTTTTTCCCCACATAAAAGTAAACATATAAATATACTTTCACTCGGATTGTATTTTTTTTCGCGGTGAACACACAAACAAATAGCCACCCCGAATTTCAAGTCAAAACTTAAAAAAATTCACAAACTATCGTTCGGAAAACGAGTGTATTGTTTTTCCCCATAACTTGTTCAGATGTAGGCCCTACATTGTATTTTTCGCGGTGAACACACTTGATTGTTCGGGCTATACTATTTTAATTGGTTGACAATTTCCCTCAACAATGAACGAACTTGTTTTAGATATCACAAACAAATTACCCGACCGAATTTCAACTCAATATATATTAACAAATGTATGTTAAATGTCCAAGCCAAAAACGACCAAACGTCTTTTGAGAACAAAAACATGACGAAGAAAAAAATCTGAACCAAAACAAAGGCTTTACGTTAAAGTAAAACACAACTTTGATCTTTTATTGTATTCCAAGTTGTGGGTAACACACATTGTACACAGTACACGTAGTATAATCAACACAAATTGATTGGCATTGGCTTCTTTTGAGAGAGGGAATAGGTCCGATAACGATCTTTTAGTTTGGGCAATATCTCAGAGTTTATCCAACTTTACCCACACCAAATACAATGTAGTGCTCTGACATTGTGTCCCCCGTGTCGGAAACAGGATCATGATAGTATGCTTAATATTTAACACAACGTGAATTTAAAAATTAATTTCCTAGTCATATTAACAAATTAAATTGATCAGTGCAAATAAACAAGGAGACAAGACTGAACATGTCGGCCTCCAAAGCACATACAATTCTTTTAAAACCTAAAAATTGAACTTTGGGGAAAACAATTAATAAAAAATGTTAAACTAAAACGAGTGTAAATCTCATCTGACAACACTTTTCCAATCCTTATCATTACTAATTATTTTACCCCTGAAACTAACACATGAAGTGTGAGTAACTGTTTTTCCTACAAGGATTAATATTCTTTTCTTGGTCAGAACTACCATACTTGCTGTAAAGATTTTTTTAAATAAAAATTCAGACTTACAAATGTTTCTTTGTGATTTATAGTCATGTAGGATTACTGGTAATTATACTGTGCTCAAAGTGAAGATTGGGCTGGTGCAAAATTCCCTGTGAAATTATTCTGCCTGAAATCATTCAGAAGAACACAAGCATTGAGTGCGGTTTTTAAAGAAGTATGCCTGCAGGCACACTTTTTATGTGCCCTAGCGATAGAATCAAGCTACGAAACCAAAAGAGAATTGGGTCATGTTTTCTCTGTAGTCACTGAACTTAAATTTCAACATGTTAGTTATTATGCACCCTACTTCAGATTTTGCACAATTTTGTTGCTTTGAATGAAAGTAATGCACACTATTAAAAGCAAATGACACTAGATTTACACACATTTGTATACCTTTGACTACACGAATACACAAGCATTCCCAAGTTTAAGCAGCATATATTCTTATAGCACAATTAATTGCCCCGCATCCCTTTGAAATGGACACAAAAAATCGAGTTTACAAAACAAAATCTGAACGTACAATAAAATAATAATGCTTTTATACATGACACTACAGGCTACAGGGCAGAGAAAGTACAATGGAGGCAAAATTAACAGTTTTATCCAAACAAAAACATATAACACAATCGGCATCACAAATGGCAATAACAGAATTGTTTTATGGTGCACACTAGCTGTTCCTAGTATATTAAAAATAAAAAATGGAAACAAATCATCTGAAGCATATAATCTAAACTTGGACAGTGAAACCTCTAGACACTACAAATATTTTTTTCACAGTTTTATTTGTTTAATTTACATTAAGTACAATATCCCTCATCTTCATTTTTTTCAGCTTAACTTCCAGAATTCTAAAAGAATGCATCACCATAACTATTGGTTTGTTGTGCACATTATCAGAATAAGATTAGTCCTGTGCACATCATGTCCAATATGCATTAAACCAGTGTGCCTGCATGAATCAATGCGCGCATGAATCAATGCGTTCATGAATCAATGCACGCATGAATCAATGCGCCCATGAACCAATGCGCGCATGAACCAATGGGCGCATGAACCAATGTGTGTATGAACCAATGTGCGCTGAACCAATGCGCATATGAACCAAAGCGCGCTGAACCAATGCATGCATGAACCAATGCGTGCTAAACCAATGCATGAACCAATATGTGCTGAACCAATGCGCACATAAACCAATGCGCGCATGAACCAATGCGCGCATGAACCAATGCGCGCATTTACTCAATGTGCGCATGAACCCAGTGCTCGCATGAACCAATGCGTGCATGAACCAATGCGCGCATGAACCAATGCGTGCCAGCAATGGTCTCTTTCAGGAGAATCGATTGTGAGAGGTGACGAAGAGTCAATAAACAGAACTCGGTCATCAAGCCCCATATTATCAAACAGTGACTGTTCAATTGATCCTGCAAACTATTTGAACACTTCTGTACAGGATGTGATGGATAAGCCAATTCGACATTTCACTTGCGCATGTGCAAACTCTCAATGAAAACAAAATCCATCTTCACATGAAAGGAAGGACGCAAGAAGGCAGCAGAAACATGCATCCTACAGAGCTTCCAAAAGTATTGTGGATTTTTAGCAGCATTTTCCTGAGATAGTTCGAAAATACATGTACATTGTCTTATGAATTTCAGAAACTTAAATGAAATTTATACACAAATTCACCAAACTTCAAATAACGGTCTGCCTACATCGTTTTCCTTAAAATCTTTTCCAGATTTTTTGTTGTTATCTGTGTATATAAATATCAATGAAACCTAACCCTAAATTGCTACTCACGAGCTCCTATTTCTACTCGCGGCAGGATGAGCACTCAAGTACAAGAAAAACCACGAGTAGAACGAATATCATTAACTACTCAGGAGTACTCAGGTAACTCGCCCAGCGGTAAAAATCATTCATTAAAGCACTTTTGTACCTCAACTTCAATCAAAAAATGAAAGATTGTAAAAATGTAACTTTTGAATTGTAACACGTTAATTAAGTCTATTACGTTGGATACAGTTTGGATATGTTTATGCTCCGAAAATGGTGCCGCTATATACATTTTGGCACATTCACTAAAAGTCAGAAACAATGTCAACTTTGTTTGCAAGTATCTAAATGTATTGATTATTATTTTTTCCTGTTCTCATTATTTTAATACCTGAAGGAAAAATAAACACTGACCCCTTAAAAAGCAGAGCTACATCTAGGGTCCCAAGAAACTCTGTAAAGCTCCTCAAGGTTGATAAGCTTAATGCGACAGACATTTTTTGTCCTGATAATAATGGTAACGTTTCAAAACAATAAGCGATCTCGATGAAGTAGTGCAGGTCAATGGTCATTCGGGATAAAATCACTGAATGCGATATTAAGCTAACGCCCATTCTGCTGGTAATTAGCACACGAGCATTGTGCGACCGTCTAAATGTGCATTCATGCACCTTCAATGAGCATTCGATTATCCTGAATTACCTGAGACCCATATACCTAACTCGTTATTCTTTCTCCTGATAAAAACACGGAAAACATAACAAAACAAAAAAACAAATCTACAAATCATCACCCCATCAGCTGATAATATTGATTACATAAAAATCTACTTTTTATATACTTATTTGAAAGATTAATATGATTCATCCATTCAAACACCTGTACTAGATTTAGACAAGAAGAACCTGTTAGTACAGTTTCAACACAAGTTATCTAATGATGATGACCTCGCTGGCAACTCTTGGGCCATGGCAGACGATGGCTTGAGGGTCAAATGTCGGATGACTTGGCTCTTTTAATGATCTGGAATCCCACGTTCTTTATAGGAGGCATGTTTAACTTGAGTGACTTGGGGCCATACCACTGAATCTAGCCACTCCCTGGAAAACGTTTGGTAAAAAAATGGAGAGAATGCATAACCTTTAAAGGTAGACAAGTTGTTTGAAGTTCGCTTAGGTTGTTTCCAAAGTACATCATGTGCACCTCTACAGATATCAACTTTAAATTGTTGCATGGAGCGTATTCGCGTGAGATACGACTTTGTTGCAGAATGGAGTTACGACCTTAATGCACTGACACGAGGTTGTGATTACATGTAACGTACAACACTTGTGATGTACTTGTGATCCATTATGACTGCAACACAGCACCATTCACAGTATGTTCTCATTAAAAAAAAATTGAATCTCACTGTTGAAGTCTGCTAAGCGTACGTAACTAACCTGAGGTGATGTTCATTACTTGTCTAGTTGCTGGCCTGGCTGTTAGGTTCAGAGGAGTCATCAACTGACTTGGTCTTCTTCAACGATGCCTGCAATACCAACAAAATACAATTTGGTCAAAAACATAAGCCTCCACTTAAACACAGAATGGAGTAAAAGAAAAGGTGTTTTATTACATGTACTTCCTACAGTTAAGACATATGGAAATATTACTGGGAACAAGAAATTGGAAACCAAGCAATGTTCCGAAAATCCTTTGTTTTTGTTATGAAAGTTTTATTCTTCTTTTTGGTTTTTCTGCAATGTGCGGAAAAGCATTTGTTTATGTTCCGATTTTTTTGCTTCTACTTCTTTTTGTTCTTCTATTCTAAATCCCATAGACTGTGTACATGTACATTTTTCATTCTTGGTGCCACTTTTGACATTAAACAGACTTCTATCTTAATGAAACTTGGCATTAGGCTTACGCGGTATTGGATTTGTGCGGTATTTGTGTAGTATTGGATTTGTACGGTGTCTGTTCGGTATTGTGACAAAACACCAGAATCTCAATATGCACACCAGTGTTGTAGGACTCCAGTACGTCTTGAGTTGCAATTTCAGTGACTTGGACTCGACTTGAGTCACATCGCCAAAAGGCTCGGACTCGGCCACCACGAGTCAGACTTGATGCTAATGACTTGTGGCTCTTGAGTCACATATTTTTTTCCATCCACATCGTACAATGCATTGACCAATATGTACAAGTACACATCGAAACATGACTCCTGACTCAGACTCGGACTTGAGTCCAATGACTCATGACTTGGACTCGACTTGAGTCACATCGCCAAATGACTCGGCAACCATGAGTCAGACTTGATGCTAATGACTCATGACTCTTTGAGTCGCATATTTTTTTTACATTCACATCGTACAATGCACCGACCGAAATGTACACATACATATAAGAGCATGACTCGTGGCTTAGACTCGGACTTCAATCCAATGACTCATGACTTGGACTCGTAATCAACCCATATGACTCGAGACTCAGACTCAACTCCAGTGGCTCGACTACAACGCTGATGCACACAAACATTTAGTCTTTGCTGTGAAATATGCTTCAGATTAGAGAAGCTTTCGGCTATTACCTTGACAGCTTGGAAATGGCTCTTCCCCTTGCAGTGGGCACGGCTGGCCTTGTCTGAAGTCAGGAACTTGTGACAAAGCTTACAGAAGAAGCCAGAGACTGGAACTAGATACTCCTGACCTGCTCAGGGGGTTCAAAGGTCAATCAGGGGGCATAGGTTAATCAGGGGTTCAAAGGTCAATCAGGGGTTCAAAGGTCAATCAGGGATTCAATGGTCAACCAGGGGTCAAAAGTTGATCAGTACACATGAACATTGTATAGCACACTGCATTCCGTGGTCTCGTCTCTCAGCCTTTTGAAACAGCCCAATTTCTTGATGCTTAGCACACAATTCAATGCTAACACCAACATTTCAAGAGAAATCATAAAAAAACAGCAATGACCTGTTGCATATGTACAAAAGTTAAGTGCTTGTTTTTACTATTGCTCTGCTGATATGTAACACCTGATTTGCAGTATTTGGACAGGTTAAGAACTGTATAGTCCAGCAACTATGTAGCTTAGCAATGGCAACCCAATTGTGGCAAACTGAATGATTTCAATTGATTCAACAAACCTCATAAAAGAAATTAACACAGGGGTAAGAGTCTTATGAAATGCTTTTAAATGCATTTATATTTGTAAGGCTGGCAGGACACGCGAAAGCAAGTGCAAAGCGAAATTCATGTTATCAACAAGGGTAGAGGCGCTTCAAACATATTGTTGACGTCACAAATTCTGCTTCGCTCTTGCTTTCGCGTGAAGTAGGAACCGGACTTTAAAGGATTTGACATTCATGTGTGCAGAGCAACACTACGAACGTCTGATATATGTGAGCACTGCAAATGCATGCCAGCCAATCGGAGTCGACTTTAGAAATTGTGACGTCATTTCTAGCAGAAATTCCGCCAAATAAAGCTGTTGATTGGTTACCGAAGACCCAATAGAAGGCGCCCGCTGAATGGTCAGAATCTTGAGGTCAAGACACAGTCTTGTTTCGCATAACTAATCGCCGAATCTGCTCGAATATCACAGACGCTTGCGTGCATGCAAGCGGCTATTTAATAGACTAGACAATTCTGCCAATTGAAAAAAAAATCATCAACCTGTCCAAGAAATTGGGTCATGCTGTCGTTCATCAACAAATGCCTACCTCATAAATAGCATACATGTATATCATGAATTGGAACAATAATGTACATTTGGACAATCTGTGCTCAAGCATCAGTTCTTCAACTGCAGAATCACGGTGACAAAAGACACAAACATTGGTGTGTTTTCAAAGATAATATTATTGTGATTTGAAGCAAGAAAGAGGAAAAAGAGAGGTGAGAAGAAATGAGGAATTGAAGGAGGATATTTGGTTTTGTCCACCTATTCTTACTGGAGAAATTTGATGCAACAATGCATCTTGCACAATGTGAGACTTATCTGATGATATATCCACCATATTCAGAGACGTTGGCACAGATGCATTCAAAATAGTAATATATGCAGGGAAACTGGTATTAACCTGAAGGGAATACTATATAAGGTAGAATGTAACAATCGTTCTGATGTTTCCATGTTGTGTGAGGATAGAGCTTTGCATGTATGCAGGAGTCAACACCCAACTAGGTACTTGGTACTTGGTTTGTTCTTCTCCTAAGAACTTCCACAAGGGAGTATAACTAGGAGGCCAGAAACACCGGGGCAAACCCCTTCTCTTAGCGATGAGTGTTACTGGGTTCTTTTACGTGCATTAGGCCTTATACAACACACACGGGACCTCCGGCTTAACGTCCCATCTGAAGGACGAAGCAATAATGGTTAAGTGCCTTGCTCAAGGGCACAAGTGTCCACCCAGCAGGCTTGAACCCACGCCACTGTTGCCTCTGAAACACCACAGCGTGAGTCTGGTGCTCTTAACCGCTAGGCCATGACACTCCACCTTAATCAAAATAGGATAGCAAGGCAGAATACAGCATTATCAATGCCCTTGTGGTGTGATACCAACTACCTTTACGTAGGACGATGGCAGCCCCGAGTCCTCGCATAAATGCCAGCTGAAGTCCGCCGTCTCTGCGCTAAAACTGCTAATGGTTCAACCAGGCAAAACTCGGCCAACAATTGCTTATCCGCTCAATGACTGCAATGGTTTGGTTTGTATAAAATATTCTTGGCAAAGACTAAGTGCAAGCGGAAGTACTGCGCACACATAGAGGGTGTTTCACTGACTACTGGTATGTTGCATTGTGGTTTAAACTACAGGGCATGCATTCTGTTAAACAAGATATATGCACTCTAGAGTCCAAAAGAAATATGGCAACAAGGAAACCACGAAATGATGTCATAAGGGTGCATGTTAGCACAAAGTATCTAAATATCTTAGATTGAACTGACTGTCTTTGCACTACATCAACCAGATATCGAGAGTTAAGCAGGTCTGAAAAAAATGTGTGTACCAGGTACATATGTACATAAAGTTGTTCATCTTTTCCCCCTTAATCTTTTTCAGAAACCTCGATGATATGCAGAGATTTGCAATGCCTCACCCGTAAATGCCAGTTTTAAAAACAAAAGAGAAAGAAAAATATCTTATCTGTGGATAGCTGGCAAGGGAACAAATATAGCAAAAACAGAAAGAATGTCACGTAAACCCAATTTCAGAAACAAAGACTTGAAGGGAGGCTTGTAAAAACATGAGCATCTTGACCATTGTGATGCTACATTTACATGTACAACACCAGTTATCATTGGAAAGCTTCTTGTAGTATGTTGAGCCATGAACAAATATATGTCATAATTTCTGTTGACAAAAATTTCCCTTGGTAGATAAAATCCAGCCGAAATATTTTCCACACAATAATGGGAAACTGGTAGGTAGACCAAGCAAGAGCATGCATTCTAGGCGATTGAAATTGTAACTATCACCACTACACTACAAAGAAAAAAAGGGGGTGTGTGTGTATGTGAGTGTGTGTTCACCAGTTGTTCACGAGTTGCTTGACCGCAAAGCAGTTTCGCCGCCCGTCGACTATGAAGCGGGCAACAGGCCGCAAAGCCGCCTCTCAACTGTAAAGACTTGCATTTAATAAAGGCCAATTTGAAAAAGCTCCCATTTCAAGCTCATAATTACTAAAACAGTACATCAATTGCTAAAATAGTACAACAGTACACTGGATAAACCGTGTCCTTAGATATTCATGTACAAGTACAGATGAAAAATCCTTAATATGTCAAAAAGGCAAGGGGAAGGCACAGATGAAAGGTAAGATTTGAAGAAAGAATGATGCAGAGGGTGAGAGGAAATACAATGTATGTGAGAGAACACCTACCAACAGATTTGTTGGGATCAAATACCAGCTCTGTTATGTCTTCTTGTTGTTTTTGTTCTTCCTGTTGCTGTTGTTCGGGAGTTGCTGAAACCCCAGAGGTTGGCTCCACATCCATGGGCGTCGCCCCTTCGCTTTCCCCAACAACTTCAGAAGACTGGGCCTGATCAGACTGGGTCTGCTCTGCCTTGGCCTGAACCTCAGCCTGAGCCTCAGCCTGATCCTCAGCCTGATCCCCAGCCTGATCCTCAGCCTGATCCTCTGATCCCACCGCTGCCACCGATTCAGACTCACCAGAAGGAACACTTGGACCAGCCGACTGGGTTTCACCATGCTCACCCTCCTGTACATCAGAGGCAGACTGCAAGTCAGACAAAGGCTGGTTGTCAAAGGTCACAGTGATTTTTAGATTCTTTAAGCCCGAATGAGAAGCTGAATCTGACCCATCTGGACAGAGAGCAACGGACTTGTTGGTAGTGCCTTCCTGTACCGCCATAGGGGATTCTGTGGTTTCTTCCTTGGCTGGCTCAATGACCTGGACATCAGGAACTGTGGACCCAGAAGGCTCATCAACAGGCTGTGAGGTAGAGGCCTGATCAAGATCTTCTTTGGCTGAGGTTTCATCCTCAGATGCTGGCTCAAGATCAGGCATGTCTTGGTGGTCTGATTCAGCAAATACAACCACTACCTCTTTCTCTTGAGAAGGCTCTCTGCTCTCTTCATTGTCGCTGATGATAACTACATCCTCTGTTTCCTTTGAAGGTGTAGGTTCCTGGAGGGGACATGAAGAAAAGCTCATAGAAATAAAAGAATAATTGCATCAATGTTACCATTATTTCAGAAATGAATCGGGAAAAGTAGGCAGAGAGATTAATTAAAAACATACATGTAGACTGAACTACAGGGCAAAATAAATAGGTAACTATGAACCAATATCGTGAAGATAAACAGGTGTTTGCCTTTTTCGTGGCCTTAAAGAGAACAAAATGAAGACTGCTTCATATGTGACTGCTTCCAGTCACACTACATAACACCCCTTCACCATTGGAATCCCTTCAATCATCTCCTGACAACGGGCAGAGTATACTGTCCGGTTCTTTTCAGAACCTCGAAAACTCACAAAACAGATTTGTCAAACAGTGTAACCCTAAATCTTTATCATATTGATATGAAGAAGTGGAAGCCACAAAATCCGTTTCTCTAGTTACTGCAAAATTCAAATTGTTGCTTGTTTTCAATTTATCTGATCACCAGCTTTCGTGGCAGTAGGACAATCATTAACCTGTGTCTTTCCACCAGGAAGGAGTCTTACTTTAACTTGGGGAACTTTATAACTCCTTGGAATGTGTTCAGGACATACAGTCTTTGTGACCTTGATATTGTCTCCATCTTATCGTGCAAATTAACAGTGTAAATGTCTTCCAAGTTTTGAAATGGACCCTTGCCACCATCTTCAACTTTGGTTGGTAGATTACTTGGACTTGTATGACCCCTTCTACCATATTCACGTAACACACTAAGTTATATGAAAAGGACAGTAACTGGACACGCAGGGATGTTGAAATTTAAAAGTATATTCCATCAAAGAAACTATTTTGGTCAAGTTTTCTGTACTACGTACATGGGTCCTCAGTATTCCAAGGATTACAAAGTAATGAAGAAATTGAATTATTGAATGGAATGTACAAATTTATTTATTGCTGGTTATGAAACCAAGGATTCCTCAGAAGCACCCCAGGCACTGTAGCTCACAGAGCCTGAAGAAACTTGTAGAGAGAAGCCAATGATGAAATGTCCCGCTTTGGTACTTGGTACGTGGTTGGTTCTTCTCCTAAGGACTTCCACAAGGGAGTATAACTAGGAGGCCAGAAACACCGGGGCAAACCCCTTCTCTTATAGCGATAAGTGTTACTGGGTTCTTCTACGTGCGTTAGGCCTTATACAACACGCGGGACCTCCGGCTTAATGTCCCATCCGAAGGACGAAGCAATAATGGTTAAGTGCCTTGCTTAAGGGCACAAGTGTCCGGGCCGGGGCTCGAACCCTCGCCACTGTTGCCTCTGAAACACCACAGCATGAGTCCGGTGCTCTGAACCGCTAGGCCATGACACTCCACGCTTTAGACGTGGGAGAAAAACCCCGGCGGAATATTCTGGGGGTACAATGAAAGCCCTGAAAGCCCAATCCACATGTGGACCAGGGTTGGAACTGAAACTGGGCCATAGAGTAGAGACTCCCTGAGTGGTGAGTGATCATGGACTGTGTTAACAGTTGTTAACCCATAGAGTTTAGGTACATGTATGACAAGGACTGGGAAATGAGGATGGTTTAACCCTAACCCTGCTAAATGCAACAGAAAGCAACAAAGGTATAATGTTTTGCATACTGTTGCATTTAGCAGGCAACTCAAGTCTCCGTGCTCTGTTGCATCTTGTTACATTTAGCAGGGTAACTGCTCATAGTGCCAAGGTGATACAAGAGTATCCACTGTTGCAGTTTGTTGCATTTAGCAGGGTAACTGCTTGGTGGCAAGGCAATACAAGATTATCCTCTGTTTGAGTTTGTTGCATTTAGCAGGGTAACTGCTTGGCGCCAAGGTTGATGTGCAATGGGTTCACTGCACAATGCAACAGAATCCACTGTTGCAGTTTGTTGCATTTAGCAGGGTTCTCATTTGAGTTAAGTTGGATATTGTTGCATTTAGCAGGGTACCCGAAGAATACCTGATGGAAGTTAGGGTTAATGGGTTTTTTTAGGTCACAATTTGGGATCACTTTCCATCCTGTCTTTTTTTTTCTCCCTTCAGCAACCAACTTCATCAGCCTGAAAGAAACTTTGACAGATTATACAAGCAGTTGCTAATGAAAATTATCCTAGACTTTCCAACCTGCAGCATGATGAATGTCATATTGTTCAAGCTCATTTTTTTCTTAATTGGCTGTTTATACCCTGGTGTCGGTGGCTCAGTACAGCAAGGTTCCACAGACTTTTACACCTTTGCGCTGTGGTGCGCATGTCAGGGCTAGGGTGGAGGAACATTGATAGAATGTGAAATCAAGAGCTTTGTCATAAAAGGAGACTTAGGAACGGGTCAAGGCTGAGTATGAACAAGGACATAAAGGTATCACCGCAACTTTGCCCTGTTCCATATGTAAACAGCTCAGGAGAACTCAAAGGCTGGTGAAATGTATTCATGATATTGCCACCTTTACTCAGAGTGAATGATGACACAACCAAACAGAACTGTTGTGTCCTCTATGAGTGATCCCCGTTTGCTATTCCCCAGGTCTCTATCGTGACTTTGGGCGTGATCCCTGGCTGTATGGCATACTGGTTTATGGCTTCCGACTAGCACCCCTTGAACAAAGCTATTGAATAATTGGGGAACCCCCAACATAGGGCTGGATAGCTCAGTTGGTAGAGCACTGGAACGGTTATCCGGAGGTCGCAGGTTCAAGCCTGGCTCCAGTCACTTTCTTTGTTCAACTTTTCAGAACTGTTGTGTGTTTAGAAGGGTTTTGCACCAGTTTGAAGATTATATCCCACTTAAAAACAGACATTGAAACTGAAATTAATCCGTAAAATGGGAACTGTTCTATCCTGCAGCAGTATTTTGGCCGGCCCTGTCATGCAGCTCCTGCCTTTAAGAAAATGGTTATATGCAAAATGAAAACGAAAATATGAAGGAAAAGCACAAGGCAGTCAGTCAATTTAAAGTCCATCCTATAAGTCTTCTTCACATGAGATGAAGTTGGTATGAGAGTGCTGCCCCTCTCATACGACGGCATCTTCGTAGGAGAATTACAACTGCGTATACAACACCACCAGGTACGTGTGTGCTCAGTACGCAAAATGTTCTTAACGTGCGCATGTTGCTCGACATGTTTTTTGGAAATACGGCGCGGCACAGACGATGCGAGTCAAGAAAATGCCGCTGCACCTGACAATCTGTAGGTAGTGACGTCATTTGAGAGATCCAATGTCGGGTAATAATTGTATGAGAGAAAAGTAAGGGAAAAAGAAGAGGAGTGTGAATAAAACGGTAAAATAGGACACAAACAGAACTTTAAGAGTTTGCATTCAATGCATTTGGGGTCTCATACTGTCTTAGTTTCTCTATGCAAGCAGCAGACTTTGCAATCAATTGCAATTCTCGTACGTTACGTGATTTCAAACTCACTGGTGGATGGTCCTCTTCCTCGGCCTTTAGCTGCATCTCCAACAGCTCAGCATCCAGGTCAATGTCATCGTCGAACCCCACCGCATCCACAGTCACGTAGTTCTCTTCTTCAGTGGATGTCCCTTCCTGAGATTGCTGGCCCCTTCGCTGTTTAAATTTGAACAAAGAACAAGAAAAGGTGTATTTATGAACACAAACGCCCCGCCACTGCATAACTTGTCCATGATATGGCACCGCCCTTTGATTATCAAGTTTCCTGGGAGCTATCAGGGTCACTGTTTTGTTTAGGCAATACTGCATTGATGCCTATAACCTACAGGGGCTAAACTCAGCAGGTTTCTAGAGGTCACCAAGACCAACCCACATACCAAGTTCAAAGTTGATATGTCAAGTCCTTCTCAAGTAATGGTGGGAATATAACACACATTACTATCGTTTCCACATTCAAAAGGAGATTGTTAATGATTGTACCCAGCATGGCATACCACTAGGTCTATTAAAGACAGTCAAGTCTTTGACTAAGGTCTTTGTGGACTTTTCTATAGGTCTTTCTGAAAGACAGCCATCTTTATACGAGAACTACAACTGCATATTTTACGCAATCAAGCACGCATTGCATGGTGTTGAAAATGTTCCAAACATGCGCCCTTGTTGTTTTTGAAATGTGTTTGAAATACGTCGCAGCCGATGCGCGTTATGCAAGTCGAGGCTCAAAACGCCGATGCATGTGGCTGGTCTGTAGGAAATGAGAAAAACCTATTACAATGATATTGTAGGTCCTAGTGGCTAACCTTCTTGTGCATGTCTCCCTTGCAGTGCTGGACATATTTCTGTGTCGTCTTGAAGCTCAAGTCACAGGCAGCGCAGTGCGGCTTGGACTTCTTCTTCGCATCCTGGTAAAAAAAAACAATAAATTTTAACCCTTATCCTCCTCTAAAACCAACCAAGCAATTTTGGAGGATTTTGTTGGATTGAGCCTAAATGCCTGTTTAAAAGCCCATTGGTTTTGGAAGATGCATTCTTTCAAGGTCTTAAGCCATGCCTTTTTTTAATGACTAGCCATGTAGAAACTGTCCTAAATTATACTAGATATCATCTGCACTGCTTCCAGATATCATCCACACGGCTATAGCTTCTTGTGAGTGGAGTTGCCTCAACATATTGACAGATTTTGGAGGATTGAGGCTTTATGCCTGTTGAATACTAAACAATTGTTGACTGCTGTGATGTGGGATATGATGTTTTGAACACCCCGGGGGCTCTTAGCAGCCGAGGCGAAGCTATACACCCAGATAATACTACCACATTGGTGCGTCAATACAGCAAGATACAAGTGTGTACAGGGAGCTATATATTGTACACTGCAACTTTCGCAAACGTCATAAACGTGAAATATGTTTTGTTTTCCCACGTAGCCTGGTTTCATTTTGAAAATTCCCCGCAAATGACTTTCAAAATCTTTTTTTTTTCATTTTCTGAGAAGTTTCTAAGTAATTTGTTAAGTTGGTTATGGGTACCTGATCCCATAACCTGGAACCGGTTCCTGACATCGACGGTTGAGTACTCGGTGCCAATGAAAAGCGCTAATAAGAACATTACCTTGTGGGCTTCGCTCTTCAAGTGATCAAAGCGCTCTCCTCTGAAATATCGGTGGCAGTCTCGGCAATACCGCTGGGGTGCCCTGCAAGCAGATCGAAATAAAAAGAATTAACTGCTGTCTGAACAGCCACAGACAGTAACAATTTTCTGTGTTTTCCATGCCATGTCTTTGACTTGTCACCTACAGCCATTTCACATTTCTGGTAAGCACTGTGGTTAGTCAACTGGGTAACTAGTAAGTGCAGCTGCAGGGTCTAAATCCTGACAGACCACATGGTGCTTATAAGTGTTCTTGGGCAAGACACTTTACTTCAATTGCCTCTCTCCACCCGGTGAAATAAATGGGTACCTGTGAAGAGGGCAAAGTGCAGATTGTGCGGATCTTAAGCTAGTGTAAGAGCTGGAATCATGGCCTGATGAACAAGGGTACTAATTGTGAAGCCCTTTGAGACTTTCATATAAAGTGCTACATAAGCACCACATTATTAAAACTATTGACCAATTGGTGCCTGTACCGCCTGAAACCGCCAGTGCACTCAATGGATTTATGGATTCTTCAATGAATAAATACAATGTAGCATACATGTAGGTGCTAAATACAATGTAGTACAGGAGCTAAATACAATGTAGTATAGGTGCTAAATACAAAGTAGCATAGGTACTAAATGCAAAGTAGCATCTAGGTGCTAAATGCAATGTAGCATAGGTGCTAAATACAATATGTCATGGGTGCTAAATACAAAATAGCATAGGTGCTAAACACAATGTAGCATAGGTGATAAGTGAATTGTAGCAAAGGTGCTTAAGGCAATGTAGCAAAGAGGCTAAAGGCAATGTAGCATAGGTGCTAAATACAATGTGGCATGGGTGCTAAATACAATGTGGCACAGGTGCTAAATACAATGTAGCATAGGTGCTAAAGGAAATGTAGCATAGGTGCTAATTGTTCAATAAGATAACTTAATCAGTGATTGATGGATGTGCATACCTTTGTTCACTATCGCGCCTCTCAGCACCACGCCCCTCACCACCACCGCGCCCACCGCTCCCTCCCCCGCTCTCCAGTTTGCGCAGGTAGTTCTGGGCCTGCAGTCGCGCTTTTGCCTGGTCACTCTGGAATGTTGCCACCTCGCGGATCTTTTCCATAGCCTCCAGATGCTTCTTGCCTGTCATGTGGGTCTGGTACACCTGATGGAAAGTACACAAAGCAATAATCAAATCAACTCGTTTTAACCCTTCTTTTAACCCTGACCCCTTGAGCGATTTACCAGGAACCTTCTTCATTCTTGCAAAATCCAACACCACATGGTAATTCATAAGATGTGATTTTTTCATACGATGTGATTTCTTTTGGTGTTGGGGTGATGTGAATCAAATTAGGTTTTTGCCCTTCACCGACGTATAAACACTTCACCGACGTAAAAATCACTCGGGTGGGACTCGAACCCACGACCTCCTGCTTTCTAGTGCAGATGTCTTACCACTCGACCACCAAGCTAACGGCATCGGTTGGCTGGTTCGAATCTGATGTATATAGCATCACACTAACTACCTGCATCTGCACATCAGATTCGAAACAGCCAACCGATCCCATTAGCTCGCCGAGAGTAAACACTTTTCTCAAATACTATATCCTTTAAACTGGCTGTGAGCCAGTTGTTGGGATCTATTAGTTTTCCACGACAGAGTCATTGTTCCCATCCTTTTAGCGGATTAAAGCCCTTGACAATTATCAAACAATTCCTGCAAAAACAGTGTCCCATAATATTTGCCATTTATCCAGCGTGCTTTGCGTGCAACTTTAGACCGCGCAGCAGCAGTTACAGCTTGCGCATGTAGAGCTTGATCAGCAAGTTTCAAATATTCGGTCAAACGCAGTTTCAAATAAATCAAATACTAAATTATTTGCACATAAACAGCCCTATTCTCAATCACCGATCAACATGAGATAATACAATCCTACTTGCCTTGATATTACGGCAGGTCACGCTGCAGACGTGGCAGAACCAGCTGCTGTTCTTCTCAGCCTCCATGTCTACGCTGGTCTGCAGTATAGAACGCAAAGGGTGAGATAAGACACAAACGTGAACACCAAAACATTCCTACTGGCTACATTCCTGAACTATCTACGGGACTTTTTCTACATTACTTTTACATCGCAAATTATGGGCTCCTCACATCAACCAATCAAGCACGTATTGCATGCTTCCACTGACATAGTTCTATTGTGCCAAAATGTCAAATCTTCCAATGCAAGGTATCCACAAATCTTATGGCTTTTATTGAATGTGTACAGGAAAACACGCTCATTCATGGACTCTAGTATGGTATATAAAAGACCATATTTTAACAAGATGCTTTAACTGATTGAGCTAAATACTTTAAATGTTCCATAAGCATGGATGTCTCCATTTCAAGATGATTGGTCTTCTCCGAGATCAAAGGAAGGCATCCCTCCCTCTGAAGTCTTTGATATGCGAGCAGATTCTGCGATTAATTATGCAAACAAGACTGCATCTGGACCTTGAGATTCTGACCACTAAGCGGGCACCCTATATCGCGTCTTTTAACCTGTTGTATTACAAAAACTTGTCAGCCAAATTGACCAATCAATAGCTTAGTTGACATTGCTGATTTTGCACAATTTCTAAAGTTGACTCGGACTGGCTGGCGCGCGGAGTTGTATAAAATCTGCATTGCTCAGATATGTGATGCTATCAAGCTATATAACTCGTTTGTCGACACTGGTCAAAAATTTTTTATTATAGATTTGATAACAGCACAATCTCAGCATTACTGCTGTGGAAACCGCATGCTGATACCATCTTTAGTTCAAAAATTATGGAAGTTGGAACACCAAGAGATGCAATGAAGTGATGTGATGAAGTGGCCCTCTTTTGGCCTGTACATGTATCTCAAGATGAAAATTCCAGACAAACGACTCATTTAGCTTGATCGCATCACGTATATCAGATGTTGGATACGAGGAGGGCTCCATGGACAATGGGTGGTACTCAGACTCCCCCCCTCCCCCTCACCCTCTGGTAGTAAGATTGCCAAAAAGGATTAATGGTAATTGGAGTCTGCAGTTTCATCAGACAATAAGATGACAGGTATTCTCTTCAGACAATACTGAAACTTAGTTTTGGACAAGTACAAAGGTACAAGAAACAAGTCTGTGTCGTGAAACGCCTACTGACCGCTGTGCTGGAGTTCTGTCGGGGACTCTGCATGGGCTTCTTCCGAACCGGACCTCCCTCGTCAGTCACTGCCCTGCCTCGGGACTGCTGCCGGATGGTCACCTGCAGGTCATCAACTGGCCGCCCAATACTGGTCACTGTGGACACAAGCAACCAACGGGAAAACAGGTATAACGTGAATAGGTTAATAATAAAAACTTCCTGACTCCCTGACAGACTGACTCACTGACTGTCCTTGCAAGCCGGGCAGTGCTATCATATAGGATTACCCTGTAATGTTAATGGATTGGTTCTATCCGGCCCAGTGTGTAGACCACATGCAAGAAATGACTTCTAGTAAATCAACTGAATTGAAATTTGGCTGGTTAGGTTTTATAAGTTTATAGCTGAATTTGAGGACATTTTGTTTAATTGTGAACTAAGCATTACTCATTTTAAATTGTGGATCCAAAATAAATTTTAGGAACACATAAAAAGACGCAGCTCTTTTACAGAGTTCCAAACATGGGGAAAATAAAACCAAACATATGCACAGCATGTGGAATACTTAGGAATAAAACGAATGCCTCAATGTGAAAAAGCTATTATCAGGGGTGTGATTGGACAAAAATGAAAAATCCACGAACTTCGGTTGACATGTAATATACATGTCATGTATTATTGTACATGTACTTGTATAGATGTACATGTATACATATGCATGCACGTATGTCCATATATAGGCCTAGGGCATGTACATGTACTGTAATTTCTGTAATGTTAGCAAATTTTGTCGCTTCAGTAAAGAAAACAAATGGGGGAAAATTAAGAAAAAACGTCTGGTCATTAAATAATATAATCCATGTGATTGATTCATAAAGGCTTTTTCTGTGTGTGATGTTATTACTTTTGCATGTTGCAGAGAGAAACGATTCACACAAAACAATATGAACGGTGCTGAAAAAGTTTAATCTTACTTTAATTTCAACTCCAGTCCCAGGCTTCCAAAACATTTTTGAAATTTTGTGTTGGTGGTGGCTATTTTTCAAAGCACTACTGCAGCTCAAACTGATTTCCATCCACAGTGACACTTTATTACCAGTTCTTCCAGCCATACTCTTGAATTCCTTGACAAAATCGCGGCAATATTGACACCAATGTGTTTGCGAATTGCTAGCACACGATCGTCACTGCACAGTACATGCACAATACACACACACATCCACACGCGATATACAAACACGAGGTGCTGCAAACCCATTGAAAATTATTTTTAGTCTGGTCCTCAAGTACTCCACTGCGCATACTGCATTAATGTATATTAGGTTCTTGACCGCACTGCATTAGACTTGTCACCAGTCCATCCATTATCGTAAATTAGAGCCTATATTTCGCCAGAAGTTTTTGGGCGATATTATTACGGAAACAGAAAACGTTAAAAATCCGGAATCCGCAAAAAAAATCCGCAGACTTTAGATTAAAAATCCGGAAATCCGGAAAAATCCGGAAAAATCACACACCTGTATTATAAATGCCTAACTCGAATTGGCAATACATATTGTGACTGTACTATCGTGATTCATGTACTTTATGTCATGAAACAAAGGAGTAACATTTCACCCCCTAAATATACATGTACATCAGTTCTTAACATTTACAGGTACATGTATAAAGTTAAACGCTTGAGATACTAATTTCAGACGTTTTGGGAGGTTTCAACAATTGGGCCATTACCCTCGTCATCAGTTGGTCTAGCCGGATCATAGATCTCCGAGTTACTCCTCTTCCGTTGCATGTTCTGTCCGCGATTGCTGTTGCGCCGTTCCCTGTTCCCAGCCCCCGGTGCTTCCCTCCCTCTTCCTCTGCTGGCCCCGGCCCCTCCTTGGCGTCTCCCAGCTCCCCCGTCTCTCATCCCATTGCCCGGCCTGGCCCCGCCCACACCGTTGCGTCCCATTGGTCCGCCGGAGGAATTGCGGCGTCTGTCTTGCTGCTGGTATTGCTGCTGCTGCTGTGGCCCTTGTCGCTGCTGCTGTTGCTGCGGTTGTCGCTGCTGTCGCTGTTGGTTCATATTGGCCCTGGCTTGGGGCTGAAATCCTAGATAATCAGATGGGAAAGGAATGCAAATTTTAAATCTAACTGAACCTGAAGTTCAGATATCCCAGTTTCCAATTCAAGTCGCTTACCGGTAGATAGGTGATGGGATTGTGTTTTTGATGTCTTTAAAAAAATATCCGCTCCGTTCACAAGTACCCCCTCACCGGCAAAGAAAGTACAGTTGGGGGTGACCGACCGATGACATCTTGCCTAACTTCAATTTTGCCGCGACGCGCAGACGTACATGTACCATTGCGTGTACATAATACAAATCCCCTGGTGTACGTGCGTCACACACATCGATCTCAATAGTAAGACACCCAAGGAACGGTGCGCAGCGTCAACCAGCTAAATGTCCCGCCCATGGGACGTCGTTGCTAGGTAAAAGGGCGCCCTCTTTCGTTACCGCACGGAGCCCATAGGTAGAATAACAAGCAATTTTCAAAACTTTCAAAAAGGCCTGCTTGTTAGTCTACCTATATTTTTTAAAAGGATAAATCTGCGATGGCCCTATGGCCAAATATCTTTCTTAAGACATACTCTGACTGTGTGCCAAATTCCATGCTTGTATCATCCAAGGCACAATTCCCCAAATATTTCCCCTATCTACCCCACTACTGGGCCACGTCCGCCAAAATCCATCAATCACACTGCTTCCAATGCATGCTTTGCTTAAGGCCTCAAGGCCCAAGTCCGTCATACTCGGAGTCAATATTTAGTCAAACCAGGCCTGCAGGACCAAGTCCCCCAAAATCCACCAAAATGGGGGGATGGATTTTGATGGAGTTGGGTAGGTTAGGGTTAACCCCCTAGCAAGACTTCAATTATCAGAGCAACATGTAAAACTTTTAAAACCCTGCAGTTCTGTTTCAGGTGAAGGGATAGTTAGTACACACAGAGAGTGCAGTGATGAGCAGCACTCAGTATCCGCGTAGCTGGCATGGACTTGAATTGTTTCTTTTCCAGTGATTCCAACCGCGTAGCCAGAGATTTTAGGGGTTTATTTCCGAGTGGCGGGGTATTCTGCAATTACTCCGATTATTTTGTGTTACTGAGGCGTCCCAATTAGTTCATTTATAAATCAGCTTGTTTTGCTCATAACCGTAAAGTTATGATTTGTTTTCCCGGACCACTCGCACACTGTCCGATCCTTGCTCACACCGTACGCTATACGACATAATGCCACGTAGTGAGAATTTAAATCGTACAATGTCCGCTGTATTTGTAGGCTTCCAACAATACACTGCTATAGTGGCCCCGCGCTATGTGTAAATGAAATCGTTGTATGTCTTGACAAATTCTCCACACTAGCTGCGTGGTTGGAAGTGCATGCCGCAGCATTGCACTACACATCGGTCGCAAAATGGATCATTGTCTCGCGTACGAGTTGACCAATCCGCGTAAGAGTTGTCTCGCGTACGAGTTGGTCCACGTACGAGTTGTCCTGTTTCCAATCACACAAAAGAAATGTACAGGGATTTGAAGTGTCATCCATACTCCACAGAAGATTACCTCAAAGGAATTTGAGGTGGGGTGCCAACTCTATGGGCAAAAGTAGTTTTGCAAAACTTAAAGGGTTGTGAAGTGCAGAAGACAATGAAAGTTAAGGAAACAAAATCTCAATCCAGCCTTGGACTGAGTCTAATACCCACCTTGTTGCCGATCGGCTCCGCCCTCATCGGAAGCTGCGGACAGCATGGCTTGCTGGATTCTGATCTTGGTTGCCATTAACTCATCAATGTCATTATCCAACTTGCCCAGCATGTCACGAGGCGTTCTCATGCCCATTGATGGGCTGGGCAGGAGCCCTCCGCCACGGCTGGATCCTAGGTTGGAACCTTGAGGGGAACCAAACGTAGGACTCCTCATGCCTGGGTCATTCCTGCAAGAAAGGTTTTGTCAATTGGATCATTTGAACAATTTTGTGTTAAGAGTCAGAACCAGTCAAAATTATGAATAGTGGAATCCGGCGACCAGAATTAAACTTATTACTGCAGCACTTGGTGTCACGCTCATGCGCATGCTGCATCCGTTCTTAAAGAGAAGGCACGCGCATATTTTGGTATTCCTATTGGTGAAGGAGCCTGGAGTGCGTGCCCCCTACCTGAGCGGGACTCGTGTGAGCCTGGTGCCACCGCAGAAAATGGCTGCCGCCGTATTTGTCTAAAAAGATCGTTATTCCTGTATGGAATTAGATGTTATTCTTGTATGGAATAGGATCGTTATTCCTGTTTGAAATAGAATCATTATTCCTGTTTGGAATAGGATAGTTATTCCTGTATGGAATAGGATTGAATTCAGCTTCAATTCCACCAGTGTTGTAGGTCTCCAGACCGGTCTCGGTACCGGTCTCGAGACCACTTTCTGCTGGTCTCGGTCTTGGGAGCTGTGGTCTCAGTCTTGGTCTCGGTCCCCTTTGGTCTTGAGTCGAGACCGGCAATATTTAGCATTTACAGCTCGATCAATTACTTTGCGTTCTCTTCGTTCAGTACCGTTGATAGGTAAAACATTTCCTAGCCCTCAGATAATGTTGTCAACCTTAATTCTTGTAAACGAATCGTTACATATCGTGGTTGGTTCGGACTGCACGTTGGAAAGTCCTCAAAGTACATGTTAAGCTGCAGCAGTACCAGTCATGCAGCGAAGCGAATCATTTTGAAAATAGCTCATTTGAAGTACCCCATGCTCAAAAAGCAAAATCCCATTCAGAACAAAATAAATATCCATATCTGGCTACCACCTCACAACTTGTGGGTCTACATATACAAGTTTATATTCCATGACAGAAATTTTTAAAAATAATTCAATATTTCCTAGCTCTCATTTTTTTAAATTAGGTTTACAAGTCTTGGTAGAAGTTAAGTCCTGTTATTATCGGACGAGATTGGGCACAGACAGCCTATCAAAGCTCATATTTTTTGACGTGTTGCCATTAGTCAAAATCTTGTCTGTAATCTTCGTGAATAAAAAGGTTATGTGTCTTGATTTTTATTTAGATTATTGTTATTTATTATCTGTGGTCTCGGTCTCGGTCTCGGACCATATCGGTCTTGGTCTCGGTCCGCCTTGAAGGGGCTGGTCTCGGTTTCGGTCTCAGTCTTGGTCTCGGTCTCGGACTATCCGGTCTCGACTGCAACACTGAATTTCACTTTTCGGTTTCAATTTCGGAAACCGGATATTCAAAACCAACCTTATAAAAATATTACGCTTTCCATTTTTCTGTGATACAGGCTTAAGAAAACAACTGGAACATCCCCCTATTTTGCTCCAAGGTCTCTGACTGTAACTGCATTCACTTGCTAGTGGTCTTCTTGGTATATGAAAAGCCTGTCCATTTGACTTGCCAGAGAGTTCCCATCCATTTTTTTTCCAACATTACAACTCTGGAGTGTTTTTGTAAAGGCCCAGTGCCCATTGGATCCTGCAAACCAAACCCAGTCATTGGGAGGGCATTTCATGCAGCACCTCACTCGTCACTTTTTGTTGGCATGACTGTGAGCTGGACATGCTGGATGGGAACTTCCGGTGAAATCTGAAAACCTTAATTCAGTTTGGAAAAAAAAAGGATAACCGGATTTTGAAATCTTTGATTTCTCCCACCACTAATCAGACACCATTACTGAGGCAAAACCATGCTTGGAACCACCATTCAATGTAACCAACTTGTGCATGGGCCTCGACTATGCATGTTTATTGTTCCACCAAGGTGATGGCGTCGAGTTTTGTTTGCCAGGTTTAATAGTCTATACCCAGTGTACCTGAGATTGCCGCTCATGTCCAACAGGCTAGGTCTGGTGCTGCCAGTGCCTGGCGGTGAGCCCCATCCTGATGATGCTTGCTGCATGTTGGCTCTGCCCTGCATAGTCTGCTGGTGTGATGCTTGCTGCATGTTGCCTCTACCACCGCCACCGTGCATGCCTTGCTGTTGTCTCTGATCTTGCTGCCAGTACATCTTGCCGACTCAGCGCACTGATAGATTCTATATATGTGAAAGAATGCAAAGAAATTGTACTGTTCAGTAATTCCAATTTACTAGTATAAGCTGTGCATCAAAGAAATGAAAGCGATGATGTATTGGTAATCGATGATCTCTTGGTGATCATTCATGTGAGCTGCAAATGAATGGAATTTGACTGGGTCTACTCTATTAAGTACATGTGTGCACATGTATGTTTCTCTTTCATAGGGAGTGGGAGTGCAATCGAGTGTGACGCATGTACAATATGTACACCTATGCTGGTGGCACTGAGGTTTATTGAGGGCAATCAACCGTGACAATGTAGCCGGCTACCATGGCTACCAGATGGATAGATGAGTGGTCCAGATTCTGCAATTGTGTCAAAAGCACCTTAAAGACTAAAACCAAAGAGGAAAGTACAAAATCACTACATTTCTGAGTTTAACATTATAGCCTAATCGCTAACGTAACATGTTATTCAAAAGTGGCATTTCCAAATGGCTTTCAATTTCAGAAAGAAATATCTGATTAAAATCTTGTCTGAAAATTTGGGACTCTCTATCACATCTGGGCCTTTTACATTTCGAAAATACATACAACTTCTCCGTAAAAAAGTTACAAAATGTCCTCAAGAAGCTGTAAGGAACATCTGGTAATACAGAAAGAGGAACAAATCAACCATGGACATCAACATTCAACTGATATTTGTCATTCAACTTCTTTTCTTTTCAGGATCAAATTAATATCATAGGAATTTATTTTTGCCATCCTTCGTCGCGGTTTGTATCGAAAAATCTCCAATGAAGGTTCACCATGTGTAGATCTTGCATGCGCTGTGGCTAGCTGTGCACGGCCGGCCACACGCACGCCGCACACGGCTGATCGAGGATTTTACAATCATCATGGTCATCCAATTTGGAAGGGAATCCCAATTGATTTCTCCTGAACTACTCACATTTTTACCATTGATCCTAGCCCCATAAATGTGGCCAATTTACTGGACTACCTCCGTAAATAAAGGCCACACTTCCACCATGTACAAAAACATGTCGAACTTTGTCAAATTTTGATTTTCACATTTAGGCTTAGTTTGTAGTTTATTTTTGCTTTAGAAGCATACTCACCCTCATTATAGGCTAATTAGAAAGTGCTGCCTTTTTCAGATGTCTATTTTTCGTGAAATTTCCAGATTCGTTTGCACACGTTTGCGTATCAAAATTTCAACACGAAATTTCACGAAAATTAGACATACAATGTATCTGAAAAAGGCAGCACTTTCTGATTAGCCTATTAAGAGGGTGAGTATGCTTCTAAAGCAAAAATAAACTACAGACTAAGCCTTAATGTGAACATAAAAAATTTGACAAAGTTCGACATGTTTTTGTACTCGGTGGAAATGTGGCCTTTATTTACGGAGGTAGTCCAGTAAATTGGCTACATTTATGGCCAATATGGGGCTACATTGAACCAAAAGGTGGTTGTTCTTATTATACCTTCAGAAACATTGTGTGAAAATTTCATTACCGAACTCCATCATCAAATTTTTGAGAAAAAAGAGTGAAAAAGTCTGGACGTGCCGCGCCGTAGACTTGAAGTTTGCACGTAAATTTCGGGCAATGTTTGTCAATGTCATCCACTCCCATGATGCATTGCAAATGTCGAAAAGGTGCACATGCCAAGAAGTTGTGGTTGGGGGCGAAGTGACATGAGGCGCTGCTGCTGTGAAATAGGAGGCGAAGTGGAAATGGGGGCGAAGTGACAATTATTCCAATAACGTTTGTGCAGAGCGCCTTGCGAAAAGCGAAGCGAAGCGACGCAACGAATTGACAATAACATTATTTTTGTCATTTTTCTATCGATGAAGACATTCAAAATGTAAAAAATAATTTACAAATAATTCCTTCTCCATTTCATCTGTTGTTAATAGATAAAAGATGTAAAATCTCACCTTAGACAGCGTGTTCTGCGAGCTCGAGCAAAGCCGAGTACGGAAAAAAAAACGTGAGCGATGGGAAAAGACAGTCTGAGCCCAGACCACATTAACTATTTGTATTCAACACAACGAGTCAGGGAGCTTGTCTGCTGTTAAAAAGCAAGCCAGCGTTTGCACAGGGCGCCCTCTATAGATTGACAATCTCAATTTTTCTAAAACTTTTTTGTTAGTAAAATGTAGTCGGCTTTAATATGCAGGACCAAACAATAATCGAGTGACTGTTAAGAATTACCTATCAATAAGAATGCCACAATTATACCAGACAAAGCCAGTGGGGAAAAAAGACACGTTTAAATTTGGTGTTATGTTGACTGGATGATGATGCATAGCGGCATGCAATATCCGGTCAACTTTCTGAGATTCTGAGATCATTTTCTGAGATCATGTTAAAAAAAAATCGGGGCTTCATAGGTGTATGAAGTAGACCATGGACTGACTTTATTGAATTGCAATTTTTTTTTTAAATCCCTTACCAAGCTTCCTGATGTGCCTTTTATTGATACTATTTTAGAGGGTTCTTGGTTGTGGATGTCTTAGTAATTTAACGAAATACGTCCAAACTTGAACACTGACAACATATCAACTTGGAAAAGGTGAACTTATTGCAAGATTATGAAACTGAGAACAAAAACAGTGTAATAGCTGTTCCGAAACTTTATATTTCGCTTTGTTAAATTCTTAAGTTGTGTTCAAGTATTTAACAGTCACTGGAAGGGATTAAGCCAGAAGAGAGCAGGATTCTAAAAGGGAACAAAATGGCGTATATCGTGTTTTGCCGGGAAATAAACTCTTCATATATTATTTATATTGTTATTATAACTTTATAGGTAATGATTTGAATATTTAAGGTAATTTTTTTTGGTTTTTTTATCCCATTTCTGTAATCATGGCGGTTCTTCCACTGTTGGATGTGTAGAATAAATAAATAAAATAAATAAATTTAATGAATTTCAATATGTAAATAAATCCTGTTTCCTTAATAATGCAATTTGTCATATTCAATTGTTCTATGGCGACTAAAACGTGGCAGGTTTGAATGGAAAACGTTGGAAAATTGTTTTGGTGTTTGAACGCCCTCATACTTATGTCGAAGTTTAAAGCTTGTTTGTTCATAATCATAATCTAGTCCATCCACCTACATCTGATTGTCTTTTTTCTTTAATTTCAATGTTTTCCAACAATTATACGTTGGTTTTTACTACCTTAATTAAATACTTTATTTTGCCAAAGGAAGAAACAGGTTTTTCCCAAGGGAGCCAATTACTGCAAGCTGGATAAAAGGGGGATTTTCATTTCTGTATGTGATAAATCAACACAATAGACCTACATCATATTGGGAAGGTCATAAATAATGGACACTTGTACTAAATAAAGACACATTTCATTTCTGATATGAAGGTAACGAACCTGTTTATTTGAGTATTACTGTCCCAATGATGTTAAATGTTAATAAAAAGATAAATGGTTAAAACCTGAACCATATATTTTCAACCTTTGTGAAACTACTGCTTCAAAAGACACACTGAAAATTTCACAAGAAATTTCTAAAATGCACATGGATGCCTGCAAGTACATAGAGATATATTAGTGTTATAAGCTTAATGATGCACATTTCTGTTGATAATAACTGTAGTGATACTGTTATACGATACCCCACCCCCAATACAATTATAATAAAATGGGAATACATTTTTTGTAAAATTTGATTTGACTCAGACGAAATGGGACTTTTTTATGATCACCAGCATTTCAAGATTTTTTTCCATTCAACATATTGTTCCCTGTAGATAAAGTGCAGTGCTACTATATACATACTAAGTTTCAACTAAAATCTGGCAGAAATGACCATTCAGTTTTGCATTGAAAACAAATCTTTGATGAAAAACCTCAAAATGTTGTCCAATAATAAATACGATCATCTGCCTTGAGTACAACACTACAGAAGACGACCGTAGGCAATTGGAGCACACTTTTGTTTAAGAATTAACAAGTCTCCTATTTCAGTTAAAATAACAATTTGAAATAATACATACTTGAGAGTTGATGCATGCATTAACTTAACCTATAAACAACTATTTCATTAACTGTTTGGTTTACCTGTATCATTGAAGAAAAAAACCCGAAAGTGTGCCAAAAGATTTTAAAATAAAAAAACTAAATATGAAAAATAGTACTATTGTCTCAAGTGTATTGAAAGACAGTGAAAATGTAATTCAAGTAACAAACAGTATTGCACTAAACTATTCTGATACATAATTAAACCATTAGCACCTGTACTACCCACAGTATTACACTGTATTAATTCACAGTATTACAATGTATTACATTGTGTTTAATTCACTGAAGAATCATTAAAACCATAGAGTGCTCTGGCGGTTTCGGGCACTGCAGTGAGTAATATGCAGGACAGTTTTGGATGCTACAGTGACTAAAGACCTTTTCACACTAGAAAAATCACAGGGTTGACTCAGGGTTGAAAACAAGAAAGCGCTTCACACTTGAAAAATTTCAACCCTGCGCCAAACCTGCGTCAACCCTGAGATTGGTTTCGCCCCGGGTTGAACTCAACCCTGCTCCAGACCAGGGTTGAGATTTTCAACCCGGGTTAAAATTCTTGCCAGGGTTCAAAACAGTAGTAACCAAGCGAAATAAGCTCAGTTTGCAAGAAACAAGTGTGAAACGATGCAGGGTTAAACGTAGGGTTGAAAAATAAAAAAACTTTACCCAGGTCGGCACTGGGTTCGCCCAGGGTTGAGTTCAACCTGGGTTAAGAGGCTCTAGTGTGAAAAGGGCTTATTATAGGGTCAACACAGACATATAACAAGAAAGTGAAAAGTACATGTAGCTCAGCAAGAGTAAATACAGTTATTAGTATACAACAAGAAGTTTAGGTACAAGGCCATTATAGCTAGCCTGTTGTGAGTCTTTCTCCTATTACGAAAAAAAGTGTAATTTTTTATCTATTATGAAAAAGTGTATTTATTTTTGTGCTGGACGTTTTATCATACAACAAAAAGTCTGACAAACTAATTATTAAATCAATTACCAACTTAATCTTTGAAACCAAACTCAGTAGAACTGTTAGAACACACCATATCCGAGCACGCAAGAATGTTATTTGTTATTTGTGTTGACAGTATAAAACTAAAATTGGAAAATGGACAAAGTCGAAAAAAATAATGTTCTTGTACTCTGGTTCCCTGACCCTACTTCAGATGAAGCGGATCAATTTACAGACGTCGAGGGGGAAAAAGTCATATTTTTTTTCAACGATGGTCCGCCAACCATTGTTGGAAATTGATACAAAAATTCCACTTTTCTGGAAAAATACAGCACACCAGGTGCCATGATTTCACAGGATGCGTGAGACTATTATTCACTTATAGTCAAGTAAGATATTTTATCATAATTTGGTAGTTTTTATGTTTGCAAATGTTGTAAATTACCTTTAACGTGACACCAGCCCCCCCCCCCCCCCAAATTAAGATTATACACCCAAAACTACAATTTAACCTTCTATATTTAACCTTTAATATGCAGCTGTAAAAAAAATGCAATTCGTTTTTACAGTCACAGCTTGGTACAATTGATTGATCAAAAACTGAAATATCTAATGCAGACTGGCCCAGAGTAGCTACCTTTACTGCGGTACTTAGACATGCTCATGGGCCAGTTTGAAAATGACGTGCATGCACTTATACCATAGCTCAAAATGTTCTCCCTACCTTGCCTACAGGTATACATGGCATGTTTCACTGCAAATTAATTACAAAGTCGCTACTGAGTGCAAGCTGCTATGAGACAAAGCTTCAGAAACTAGAGCTGCAAGTCTGCTTGATATATATTTTTTTTCTCCTTTTCTCCCAAGCCCCCTAAAACAAATAATACATAAATACATCAACATTTATAGCAATTGTAGCTTCTTCTTTTGGGAATAAGTTGCAAGATTTGTTAAATTCCCAAAGTAAAAATATAAACTTTGTAAATGAAAGTGGTTAACACATATTTTAATTTGTTTTCCAAAAAAAAAATCATTTGCAAAACATATAGGCTTTCTACTTTCCTCGATACTGGGTTTTGCTCTATACCGACATAATTGGGTTTTTTTTTATAAATACTGTATCCTCAGTGTTGTCCCAAGTGATTGTAGGAAAAAATCACTTGGGTGGGACTCGAACCCACGACCTCCTGCTTTCTAGTGCAGACGTCTTACCACTCGACCACCGCGCTTGCGGGATCGGTTGGCTGGTTCGAATCTGATATAGCAGCGGGTACTACAACCAAACTGCATTGTATTCATAGATAGGATCTGCGTCGGGGTGATGTAAATTCATTTTATAAATAGTTTTGAGCTATGTAATTTGAAAAGGCATCCGAATGTTAACTAGAATTACTACTCCAAAATGCTAAATTGTACATACCGGTATCTATATCTCTTCAAGCTGCACATAACCTTCCATAGGGAATCTAATTTTACATTTATATCTTAAAAAGTGTATGGTGTACCAAAATATTAAATATTCTCATATTATATCCAATAAATATTTTTACATTATGAGTCAAGAGACTAAGGATAGCTGGCCCATCTCCTTTTTATAATATTTTTTAAACAAAGTAGTACTGTGTGTGCATATAAACAAATAGTCTTGATAAATACATTTTGATATATACATAGTAATATGTTAAAATACTTGTCCACTGTATACGATAACTTTACATTTCATTAACCCTGTGAATGATCGAAACAAAATATTAAAAATAAATAGTAAACAATTCAATTGTTTTAAGGCTTCTTCTTTTGACCCTTTGAAAATAAATAAAATAATCAATTTAAATTCTGAAAACATTTTTCATTCTTGAAAAGAACATTTCAGTAAAAGTACAAGTCGTGATGACAGATATATTTCAATACGACTCTAAGAGAAGGGATAAATATTTCAATTTTGGTGCTTTGTTAGATACAAGTTCAGCTGACTTCCATACCCTTAATATCGCAGGTCATTATGTTTCACCAGTGTTGTAGTCGAGTACTTTTTTCCGAGTACCAAGTACTTACAAGTTCAGGTCTCCGAGTACAAGTACTTGTACTTCTGAGTACGAGTACGAGTACTTCTATTTCCAAATACAGCCATATCGCAAATAGTTCATTGTGCGTATTTGGCCCAGGCACAGTCAGACCGATATACAGACCCACTCACGGCTAGCTGTTAAATGTGTTTGTCTAGACGTGCACAGAGAAAATTCAGCAAACTTTGATTTCTCTGCAGGCCAGTCAATAATTTCCAACTGAAAGTATCGATAATAAAATAAGGCAGTGGTAAGTCAAGCTATACCATTCTTTTTCAAGTACTGCTATTCGAGTACGAGTACGAGTACTCAAAAAAAGTACTTGAGTAGTACTCTAGTACGAGTACCGAGTACGAGTACTACAGCACTGTGTTTCACACATCACGGGGGTATCCACGATATCTTGGACAATGTTTCGGATCGTGGGATCAGTAAAGGCCGGTTTAATGGCGCACGTCCGATGCTGATGGTCCCTTGTTGATAATCCTTTTTGGGGGCAGTTGCTATTCTTCTTGTAGTCTTATCAAGGTATTAGTTACGGTGTCCACTTATTAGTGAATAAATCTACTTCTTCTCAAGCTTTTTGTCTCCGCAACTTGATTTTAATAAGAAATGGATACCTTGACAAGACAACAAGAAGCCTATAATTGCCTTGTTTGATACTTGCAGAAGAAAGCAAAAGTGGAAAGTGGACACCACGTACCCGTAACTTACACGTTAACTGCAATAAAAATTATTTGGCCTATTATGGTGATTGTGTACATCAGACGTTGTTGCAGGCCCTGTTGAACAACGGGTGATACTCAGACTAGCAAACCAGTTGGTTCATTGACTAAAAGTGAGGTCAGCGACCATGTCAAAGTTCAATTTGGGCTAAGTGATGCGCTAGCATCCTTTCGGCGACGAGTTGCTGGCACTTCATCGACAACTACAGGTATTAACTTCATGTAAGAGGATCAGACGTCAATTTTTCAGTCGCAGGACTGATATAGGGTGTCCTGTACACACTTTTTAAAAAATATTGTGCACACATACATGTACATGTACACAATGTATTAGTATTCACTGAGCTGAAACATCAATTGATTAGTTAATTGTTACATGTATGCACCCAACTTGGGATCAATGACAATTGTGTGAAAGGTTTCCTTTATTTGTAATATGGACTCCTTAAGATCTACATAGTCTCTGTGCACTGTGCTGTTAAAATAAAAAGGAATTTCAACATTCTATGCACAATTTATGGCCAGCAGAGTTGGTAATATTTCACTTTGCAAACCATTAAAATTCAATACCAAAATACCGACAAAAATTTCGAGTGTACCACAAAGTTCCCCAAAACCTAGGAAAATAAGGCTAAATGAAAATAAAGTCAGATCACTTTATAAAAGTGACCTTGTAATTTGTCAGCATATATACACAAGCAAATTGAGGATACTCGGTTTCACCATGCAACCTTTGACTTCAGATCATGTGATTGTCTTTGACACCGTGGGCCGACTGTTTGTCCATTTTCATGGCTCCGTGCCCGGCTCCGTGCCCATCAGCTTCGTGCGGGTCGTACTCCCCTTGCTCACTCCGTCTTCGCTTCACGATCAAATCCTGCATGGCGCGGAGTGTTTCGCTCTGATATTTCTCCGGTAGGGAATGCGCAGCCGACGACGCGTGGTTGGGTGACGACATGCCCGCGTGGTCCCCTGTAGACATTGGCACCGCGAGACCCTCGTCGCTGTCCAGGCTGCCAGACTGGCTGAGGCGGGCTTCCATCTTGTACATCTCCTCCTGGATGTGCGACACGGCTTCTCCCGTCTCGTAGCGCGTCTCCGACACGTGTTGGCGCAGCTGCTGCAGCATCTGTCGCTGTTGGAGACGTCGCTGCTGGTCAGGTGATCCGCGAGCAGCATTGGTCTGACGACCAACAAGTTTTTGCACGACATCCTGAGGAATGAAAGAAGATAGGAAACAGTCAGTGGCATGTTAACCTTACAGTACTTTCCTTATCTTCCCGCCATCACGTTTGTTATAGTGGGGTTCCACTGTAACCGTTTAAGTTGTGTGATTTTGTTTGTCAAACCATGGAACTATAAAACACATAGCTCCATGGTCAAACGCCACGCTTTTGTCAAAATCGACTTTCCTGCAGATCTGAGAGCTCCCGTGAGAAAAATTCGCTAAATTTCTTTTTTCAAATTTATCAATTTTCAGCCCTTCGGCGATCCCTTCTTTATGTTATTTAAAGGGAGTGTGCAACATTTGCTTTTGCTGCAATTTTCAGAAATAAATGGATTTGGAGGATTAGTATGTGATAGCAAATATCGTTAAGCTGAATTGTTTCACGTTTTGGGCTTGTAGATGCTGAAAAAACGAAGAAAACATATCATGTTCGTGTAGTCTTGTTTCCTGACCCCACTCAAGATGAAACGGAGCAGTTAATAGACTTTGGGGAATCGTAAGGTCAGAGAATCAGTCTAGCAGGCTTGTACTCCTTAACAGTAATCAATTGGAAAGAAAATGCGGAATAACTAAATTTGACAAATTAGCAGCTGTTTTTGAAAAAAAAACAGTTTTCTCCAATGCTGGTCGGCTGACCAGCATTGGAAAAATACTTTTTTTTCTTGAAAATGTCAGCACACCAGGAGCCATGGCTTTACAGGATGCTTTAGACTGTCATTCCCTAATAATCCAGTAAGATATTTCGTGATAATTTGATCATTTGGTTTTTAGATGTTTGTAAATGTTGTATCTTCCCTTTAAGGCTCCTTGTCCATTTTCAACAAGCACACACTATACATTGTATTCAAATCCCGATCAGCAGCCAGTTTAGCCTGCGAATATGTTATCAATATTAATTATACATGTATCACAAAGCTCGGACCCAAGGGGTCAGAACTCTTGGGTGATTTACATGTTGGCCATTAACATTCCAATCCCTCGGGAATGTCCATAGCTAAAGCACTGAGACGGCAATCCTGGATCATTCATTGCGTGACTGCAAGCGGCCTTTGAACATGATGAACGCCGCCAAATTTTCAGTTGGTAACCAACTACCTCCCTACATGCTGCATAATAAGTCGTGTCACGTCGTTGCTCTGGTTTGAAAAATATAGTTTACAACAAGATAGGTTTCAACAACTGCGCAGTTGTTAGATGTGAGTTATGAATTCAAGTTATCGACGTGCAGTTGTTAGTCCCTGAAAGCGCTATCTGTCCCTGTATTTTGAAGATAAATTGGATTGTTTTCAGATAAGTTATCAAGTCTTTTTCGGACTTTTGAATAGGCAATACATCATTAATGAAATGTGATTTTTGGGGAAATTTTCGAACTTTTCATACTAAAGGTATAGAGCATTTTGTTCGTCATGAAATGACTGTTTCAGTGACATTGACCACATTGTTATCCCATGTTATCCAACTGCGAACAAATACTTCAAAATCAATCAGTTTTGGCAATGTACAAATGTATGACAACTGCGCATGCGTATTACCACGGTACTGTCCACAAAGCAACGCAAAACTCTTTCTTCTAACATTTGGCCAATTCCGGCGTGACAGACGGGACAGATTTACTCTACCTTTTTTTTTTCAAAGGCCTGTCACAACCATAAAGGTGTAACCATCTAAGATATATACCCAGTATGTATAAAGTCAAAGTCAACACTCTATATTTCAAGTTAAAAAACAATCCACAAAACTAGAGGATTCAGCGGCTGCATAGGGACAAAGTGAAATCAGCGTGACTGACGGGACGGAAATTACACTCAATATTTTGAAAAAGACTTTCGATGGAAAAAGTTATCTGTTCCCCTGGGAAATGTAATGTTTTTTTTTCGTTTAAAGTTAATCACTTTTGAGCCAATAATCAGTGAACACTTTACTTCGTAATTCAAAACAGAGAACTGGAAACGCCAGGCTCATTACTGTTGTGACGGATGGGACGTGACAGACGGGACATGTTTATATGCAGAATAAATGTAGGCACAAGCATTTATTATTTTAAGAAGGACACATATTAAAAACCAGAAGATTCTACAAAAATGTACAGTGCATATTCAACTTTTTTTTTAGCAGGTGATTGAAAAAATGTGACAGACGGGACAAAAATACTTAACAAATGGGTAAAATGTGACATTTTTACTTATTTTAGCACCGAATAAATGTAGGCACAAGCATTTATTATTTTTAAGGACATGTAGTTTACAGGGGTGTGAGTGACCACTGATAAAAATAGCTGAAAACAACTGGAAAAGGTGTAAAAAAGATGAACTTTGGAAATCTCCTATACTTTTGTACACAGTAAGCGAAGGGAAAAAAGCTAAAATCAGCTTTAAAGATGAGATTTCACACCCCTAAGTATATTAAAAACCAGAAAGGTCTACAACGGATGTATGTTCAAATTTTTTTAACCTAAAGGTGACTGAAAAAATGTGACTGACGGGACAAAATACTTAACAAATGGGTAAAATGTGACAGACGGAACAGAGTTTGAAATGAAATATCAGATCAACTATACATCCATGGATTTTTTTATGTTACTTTCTAGGTGAGGTCACCTTGATAGAAGATATGAATTCAAGTTTGAACCAAAAAGATCTTTTCATGTAAAAAATATACAACTTTTTCATGTTTTTTTTTGTGACAGGCGGGACATTGCAACGTTGTTTTTTTCAAAATGGTGCAAGACTGTGATGTTTCAACTTTTGGTTTAAAAATCTATAGTGGTGGATAGGGACGGCATGAGACTTCATAGTCGAGCAAAAACAAAATCTTTGAAGCTAAGAATTGGAACAGGGGGGAACTAAAATTTCCATCAAAAATAGAGGAAAATGCTACTACTGTTTCTCGAAACTTCAATCCTTGATAAAAATAAATCCAAGTGCAGTAGAAGAAAAGCAAAAACTGTTTCTGTAAGCTTGGTCTTTCTACTTTCCAAGAAAAAACGATTTACTTGCAGAAAATGTACTTTGAAAATTCATGAGTTGGCAACTCTTAAGACTTACATTGTATTTGGAATTAACCATTTGTGAGCGCGGATCTTTATTGTGTAGAGATTAGCATAGCGAGCAACTGGGTAAAGCCCGGTTCATACTCAATGCGAATGCGAATGCAGAGCGAATTTGACGTCATGAAACATTTGCTGCGAAATTCGCCCGAGTTGAAATGTGCTCAACTTTTACGAATTCGCAGCGTGAATACTTGACACGACGTCACAAATTCGCATTCGCTTTTGTTTTCGCGCCGAGTAGGAACCGGACTTAAGCTGGCTGCCAGGTGCTTCCTATTGTCAGCGACCATCCTTTTACTTTAATGTCTTGGAGTTCGAACTCCAGCTCTGTGGTTATATTCTATCAAATCTATACAATACGCACATCCCTAAAGTACATGTACCGGTATATTGCCCCCTATTCATAAAGTACCGGTAGGCCCTACATGTACATGTATATTTTTTTTTTGCCGTCCCAAACGTACAAAACTAGAAAATCTAAAATTCAAATTTATTAGAGGTCACTTCAGCAGTTTCTACTTGGCCCAGATATTCAGCTACCTGTAACATATTTATTTTTCCATATTAAAATAGAATAAATTAATTATTGTCGTCAGTACAAAACTTGACCGATTTTTTTTACGACTTTATTTTGTTATTCGATCATGTACATGTATAAAATTTCTTTTTTTAATTGACTCTTATCGCGGTCAACTTGGATGCTTTCGTCCTTTAGGCCAAAAAAAAAGTCCTGGTATGGAGCTTGCCCAAAAAGTGGTGCGGCGACGCGGATTTTTTTTTTTGCCTCAAATGTCGGCTGATGACTGCAAATGGTGCCCGACTAAAATTAGTGCAAATACCGGTATATGGGAGTCCAGAGAGGCCACATAAAGCTTATTCTCGATCATAACCCCATCCAAAAACACATTAAAATTGTGCAGCAGCAGGATTCCAGTCAAACCAGTGAGTTTGGCGGTTTTGAGACATCATCTTTCATTAAAAAAAAAAACTTTTTCATTTTGCTGACGCACATGGCTACGGCGACGCACGCGCATACCAGAAACCGGAGACTTTTTTTTTTGGGCCTTAGGGCACCACTTGAAAATTCAAATCTACATGTAAAGTAACACTAAACCATAACGAACGGTAAGCCAGTCAAAGAAAAAGGTCTCCTACATGTAGTGTAAATTAGGAAAATTTAAATAAAACAGGCACGCAGTAATTAAAAAAAAATGCTGGTACTTTGTCCAAGGTTTGAATATCATCACCACAACCATATGTGCATCCAATTTTACTCAAATGATTGTATTGCATTTACTGTTAAAATGTACACTAATTGTTTTTAATCAACCAAAGTAGCAAAAAACAGCAGCAGCTGTCAAAATAATAGCAACCCAAACCCCCCAAAATATAATTTATATTTAAAGAAATATTAATACCCGGAATAAAGCACCAAAATAATAATGACTGGAAAGCCAATTTCATAAACTACTTTTAGATGAAAAAAATACCAATATTTCTCAATCCGTTCAAAGTTTATCACCATTTAAACGCAATGACCCTAAAACCTCTTTTGTCCAAAAATGCAATTTCAAGAATCGTCGTCACAAGTGTCTTCAAACATCACCAGCGGTGAAACCTCAGTAAATTTAAAAGTTCAAAATATTCAACAAAGTTCTTTTTAAGGCCTGTCTTTTAAAAAAAGTGGATTATATAAATCATATTGTTTGCCTAAGCAGGGTTTTTAATAAAGATATTGTGTACTACAGCTGTTGACAGTTGTTGAAACAAGTATTCTGTGTCATTTTCTTTGTTGTTCCAAACAGTCAGAACATACCGGTACATTCCTTTTTTTGGACGAAACAGGGTCATTGCATTTAAATGGCAATATTCTTTGAACGGATTGAGCAATTTTAGTATTTTTTTGATCTGAAAGCATTTTATGAAATTGGCTTTCCAGTCATGATTACATTAAAAAAAGTTTTATAATCAAAGACTGTTCGGATGAATTTCCATAAAAATTTAACATTCTTCAAAGTTGCTGTCGTCTTAAAGTTTGGTTCATATCCAGTACGCAAAACAAAACAAAACACAATATAGCATGGTATGTACAATACGATCTCTGGAAACTTGTGTGATTTTTAGCTGAGCGTTTTATGACATCACACCCACTTCACACGAAGTTGTGTTTTTGTCAAGTTATGGAACGGCCTTTACAAGAACAAGTTCATTATTTTAGATGGAATGTAACGTTTCTTACTTTGTACTCCCGATTCCTTCTGCTCATAATTTCGTCGGGTAGAGTGTTGGCCCTAAATCTGTAACAGAAATGAAAGACAGAAGAAAAAAAATCTAAGTTATAGATGTGCCACTAACACGTTTCTCCTTCACTAGTACATCACATGTACATGTATGTACAAAATAATGTACATAACCCATACATGTACATACAATGATAATAATAATAATACAAATTTACAAAGCGCACGGTCTACAATGTAAGAAAAAAAACTAATTTGTTGGAAAAAGTCAGCATATATCATTAATTTTGATACATCAAAAATGGACCTATTTCCCAGACTTGTATTCCAATCACCAAACAGGGCCGTATCATAAGTCCGACGCCTCATAGGTCCGACGCCTCATAAGTCCGAAATTTCTGACTTATGAGGCGTCTGACTTATGAGGCATACAATTTATTTATTCCGCCTCATAGGTCCGACGCCTCATAAGTCCGACGTCGGAAACACGAGGCGTTCAATTTGTCGGACCTACGAGGCGTCGGAGCTATGAGGCATCGGACCTATGAGGCGTCAGACTTATGAGGCGTCGGACTTATGGGCCTTTATTTGGTTAGGGGATACAATTTTGTCGGACCTATGAGGCGTCGAACTTTTGAGCGGACCCCCACCAAACCTCGAGTCCGAGTCCCAAATCATGCAGGTTGAGTCCGAGTCACAAAGGTTCAAGTCATCAGTCACCATATATTGGAAACAAATTTGGAAGTACTGCTAAAACCTCACAGTGTAATGTTTTCATTTTTCACTGCTTTTCTCTAATTTAATTACAGAACTGGAAATTTGTGTAGTGGTGGCCAAATAAGGCAGGGCACCAGTGTCTGGAAAGGATAATCTGGTATCATACACTATTAAGCTTGCATTTACGCAATATCAAGAGTGGACGCTGGGATACATGTTTCGATACATTGATTTGCCACATCAATATATCGGAAACAAGCCAGCCGCATCACATGCGCTGCGTATGTACTGGTACAGTACTTAGATGCATTTCCTCTGTACAGGGTGAGTAAAAAAAAAACAACCCCAAATGTCGGGACTATTGCTTTACTGAAGTTCTGCATGTAGCACTTTCAAAATCTAGGACATGAAAGCCCAATTCGTAAGCTTTCTTTTAGTACAAGAATCATTTAAATCACTCATGTATTTTTCAAGTTACGGAATTATAAACACAACCACCGTTTAAAGTTCTGTCCACGGATCACAAAAAAGGTGTGCGTTCTGTCAGCAAAACGAAAAACAATTCACACACATCCCAATGTGATTTGTTTTTCTTTTGCTGAAAGAACACTGACCTTTTTTGTGATCCGTGGACAGAACCTTAAAACGGTGGTTGTGTTTAAAATTCTGCAACTTGAAAAGTACATGGGTGATTTGAATTACACTTGCACTAAAAGAAAGCTTATGAATTGGGCTTTCATATCCTAAATTTTGAAAGTGCTACATGCAGAACTTCACTAAAATTATGGTCCCAACATTTGAGTTTCGTTTTTTTTTACTCACCCTGTACTGCACAGACTGTCCATCACTTGCTCAGGAGAAAACCATCTTCAAAATACATCTACTAATTTGTAGTTACATGTATATTGAACATTGCAAAAAAAAAGGGATTTGTGGTATTTTGATCGAGTCTCAGTCATGCAGGTCCGAGTCTGAGTCCGAATCCAAGTCCGAGTCAAAGTCCGCAGCTATTTCTACAATTAATGTAGGTCTCGTCAGAGTCCGAGTCATCTGTCATCGTGACTCGAGTCCGAGTCATGAAAAATGGGACTCAAGCTGGACTCGAGTCCGAGTCACAAGTCATACAAGTCTGCTATTTCCACCAAAAAAAAAGTTTCTTGTTTTATGGGGGGAGCAGCAAAATTAGACAGGGCAATCTGACATTTCAATATGCAAAAGTATACAGAATAATCTTTACAAATGCTAGAATGTGCAGACGCACATGAAATACAATACATATACCAGTACATGTATCTGTTAACCACTTGACAAGCATCTCATTTGCAGGAAACCAAACCCAGTGTAACTCGAGATGCGTCTATAAAATTAATGTGCAACCTGACTCATTATACTATCTCAATAAAACAAAAGAAAAATATGATCTACAGGTACCATCATGACTGCATTGTATTACATATGTACGTGTAACTGCCAGTATTTTGCTGATTGAACGATGGTTCAAACTTGTTATAAAAATCGTCAATTGAACATTTAAGAACTTACAAAAAACCTGACAAGTAAAGTTTTATGAAACAGTTTTACGTGGTTTTTCTAATCAGAAAGATTAATTTACATGTAGATAGATGTGGGCAATGCCAGCATAATGTAATGTCTGTGACCGAGCTTTGAAGAGCACAGTGAATAAACATGAAATTGGTATTTTTCAAATCTTATCATAATGGTCAAGGAGTTTTGGATTATTTCTATGAATCATAAATGAGATTATCATGGTTCATTGGCTGTGAATCATGCTGAAATTGCTGGCAAAATGCTGGACTTGCCCAAAAAAAATGAACAACAATTTTATTCTGCTGTCAAAAAAATGATCAACTAGTGCAATACATATTTTCATCAGTTCTGCAAATTAGCGGACAACATACAGATCATTTTAGGAAGATGAAGTTACAGACATCTACTACTTGCACAGTTTTTGCTTGCACTGGTCAAAAAAAGCATGTTACTCCACTTGCAGCATAATTTAAAAAAAAAATGCAATAAACATGATGTTGAACATATACACGTCTCAGTTTCAACTGTGCATAAATATGACACATATGTGTTTCGGGAATATGGTCATGAAAAAAAAAATGCTCCAAGCGACCCTTTTGCGTAGGCAATGTTAGTTGTACCATGACCCATGCATTTTCTATCTTGTACGTAATCATCAAATATACAAATGTACTTTTTATAATCACTGGAAACACTAGACAACATATATACTGTACACCAAAGAAAGACGATATTTGTAAGTAAGTGCGCTCTTGGAAAAATTTTGGCTTATATATGCACTTACAATACATGCTTTTGAAATGCAGTGTTGCACCAACCACAAAAATTAAAAACAAGTTTCATGAAACAAACCAACAAAACCCAAGCAATTATAGAGTACATTTTGTACTAAAGAATATTGTTCCATTGTGAATAATATTACATGTAAATTATTAAGAAAAAAAATTAACTGCAACAAACTGCTTACTGAATGGATTGACCTGAATTGTAAGTAAAAAATGTTAGAGGACCTATAACGTCACTCCTGAAATATTAAATCTTCATAAATAATGTAGAAAATTATCACAACGGCAGTTTTAAACTCACCAAACTGACAAAATAGTAAACACACCAAAGCTGTAAAAACCACCCACAAAGGCCAAGCACACAAACACCTCAATCAACCAGTTAGTACTTGAAACACGAAGCATACACGTAGGACGACAGAACACATGTTACTTCCAGTGTTATGAATTCACTGCCCGTTTCCACAATACGGGCCAGTTGACTTCAATGACCGTTCCAGCTTTGACATATCGGCACACTGACATCAATACTCATGTCCGCATCAGGATACATGTGTGTAACACTGTGTGACTCCGCACTGCGGGAGCATACCAGTATACTGACAGCCGCGGCCTAAAAATATCTGTATGCGTCGTCGAGCGCTTTATGTATGCGGCACAGATGACGACTTGATGGTGGTTGAACAACTGACCGTGGCCCTTATTAAAACACACCAGATGACATCACCGACGTCATCCTCCCAGTACTCTCAATATTTTTTTTATCCTGGTCCAAAATTGCATCAGCCATCTATAACACCTGCTGTAATTTTTAAAGCTGATTAGCCTAGGCAAGGAGGAGTTGGGGGGGGGGGGGTTGTTAGAGCGTGCTTGATTGAGTAAGACTCCGGGAAAGATTTGTCATGTTCGCTTGACTTGATGGCATCCGAAAACGTCATCATCATGAGATCTGGGGGACGATTGTCACGATTCTTCCCTGGATTTATGCATAGCATTTTGATGGTCTTGTCGGTAATCGGTATTTGCATCAAATTAAGACATCCATGGCTGCAATATGGGTAATTATTATGAGCGGAGGTCTGGGTCTCATCCACTAAATGAACCGCATGTGTGTCATTCTGTGAATTTGAGGTCTACTTATTCTTCGCTGTCCCGGTTACATCTGACATCTATCATCTTATAATTGTGGATGCCCTCCTTAATGCAGTCATCCTCCAAGAGCAATTATAAATAGAATACTACCTACCCATTGCAACCAAAAAAGAGAGCATAATTTGGGGCTAATCATCCTAACTTGCAGCTGAGAACAGGCATGCAACTGGGAAGTCGTACAAAAAAGAGGAAATTCAAATTTTTTCCAAGACTTTGTACAGTGTTTTTCTATTTTCAATGGCACACATGTGAAGTACAAAAAGAGGAAATCAGTTGATCCGAGGAAAAGTTGCATGCCTGTGAGAACCTGAATTAAGAAGGACGCGGCTACAACGTGGTCGTGCCGCAGGCAAGGGCGGATCTAGAACACAATTTTGGAGGGGGCCAAAAAAAATTTTGGTCCCCCCAAAAAGTGGGTCAAAAAAATTACGGCGTGGGTTTCGGGGCCCGCTTAAGGGCCCCGAAAATTTTTTGGATTCTAGATGCTCTGTGGTGCGATCTGAGGCAATTTCTGACCACTTTAACCAATGTTTTTTTGAGGAAAAGATGGTGGTGTACTCATTGCCTGCCTTTATTGCGGTGTCACATAAAAAAAAAAAAAAATTGGTTTCGTTTTGGGGGGGGCCATGGCCCCCTTTGGCCCCCCCCTGGATCCGCCCTTGGCCGCAGGTAGGCCTACATGTACATGTCTGACCACGGAGCAGAGCGAGAGATCAAAAGGGTTGATTTTTGTGGAGGGAGCTCAAAACCGGAGAGCCCGGAGAAAAACCCTCACGGAACAGGAGAGAATCAACAAAAAACTCAAGTTCACATGTATGGTCCAAGCCGGGAATCGAACCCGGGCCACATCGGTGAGAGGCAAGCACTTTACGCACTACCTAACCCATGCCACAGTTACCCCCTGTACTAGCCACCCATGCCACACTACACTTAGTTTCAAACTCCTTAGAATTTCCCGGTAGGGCAGATACCGGTATCTACATGTACAAAACTTCTCAGGTACATCTATCCTTTGTCCAGGGAAGCATATACAGTGTACATGTATATACGTTTAAAAAGTTGCAAACAGTTGTACATGTAAATCCAAGAGAACAGATTTTAGTAGAAATTGAACATGTAGGTTTGTTTTTATTATTATTATTATTATTATTTATTCGACCAGGACAAATCTTACAAACAAATATGACCCAAAACAACATACATGAACATTAAGGAAAACAAAAAAGAACCAATAAAGAAGTAAACCAACAAACTATCGAACAAATCAATAAATAAATAAGTAGACAATAAAAATAAAATAAAAAATAAAAAAAATAAAAAACCATAAAATAACAAAACATATCAAATAATTATGTGGGTTGATGAGTGTCTGAAAAATTACAGAGATATGTACATTGTACATAACATGTACATGAACACCTTCAACATGCTCTTCAACATAATCAATTTTTTTTAATTCTTAAAGTTGGTGTAAAAATATACGTGCTTTTGGGGTGTGGCACCCTGAAAAATAGGTTTTTCAAAAGTTTCTGAACTGAAGCGCGCCATTTTTTGAAACTGTATAAAGGCCTGCAAAAACAAACAAGCAAATTTATTTGTTACAGGACATTATATTCCTTTAAATTTCATTCGGAAAAGAAAATCAAAATTTGGAAAAAGCATGTATGTTTACCAACCTGGATGATTTTCAATTTGCATGCTTTTATTTTTCAACCCTCTAAAAAAAAAAAAGCTTTTATTTTTGGTTTTGTGCCTATAATAAAAAGTGCCTTAATTGTAGGGCAGAAATAAAATTCAATCACAATTTGTAAACTAAATTATTCCATGTAAATTAAGGTTGGCAAATTTGTTTGATGTCTCATTAAAAATTGGAATAAACTGGTTTTTTTTTTTTTAAGAAACTGGGAAAATGGCTCGGAACCACAGCAACTTTAAAATATTTTTCACATGTAATCAACTACCATACATGTAGTCAGAACTATAAAGTCTTGCATCCACTGTGCACACATTCTGAAAGCGCATGCAGACATGGCAGAGAGATGAAATATTCATGTACCAGAAATGAGAAATACTGACAGTGCAATTATAGAAATTCCCCAGTGTAATGCATGTTGCTTTAGGCATTTTGGTAATTCCATGAGAGTGTGGACATGCCTGGCTAGTGAAAATTGGACAATTTAGGAAATCTTCAAAATTACAAGCACCATAACCAAAACTCTAGACCTTACATTCGAATGATGTGCCAGTGATGACCTCGTAGGTCCCCCCCCCCACCTCATACGTGAGTTACCAAACATACGTGTAGAATAGCCCACTTACTTGTTTAGTCGATTAGCTGTCTTGCAGTATAAGCAGCCACCTCAATCAGCCTAGTCCGTGCTATAATGCTAAATAATCCCTGTTGTTTATATTAAGGTTTTATGGAGCTCTTTATGTTTTTTTTATGATGACGCTGCATGCGCGGCTCCAAAAACAGACAGTGAATACCTGGCCGCTGGCAGGATGGGCTAATAACGTCCTTCAATCCGATGTAAGCTTAACGTAAAACTGTCCCAGAGAGGAGCTCAATATTTATGCATAAAAGTAACTGGCATCCACGTTATTTGTTACAAGGTAAATTTATATACCGGTATATGTATGGGTTTTTTTTCCAAATATGAATTGGGTCTTTTTGATGAACACATACATCAGTGTGAATAAGTAAAATTTGCATATTCCTCAAGTTGCTATCCAAGTGCTTTTCAACAAATTCTTCTTTAAATTCATGTTCAATTTGTTTGTTATACTGGGGTATTTTAGTTAGAAAGCACTCACAGAGCGCAAACCTTTGCCAAGGCTAAACAATTGCCCAACAGGAAATACTCGCATAAATGGTAAAGAAGCCTTGAAAAAATCCTGGATCCAGACCCAGATCCGGATCACTTCCAAAATCTAATCGATTTGTACCAAAGACCACCCCTAAAAACCTTTTCATGCAAATCCGTCTAAAACGTTTTGAGTTATCTTTTGAACAGACAAACCAGCCAACCAACAACATCCGATGAAAACATATAACCTCCTTGGCGAAAGTAATAAACAAACAAACTACAAGTACTTGAATATCTATTTCAGACATCTGAGAATCTCTGAAAAAGCTTATTTTTTGGGTTGCTTTTGCAAAGATCCACCCCAGATATTGTCCATCTGTAAATAATTAAATACATGAATATTGTACATGCTAGCGCTGTCCGGTGGTAAATGGCACCTAAAATAGATGCATGTACCGGTACATGTGGCTGTGTACATATTTTCACATCATGTACATGAACATGTACAGTGTACACTCATGTCTGTTTTGAAATTATCTTAATTTCCTGATACGTTTTCTTCTTTCTTCGTGTTCTTTACTCCAGGGCCCAATTTCACGGCGCTGCTAAGCACACGATTTTCTGCTAACAGAGCCTTCGTCTATTTCACGGAGACCGTAAGCATAAGCACAGCAAAGGCATGCTTACCTCAGAGGAAAAATTTGCTTAACTTAGTGACGTAACAATAGAAATCTCCATGCACGCGCGACCGTTGGCACACACACGCCGTGAAATAGTGCTTAAGGTTAGCAAATTTTTCTGCTATGCTAAACACAATTTTTCTGCTAACTGTTAAGCAGCGCCGTGAAAATGGGCCCAGTTAACATCATTCACCACCATCACACTAGATCACACAGCAATAATACCTTTCACGCGCACATCTCAGTACAAGAACACACTTCGCTTCTACGGTCCCAGTCTTTGGAATAGCATTGACCAATCAATTAAAGTCCAAAATCTCCGTGGACTCTTTTAAGAACTCTTTCAAAGAGTAGGCCTATCTTATTTCCCAATATGTAGCATAGTTTGGTTGTTTTCCTTTGGTTTGTTCTCCAGTGTTGCAACCTCTTGCAGTTTTACAGGTTTTTTGCAGGCATTTTTCTTAATTTATTTCGGGTCAGATCATTTTGTCCTCTTGTTTATCTTTGTCTTTGACTTAATTAACTAACTATTTGATTATTTCATGTCTTTGTTTTCTCTTCTATAGGCACTCCGCTACAAGCCTTGGCTTATTAGGATTGTGCCTCCACAATATTGTATTTTGCTTTCTGTTATGTTATTGTTTCAGTACGGAAATAAATGTAATATTGAATTGAATTGAATTGAAACTGTGCACAATGTCTTTCCTTCCCATTGATTGTACATGTAGATCAACATGTACACGTTGTTTGTGAAATATTACATTCTTGAGGCAACCATTCAGGCGCTTCACATTTTTCGTTCGACCTGATCCAGTTTCTAATTAACCATGTCGGTGTCGAAATAGGAAAAAAAAATGCAAAGAACGCTGGAAAGCCAGCGATATGATATCATGCCTAATGCATGCCTGTGTGCGTTGGCCAGCGAAGCAGAACATGGCGGTCTTTGAGTGAATCATACCCAACACACAAAACGCCCTTCAATTGCAATTATGCCAACAGCATCGTGCAAGGTTATTTTTATTTTCTGCACGGACATGACATAAAGCTGCGATAAGGATCATCTATAATGACATGCATGGTTAT